AATAAGTGGAGTCGTGTGTCTAAAGTGCCCATCTATTGTATTAGGTACTACTAAGTACGGAGTATGCTGGGAGCTTATCTCCCCAATCTGGTAAGTACCTCATTATCTAGCCATTATCAGTTTATCAGCGTTTGTTATCAGAAGATGACACCTGATCCACTTGATATATTGTCTGAGGTGCGTAGAGGTAAGAACTTAGTGCCACGAGATACGCTGCGTGGCCCTGCAATCATACGTGAGCTTCACATGCAAGATACATATAGTAGAAAGGACGAGAAGCCGCAAAAGCGACCAAGTATTGGTGGAATGGCTGGTACCTGAAGTACACCTGCCCAACCTTACCGTAATAAATGATTGAACGGTCTGTAACTTTCCAGAATAGTGGCAAACGCCATGCTTTGTTTCGGTATATCACCATTGCGGCCAGAGGAAGAAAAGCATCATCTTATGAACGGCGGGAGGAAGCGCTGAAGGGGGGGGTGGAGGAAAGAGGGCCGTTCGCGGCCTGCAGCTTTCGTTCCCCGCTAGACCAGAGCGTTTTGGGAATCGATCGCCCCCACTTAACTTCCACGCGGTTGGCATCTGAAACCAATCACATCCCCAACATCTGCAGAGATAAGAAGAGTTGTTGTTGCCCAGAGCCGTGTCAGAGATGGTGCGTTCCGTGGTTTCAGAGACTCGAGGCATTACCGAGTGCTGTTGACTAGCTATACTATTGCCCAGTCCTATCAAGGAATAATTCCTTTTCTCCGAGCCCTCGGCAGTATGCCGTATACTAAGTACGTACATACAAATCTGTGTGTAGAGGTCGGAAGTCTGCACAATCCGCTTACACTGGTTGGTGCAGCTGCCAATTGATGAAAACGCGACATATGCCTGTTCCGTGTTTCTATGACATACAATAACCTGGAAACCCTTGCAAAATCATCTGCTGCGACGTTTGTCGTCCTCGTCTAGCTACCGCGTCTAACTTAGTTAAAACTTAAAGCGAAAGCCCTCATATTTCTTTTTGCTCCTTTAGACTAGAACGATACGCTTCGGAGGACATCCTACTCGCTCGATTCTCCTGTGCTAAGGACGACCAATGCATGGAAGGACGGGAGAACACCAGCACAGAAGGGGTTCCGGAAAAGGGGTCCTCTCTCAGATCTTTGCTTCATCTGTGACGTGCGCCAGTTCAGACTTCAGCAGTGAAACGGTCAACGTCCGACTCGGACCATTGATCAGGATCTTAGTCGAGATTGCTAACGAAGATCATATTGGCGAGTTCCTGCAGGCAAAAGAACAGTGAGTCTCCAATGTGCCTTGGCGCCACTATCGGAGTCCTGGCGTTCATGTCGGTTGCGGTCTGAGTCCCTGACAAGGCCATTCAAATGATTCAATAGGTAATCAGAATAGCCGAAGACCGTGCTTTCAACCTTGGCATATCAGGCAACCCTCATGTCAGTTTACCGCGAGATTGGATTGTGCTCCTTGCAGTAATATCACTTCCAAGCTCTTTATTCAGAAAGGGGCTCCTCTCATTGATCCAAGAAAGCCTCGGCCCACACGCTCTTTCGTTGGGACCTGTGCCCACTCCCAAACCGGTAACACTAAATCATCTTTTTGATTTATGACCTCGGTATCATCTGGACTTGGGAAAAAAGTTCCTTCCGAAAACTTTTGACATGATCATTTGATAAATGGACCACTTAGTTGAGTTCCGTTGGGGCGGCACCCAAAGTAAAAAAACAATAATAATCAACAAATAAATAATTGTAAAGGTAAGAACAAGCGAAGAAAAGAGTACGTATAATAAATAGACAAAAGAGAAAGAGAAAATATCGCCGTCAAAATGTTCGCTGCTAAAGCGTGAGATCAACCTTAATTCTTAATTCTTTGTATGTCGGGCGGCGCGCCTGAACCACACACGAGGAATAGGCCCGTGGAACTAAGAATATGAATCGAAGCCTTGACCTACAGAGATCAACCACATCTCGAGCAGGGGATACGGTAACATCGCGTTAAACCAGCAATGTCTTGATTGGCGCATGTTTCTTCGACGAGCCAATCAAGACTTCAACGTACACCGATCGTAATACTAGACTCAGCAGTGGCGCTGACACCAACCTTCGCAGTCCAAGGCGTCAATAACGTTTTCTTGGTTGCGAAGGAGTCAATGAATCAATGACTGAGCTGCGTACATAAAATGCCCAGAGAATCCTCGTATCAGACGTGGCAACAGATACCACCTTGAGTGATGGGAGACCTCGTGGCTCTCGATGCCAGCCAATGACAGCGCCACAGCAGCTCGGATGGTGGCATGGTCTCAAGGATTTGATTTATCGGACTCCGTTGGTGCTGAGAATCCTCCTGTCACCAAAATACGACACAGAGAAAAACGGGAGAAAGAAAAAAAAAAAAAAAAAAAAAAAAAAAAAGAAATGCGGTAATTCTCGTAAGAATTAATAGTCAACAGCAATCCATCCGCACCGCGTGAGCTGGCGCAGCCCTTGGCTGGTATACATCCGGTCAAAGTATCTTTTTGGTCCTGCGTCGTGTAATCCTGACGATCGTAGAAGAAGAACCTGTGCCGCCCCGCCACACTTTAACCTGTGTAATATGCTTTTTCCCTGGCAATGTCCCATACTTGCCAATCATTCTGCTTTTCTCTATGTATCACGAAAGGCCTCATAGTATCATATCATAATCTTTTCCCTCCTTGTTCTTTCCTAATCATTTCTATCATAATTAGTACAGTTGGAAGAAGGTAAGTTAAAGTTGTCCCCAAACCCACATCTTCCACGGCCATAACGCGGGGAAGCAATTCGTTACATAACAGTTTCCACTCTAGATCGTCAGCAGCAGCCAGCTTCCCCATGAATCTGGGGTAGCGAAGTAACCTTCAGTATTTGCCTCTAAACAACAATGAAAAGTTTGGCTTCGAACAAATCCTGACGTCAAATCCAAATCCCCGACTCCAACCGGGCCGGCCCTGCAGATGCCAATGCGTTGTGGTGGGTCAAAAACTTTCATTCGTGATATTCCTACACGGTACTACCAGATTTAGCAATATCGGTTATTAAGGGATATTCCTGGAATATAATCGTCCCTCCAAGTTCCAGAAGGTCGAGACCTTTGATCGAATTCTGCCATGTCGTTTTTCTTAAGCGTGGAGTGAGGGAGATGATGTCAGATATCATTACACCAAATGCTTGCGACAGTCTGTCTATCTTAAGGTAACTTATCGCTCAAAGGGCCCCGCTAGATTAAGGATAACTACAGGTGTTCCTTGCGTAACTCTTTGGAAGACGCAAGACCAATTGCTTGACTCCTGGTTGCCCCGAACTAACAAGTGAAAGCTTCCTGCCTCTACTATCTCCTCTCGTTATCCATCTACCCTGGCCTTTGCCGCTTTAAATAACTACCAACCTCATACAGTTCTTTCAAACCCCGTTTGATATTCCCTCATGCCTTGCGCAATGGATGACTGTCTCTTTTATTAGAGCTAGGCGGGGTATTATCGATAACTCACTGAGATATGGACAACAGCTATCCCCAATTTATAGACCGCCTCCGGTTTGAGTTACAGACCATGCGTCTATGTGCTCGGTTGCTGTTACTTATATAGACTCCATGTGTGATAGAGTACCTTGTAGTTGAGCGTCATTATACTGCGCCGACACAATTTCAGGAACCGGTAGGATAGCTCCTTTTCATAGCGGCGGAGTTCAGCTCCTCAATCACTATATGCGTGAACTTAAACCGACCGGCCAGACAGCAGTTTATATTAGATATCGCTCACAAAGCAAAATGTTAGGATATCGATAGTTGCCTTTTGCCTGCGCACTTTACCAAGCCATCAAGCTTAGTCAAGGTACAGTATCGATACAGGAATTAGTAGCCGGGTGCCCTTCTCGAAGCCGTGAACTACTGCATGCTCATAGCATGACGAATCCCCTTCAGCTAGATGTTATCCTTACAATGATAAACTTCGATCATTGCCCATTCGTTGGGGTCAATGACCTGTGGCCAGCCTATTCGCCACAGCAAGACATTCTAGACTCAATGCACATATTCGAAATCTTGATAGGCTCAAATCCTGCGGATCACGCTGGCTCATATCTCTGCCATACAAAAGCTATATTTACCGCGAGGAGAGATGTTTGCACATAGTGACACAATCGACTCAACATCCCAGATAGTACGAGAAGCAAGGCCGGATTTAGTGTAGGTTTTTTTTTTTTTGGCAATTACAATAGAATCTATAAGATATCGTTGATCATCATTCACAAAATCTTTTTTTCGTTAAAGCAAGTAGAAAGCATTGGACATCAAGAAACTAAGAGCTACCGACCGGTCCTTCACCACCAGGGATCAACTGCAGTTACGTTAGCAAGACGACGAAAAATCGAGGGAGAGGTCATATTATCCGTACCATGCAGACGTTGTTTCCATTTAGCAAGATCTTGGGAAGCTTAATCTGAGCGCCGGAGTAATCGCTGTGTTACTGTTAGTTCCTTATCTGCAGAGCGTGACCAGAGGCAAGAGAGTCAAGAGAAGCTACATAGCTAGCTTTACTCACAATTCAGTCACATCTTCCAAAACCATGTCTAGACTAGGTTACCATCCGGTTATTTGAAATGTAATAAGAGGATAGAAAGTAACTTACTGACGTAGTCATCAAAACCGAGCAAAGTACCGGCGAATTCTGTAAGAGTGTCAGGAGACCGTTGTGTTTCATATGCAAACCAACTAACCTTTGTCATTTTTCATGATGACCCAAATTCTAGAACCAACACACTTGTCGATCAGCTCTATGAAAATTATTAGCGAGGAGCTTCATCAATACACAAATGGTTGGGTCATTACCGAGGGGAAGGAGTTGAGAAGCCATTGTGGGTAAAGTGAGTGATGAGCGGAACTAAACCGAGAAAGTATAAGGTGTTGATTCTATATTTGAACCACTGGAGCTCTCCTCTGCAAGAAAGGTTTCGTCTGGCTTGATATAGAAATCGCACGCTGTTGGGCGGATCCTCGATCATTCCCATTCGGACAATCTTGGCGGGAGGGAATGCACGTTTATCCGACCCGATAGACTTGGGCCAATCAGGTCTACGAACACCTCTTCAGGGACATGAAGGTTATTCTCAACTTAATCATACAATGGTTCATGAAGAATTTATTTACAATCTACCTGCTATATCAATAGGTTATTATCAGGAGGCGCATTCAGTATGACTGCTTTGAGATATGCGGCCTTCTCGAATTTTACTAAGAGGGTTGAAACACCCTTTATGGCAGACGACAAAGCATCAACAAGACTTTGTTGTGCACAATGATTTGCTCCATAGACTCGAGAAAGCCGCGTTGGTTCATGATTCCTTTCATCTGATCTCTTAGCTGACAGTTTCTCAGTCGGTGTGGCGTTTCGTATAAAAGCCCGGCTCTCACATCTTCTCGAGCCTCCGTTGCTAATTCAAAACTTGTCCTTACGATTGATACAGGCTATATCACGACTTCTAGCTACTCAACGTTGACACGCAGGCCGTGTCTTTTGAAGAATCAGGAAGTTTTGAATGTCAAGACCGGCGGAAGCCGTGCTTTTTCCTCGACCACAGCCATGTTTCGAACAACGCTAGCTCATGTCACTAGCCTGGTCAAAACCGGCTTCAAGAGTCAGCTCAGAAACCGTCGTATAATCGACGTCGCTGATCCAAATGAGGGGCAACTACGAGATATTTCTCGCAAATCTTTTATACATAGCCTCGTACAGTGTGAAATTCTGAAGGGACTGGAACGATCCGAGCCCTCGACTGTAAGCTGCAATAGCCAGCGATACCCAAATCACTCTAAGTGTCCCGCATTATGTGCGAAAGCGCAGTGCCCCATATCAAGCTTCAGTACCAGTCAACGTACACGTCCCCGGGTGGAGGGTGCCTCTGGAAGGCGAGAACATCCATCCATTCACTCAAACACCAAAAGGTCATGCACATCCAGTTCTACAGCTCAGTTGACAGTCAAGCATATTCAGGATTCGGATAAAATTTCCCACGTCGTCAAATCCGAACCATCAATCCCGGCTCTGGACTCGTGCCCTCAGCTACCCAAAGACAACCCAACTCCAAAGTTCGCTCCCGACTCAGGAGCGCACAAATTTTGGAGTCACCGACTGTACAAATCGCCAGATGGAAAGGAGATCCTTGTACATTACTGTAAAACCCTAGAAAGCGCTGAAACCATATCGGGGTTGTTTTCGGACGAATCCATTCTTGGACTCGACATAGAATGGAAAGCCAACGCCTCCGCGGCGGACGGCATACTAAAGAATGTATCGCTAATTCAGCTTGCGAGTTCGAGGCGAATCGCACTCTTCCACATAGCTATGTTTAGACCAGCGAGGGGTGCGGAAGACCTCGTACCCCCTACTCTGAAACGCATCCTGGAGTCTCCGGGTATAACAAAGGCTGGCGTATCGATCAAAGCAGACTGCACGCGGTTGCGCAAGTACCTTGGGATCGATACGCGCGCCATCTTTGAACTGAGCCATTTGTACAAATTGGTCAAGTACAGCCAGTCGAATCCAGGGCTAATTAATAAGAGGACTGTCAATCTGAGCGCACAGGTTGAAGAACACTTTGGGATTCCTCTGACGAAAGACGTTGAGGTTCGATGCAGTGATTGGGCGTCTGCTCTAGACTATTCGCAAGTTCACTGTGAGTTGTACATTTCCCTGAACATAAAGGATTGTCTAACAAGGATCGGATTGTAGACGCTGCAGCTGATCCATTCGCATGCGTGTGTCTGTTCAATACTATGAATGAGAAACGGATGGCTCTAGATCCAGTGCCTCCTTTGCCGGCACATGCTGAGTTGAATTTACCAATCCAGATCGTCCATGAGACTCCTTTGAATACTGAGCCTGAGGAAGTTGAGGTTATCGAGCCGATAGATACTCTATTAGTGGGGACTAAGGAACGTTCCTGAATCTGGTCTCTTTGTTGAGTTCAATAGTTTGAATAACAAATAAAGCCATGGCCGGGGCTCGGGAAGTTCTAAATCATGTCTTGGGCACTATGCATAGATAGCGTGTTCATGAGAAGCGCCGTATATTCGGCAATACTCCTTTGACTTTAATATCATCACATTCTGACGCTCTGGTCATATCATGACAGGGGCTATTATGCCAAGTCTGCAAAAGCCATGCCAAGAATTGTGGAATCAATATATCTGAAATGAACCATTGTGGGTCTTCGTATGCTCCTTATTACAGATCACTTGAGAAAGGGGGTATACTATTTCTCTAAAGACCGGAAACGACAACATGAACAAAGTAACTGGGCGATAAACAGGACTATATGTGGACCAGATATCAAACGCTGATTTATGCACGACCATATCCTATAGTATATACAGAGAACACATGGCTCGAACTAACCTCTCAGAGGCAGTATTTTAGACAGCAGGACATCTTGTCGACACAGGGGACATTCGGGCTTCTCGCGTACCCAGTCTCGCACGCATGTCCAGCAGAATACATGTCCGCATGTGGTGACACTAGGGTCTTTGAAGGGTTCTAAGCAAAGTGTGCACCTGCTTTGCTGCCCTGAGGGAATCCAAGGAATTGCACTGGAGTCGTCTGAGAGATCATACCGGGCATCAGCGGCAGAAAGAAGCGGCAGTGTTGGCGGATTTTCAATAGAGTGGATCAAGGTATCATCCTGGCCCGTAGAATGGGTCGCCTCTGTCTCAATGTCTTCTTGCTGCAAGCTGAGCCCTACTTTCTTGACGTGCAGCACGCTCTGTACCGCGATCTGCAAAACAAGCAACACCCCTAGCACTTCGTACCCGACCCGCTGCTCGTTTTCCTCAAGCTTCTTTGTGAATACATATCGCAGGCCCCAAAGGCGTTTCGACAGATGATAGTACGCGCCGGTGAAGTAGAAGGTCGCGATGCTCACAGCGTAGATAGGGCTCAATGACGTGATGGAATCAAGGTGTTCCAGAATATACTTCTGAATTCGTAATTTCGTGAAAAAAGAAGGTGCCTTTGAGGTGTCTTTCCTGCTAGGCTTCGTCCCCTCCCTGGCTTGTTGGGCCTTAAGCTGTTGCCGCGCGATGCTCCGCTCAAGCTTCGCCCGTAGCCGCTGGCGGAAAGCTGGTAAGATCCTCTGAAGGATCCACGGCACAATGATACTGCTCACAATATACCCCGCCCGCCTGACAAGAGAAGGGAGCTGGAGTGTGTCATCTTCCAATTGGACAAGATCACAGTATTCCTCCCCCAACGTTCGGTTGCCGATAAGAGTAGTCAGGGAAAAGTATAGGATCTCGGTCAGGTTCTTGATGGTTTCGGAGTAGGTATGAGCAAATCGGGCTCCTCGGAGTGAGCGGATGATACTCTGAGCTTGCTGTACTAGATTTGAGGTAAGGAATACGTCTTTTTCATGGGACCTAATGATATCCGGAGACGTCGCGAATGGATAGAAATGCGCCGAGGGACTGGGCGCCGAGGCGGAAGTTGCAGGAGACAAAGAGAAGTCTTCGTCTGCCATTGTCACTGTATGTATAGTGCGATTGAGGTGATGTGAAGTGTTAGTACAAAGTCAGGATGACCGAAGAAAGCTCGCTCTACCGTCTTATCATTGTTAACTGACGTGGTTATCATTCCCGGAGAATGAGTCTCCGCAGCGGCGATACGGTATACCTCGGCAGTCCACACGTGATGTGTCTCTTCACGTGACCAGATACCACCTGGAAACCTGGAGCCAAATTTGGAAGTCTCAACCTGTAAGGAGTTAGACCCGAAACAGACAAGTGTGCCTCCTCCCAATCCGAACAGCCGCGCGGAACCGCCTGGACTCTCTGAAAGCGTCCCTGAGCGTCTTCATTTTCCGTCTAATAATTATGAGTGTGTAAATTTTGGTTTTCAAACTCACCCCTAGTCATTCTTTATTTGGTTCAATTTTTTTTCGCATCTGCTCGTCTCTTTATATCCCCCTATTGTTGTCTTCCTCTTTAATTTTGACCTTCTTGTCCGTTATCTCCCCAATCTTCTCCGTGCTGGCGCTGTAGTCCCGCGCCGCTTCAATGGAATATGGGTCCTGATCAACATGCTCAATTGGATCGCTTCAGTCTCTTTCTTCCTTTTCCCTATCGCGTGGCCGTCATTTTGGTTGCTGGTAAGCCGAGAGATACAGGCGCTTTTCTGTTATGTTTTCAATGATGTTGATTTCAATGTACAGGCTTCTGGGGTTGGGGGGTCAATCTCCAATATCTTCTCAAGAAGAACATTGTAGGTTAACCCCTCTATTCAATTTGATATCTTCCCTGAATAAAATCTTACCGTTCTCGATTAGGATGTCCCCGCGCTCATCCGATATCCTGCCCGTCAATCTTCGTCCCAGCGACCCCACCACATCTCGACATACCATCTAGCTACTCTCTTGACAATCCCCCTGCTGCTCTCACTACTTATATTCTGGGCCGCTACCCATGGCTCTACTGAGAGGGTCGAGTCTCTGGATTTTATTCCACAGTCATACCTCATTATCTTCTTCATAATCCTCCTTCTCCCTTTCAACCGTCTCGCGCGCTCTGGTAGACATCGCTTGTTCGTCACTCTGAAGCGGATTAGCATTGGTGGATTAGCAGAAGCCCAAGATGGGAAATTTGGAGACATCCTACTTGCCGATGCGTTGACTAGCTATGCTAAAGTACTAGCGGACTTGGTTGTTACTTTCTGCATGTTCTTTACCTCGGGTGTTTCCAGCACATCCAAGCCGGATCGCAAATGTGGACACGATTGGGTGATCCCCCTGGTCGTTGCTCTTCCGAGTATTATCCGATTTCGGCAGTGTCTGATTGAATATGTGCGTGTACGTCGAGCTGGTTTTAAACTGGAAAATCAGGGCGGTCAGCACCTAGCCAACGCTCTGAAATACGCTACAGCGCTTCCCGTCATCTACCTTACCTCCAAGTTGAGGAACTATAACCCCCTGGAGAGCTACGGATACAGCGAGATGAGTTTGTCACGACTATTGTATGTTGTTTGTATCTGATATAAGTTTGAAAGGGGTAGAGGTTGGCTAACGACATCCTAGATACATGTTCACCTTTGTCAACTCCTCTTATTCTTTCTACTGGGACGTCACCAAAGATTGGGACCTGACCCTCCTAACTTCATCGCGCCGTGACGCGCATCATCCTTACGGATTACGCCGGCACCGCCATTTTGCTGATCGGCAGTACTATCTTGCTATTCTTGTAGATCTGATTATTCGGTTTTCATGGTTGTCCAGGTTTATGCCTGGGTTTGTCTGGCTTTGCGAGACGGAGGTGGGCATTTGGTTGCTCATGTCCCTTGAAGTCGCACGCCGGTGGATGTGGATTTTCTTTCGTGTGGAGACCGAATCTGGTGAGTCGCATTTCGCCTATCTGAAAGCACTAAGAATGTATGCTAATTTGGTATCTATAGTCAGGAACAGCCGTGGACCGGCCCCTGATGACATTCTTCTCGGTGAATTCAACGGCAAATTGGATGCGGACTGAACCGCGGCCGTACTTCAAAGCTGTTGAACACCGCCCTTTTTATAAATGACATGACTTGGTATATCCACGGATGTAGGACTTATTATTGTGATTATGTATGTATTCCACTTTAGTTGTTGTTATTCTCTGCTACGCCCTTCGAGCGTCTGGCCCATCATTCGGTCCGTTTCTTGGACCATCCATATCGCGTCCTCGACCAAGCGAACGATTTTCAAGTGATCATCTGTATGAAATTCGGCAAGCATTGCGAGATATAGTTGTGCGCAGTACATAGTGGCAGGTCTTTTTTTCTTTTTTTGTTTTTATTTTCTGCATGCAACTGCACTACAGACATGTGGGTAATAAACATTTGCAATATCGACAGGCAGACCCAAATGATGAAGTGTAACTCAGGAACGAAATAAAAATTCAACAAATTCCACACCCAAAGTTTCATGGATAATGGTCTAGTTGACCTCCAGTGAACTCCATCGCCTAAATTTACCGCTGCAAAAGCCAAAAGGTAAAAGGGAAAGCTATCCAGAAACGTGCGTGGTCCTGAACGCTGAAGACGGTTGCTCATGACATGAGAGATGTACATACACTATATAACAAGATTATGTAAATGATATTTGCCATCGAATGTAAAAAAGGGAAAAGTAAGAATAGAACAGGGACAGTAAAGGTGAAATTTAGCTACAGCATCCGATTTTGGAATGGGATATCACCAAACCTATTGTCTATTGTTGGGAGGATGATTCTCGAACAGATCTTCCAGGTAGGCACTCGGGGTCCTTCCTTGCGTAGGAGATGCAAGATTAACAGAGCTATTGGACGCCATGTGTGAAAACCTTGAAGTGTTAAACTGAGGTTCATAGACACCACCGGGAGCATGGGTAGGCGTGCCAGGTGGGCTGGGTCCCGATTTTGTCCTCGTGTACCCCTGTGCCTGCGGGCCCATGCCCGGAAGATCAGTCGCGGAGAAATGCATACTCTGGTGGCTCCCGCTACCAGCCGCAGCACTACCAGCAGCATAATATCCCGCCGGGAGATAGCTTGAGCCTCTATTTCCGCCACTGTGCATTCCAGCCGTGGGAGAGAAGAACAACCCGCTGTTGGATCTTGGGCCTTTCGAGGAGCGGTGGTTAGTGCGGTGCCCGCCACCCATTTTTTCCAAGGAGACGGCTGGTGCTGGGCCGCCGTGCGAGCGATGGGCTGATCTCTTTCTCCTGTGGCGAAGGAGTCCTTTTGCCTCAGAGGATTGCATTATGGCTGCTTTGCGGACGGATCGGTTTACGGACCATGCGACCATGCCGCGCCAGGCGAGGAGTGCGAGGCCCAAGAAGCCTAGGACTGCGCCGACGGCGATGAAGACAGTTCCTTCCGGGGTATCTGATGTTTGCATGTATGGTGCATCGGCGAGTGGGGGGACCGTTACCACAGGGTAATCGTTCGTTGAGGAGGAGGTTGTACTGGGGTCTGTAGATTTTGAGGACTCGGTTGTTGTTGTGGTTGCTGATTTGTCTGTTGTGGATCTTTCTGTGGTCCTTGAGGTCGTGGTAGTGTCGTCTTGTCTCGTAGCTGTAGTAGTCTCCTTCGTTGTTACGTCGGTTGTCGGCGCAGGGTCACCCCCAGTAGTCTCCTGTGCCAGGGATGTTTGCGCCATCATCAGAACGGCGATGATGAGTAAAAGCCATGTAAAAGAGGGATGGCGGCTGGCCTTGCGAAGGCCCGCGGCTCGAAGATTCATTGCTAAGACAGTCTAGCGAGTGAACGAGCGATATCGATGTCAATTGTTTCAGATGGGAATGAGTTGTGGGCCAGAACGATTGCGCCCGGTATGTCGCGCTGACGATCCGAGCAGATATATAGACTCTGAGATGATGAAGAGTTACCAGGCTTTGTGGTCAGAAATATGTTTGGATGCAATGGCGGCTGTCTGTCGCAAGTTGTGGGACGTGGATCTCTATCGGATAGTCTCCACCAAAACACTGGATCGACAGCAACCAGATCTACTCCGGAGGTGCAACGATCGCATAAAATAGCCAGAATGGCCAAGTGAAAGACAAACGCTGTTGGCCAGTGCAGCAAGGTTTATAGCAAATTACGAAGCGAGAGGTGAGGGCAAATCATGAGTGGGTTTACCCCCCCGGAGATCAGCGACAGGAGATCCAAGACCACGACCGTTGCCCCGTCACGGGCCTTGTATCTTCTGCCTTAGGCTCTGATCTTGCGGAGAAGTCAAATTCACGTGATGCCCTATATATAGGGCTCCTGTCTCAACAAAAGCCTCGCGCTAGTCTCACACATATATGGCATAGTTAATGATCTAACTGACGAGAGAAGCAAAGCAGGTCTTATTGGGGCCTGCATGAGTGCACGTCAGACAGTTTTGAAAAATCCGTAACTAACATTCAGACCCATAAACACGCATGGAATATACAACATAGCATACACGATAAAACCTTGATGGTCTAGAGCAGTTGATGACCGACTTTCAACCGATTTGTCATGCCGAACTAAAGAATAAAAACCGATTCCAGGACCTCTATCCACGACACCAACCACTAATCACTGCTGTTTCTTCTGCACGTTGGCGGACGTATCTTTTTCAAAAGCAGCGTAAGGAACTTCCAGGCTGGCAAGGGCGCTAAAGCCGACATACAAAATCATAATGAAGACAAAGGTTGCCATCAGTCCCATAAAGAGGCCTATTAACGTTAGTTCCCGTCACTCATGATGTTTAAGAGGGGCAGTGTATGTCAAGGTCGCACCAGGTGTGAGGTATTGATACTCTTGGAAGAGTGACTTGTTAGATGCAGGCTCCGAACGACTACTATGCGCCGCAAAGTCCCGCTTCAAGTCCATGTGGACGGGATCTTGGTAGGGATCAGTTTCGGATTGATAGATACCCGAGTCGGACTCTCCAAATTCCCTCGGTGAAGTTACATAGAGAATGGTGTACTTCTTAGACGAAGGGATCCGTTCGATAATATCAGAAAGTAGGCCGTCTGCAGCACGATTAGAAGATTTGCACGTTGCATTCTTGGATTGTTCACACACCATTGTCAGAAAGCTGCTGAGCCCTCTCCTTACCCAGAGGGAGCACAGGGAAATCAATAAGAAGGACTCGGGGGTCGGTGCCAAAGTCAGATGGATAAGAGCCAGCTAAAGTACCTGGTTAGCCAGATTTCAATGTATCTGTGACTTTGACTTCACAGAACTTACAGGCACCATCGATAACAGTAGTTTGCGCCCCACATTCTTTCTCGATAATGCTTTGGATCTGCTTCGCCTTGAGCACACCAACAACTTCATTGACTGTCGCAGTCGACCGGATAGTCTTATCCCTTCCCGTCATCTTCGCGCCCAGACGGGGTGCGGACTTGCGAGTCGAGAAGTCGGTGCTATGAACACCGGGCTGGGAAGCAATGACATAGTAGTCGGAGGGACACGAGCTAAGCTTCGAGGAGAGGTCATCTAACAAGGAGGGGGCGGTTTTGAGTTGGGATGAAGTAGAGAGAATCCTAAAGGTGCTTGTTAGCTATTTCTTTGAGGAGCTACCCGCGATAACTCGAATGACTGCCGCCATAACATACTCAGACGTCGATGCAAGGAAGAAGGGCGAGGTGTCACGGAAGGCATTAGCCGTTGCTGCTCCCAGAGCAAGCAGCGAGAAGCTGCTCAAATGCATAGTGGTGGATGGGATTTAGCTTCAGACAAGCACAGGCTGTCCGAACGGTGAAAGGGTCCCCGGAGGTACGATGGTTGGAGACAGGCTGGAGGATTGGCCGAACGGGGCTCGGAGGCGGTCGACCCAAATCACCGGCAAGGCTTAGCTTCACTTTGATCATCGTGCATGCGCTGTTTTTTTTTTTTAAGCCCTTGTATATCGAAACCATATCACTGAATAAATGCATTATTAACGCAATTATTTCTTTCTATACTCTCCACAGTATAACAATACTTCATTTTTCTACATAGAATCATGGGGCCACAAGCAAAACGGCGAAAGACGAGCAAAGTCGAAGAAATCACCTTCGATCATTCTGCCCGCCATGAATTCCTCACAGGCTTTCGCAAGCGAAAGCAACAACGAATTAAGCATGCGCAAGAAGTTGCAGAGCAGAAGGCTAGAGAGATGAAGAGAGAAGAACGGAAACGAGTTAGTCATTCCTGGATACTTTATCTCAGTAGAAATACGTTTATTAACCGCGAACAAAGATTCGGGAGGAGCGAGAAGCAGAGTTTCAAAACGCTCTCGAGGAGCATCAGAATCAACTAAAGAGACTTAGGCAAGAAGAAGATGGAGCAAGTTCAGGCTCGGATTCAGAAAGTGACGGCGAAGATAATGAGGAGTGGGAAGGGTTTGAAGAGCCACCTGCAGTGGACTACGAAGCGGAATACATTGATGAAGACAAGTATACCACGGTGACAGTAGAAGAGATGGATGCTTCTAGGGAGGGCTTGCTACGATCACAGGAGCATAGTTCGGACGAAGAGCAAGGTGAAGAGAAATCGACATCCGAAGCGAATTCCAATCCGAAACCGGTAGAAAAGCCCAAGAAGGCATCGGACAAACCCAAAAAGAAGAAAAAGAAGTTCCGGTACGAAAGCAAGGCGGAACGCCAGCTCACTCGCAAGAAAGAACGCCTTTCAAACAGCAGGAAAGCGAAGGCAAGAAGAGAACGGTAGTGGAGGTTAATCACCACACAAATCCATGCATCTTCGAGTCAGTCGGCGTTACAATACCCCCAAGGAGACTTCCATTCTTTATGGTCTATGTTACTGTGGGCAAGTGGGTATAGACAGAGGGCAAGTGGATGACAAAATGATGAGACAGAGATGCTACTGGATTCGGCTCCTGATGGCAAATGCTAAATAGAGTAATCTGCAACACGCAGGGAACAAAAAAGTTATTATGTTAGAAGAAAGGTTGAGCCGAGGTTTTCCCAGAATATTGCATCTGCAGGCAACCCTAGCCTTAAACATTGCTTATAGAAACCTCCAACTCGTGGAGATCCTTCTGCAACTCGGCGTACTTCTTTGCCATTTCCTCATACTTGCTTTCCCACTCATCACGAGACGACTCGAGGGCCTGCACTTTGCGCTCGTAGTGGCCGGCTTTAACATCGGTTTGGCGGAGCCTATTGAACACCAGCAAAATTAGTAATTGTTCGCCGACGATAAAAAGGGGTTCCAAGGAAAACCATACTTCTCAACTGTCTCCCGGGTATTCTTGTCAGCATTCTCGAGCTCCTCTTCCAAGAGCTGCAAGCGTCTCTGAAGGGTTTCGTTCTGAGTGTCGTGCTGAGCGCTCTGGTTGGCAGCATCCTTGGCCTCTTTGAGAGCGGTTTCCAACTTCTCCACCTCACCCTCAAGAAGCTGGTTGCGGTGGTTGAGGGATGTGATCTCCTGTTCCTTGGCCAGGTTCTCCTGTTCCAGTGTCTTGACCTTGCTCTTCAACTCCTCGGTCTTCTCCTGAGCCTCCTCAGCCTCCAGACGGAGGGCGTTCATTCTCTAGACGCTGCCCGTCAGCCCCTTTTCCCATCTTCACTTTTTATTATTCCGGTGAACGCGAGTCAAGATGGCATCCCTTTAATCGCCGCCACGCAGTATACCGTGATGCATGATGAGGGAAGGTCACGTAAGGAGATAGGGTGATGCATGTGCATTTTCGGGAGCTTAAAAGCTACCCCGCCAACAGGGGGGGAAGGGAAACTCACCTCCTTGATCTTGTCCATATTGGCGATGAAAGAAGGTTAAAATTGTTTGTACGGGAGAAAAGACAAATATCTATTCGAGAAGAAGAATTTATACGAGTAGCAAGTTATAAAGGCTTTCGCTCAGCGAGAAACCCGACAGAATCAATAACGTGTTCAAATGTTGGGAGTTGGTTTTGGGAGAAGAGGAAGGAGGTGGAGTGACTGCCTCCTGGCGGTCAGCCCTGGTCAGTTCGATTCTAACCCCTTTTAGCCAGTAGTAAGGGCGGTGTCTGGCTGTGGCGGCCAACCCACGGATTGGCTGCCGACCGGTCCCAAGGGATCGACCGCCTGTCTCCACGGGCAACCACCACAAAATACTCTGCTAGGTAAGGTGCGTCGGGCGTCTAGATTCGGACAGACAACTCATATCTTCACGACCTCGCCAATTCTTGCGATTTCAGACGACCCTCGGATTTGACCCCAACAACGTATACCTATATTCTCAGCTGTGCATGATCAGTGATATCTGATATCCGCCACTATGCTGGCCCTCCGCGACCAAGAGAACCTGGTGCACGCTCATCAGACTGTTGCCGCGTCCAAACCTCTGAACCAAGGTGTCAAACAACTACAGCCCAAAACCCCGGGAGCCCGCGCACCGAAAACACCATTTAAAGTCCCATTGAACGATGAAAATGATCCGCTGGCGTTTGGAAAGAAAACGGTGAAGGGAGCTGGTAAACAGAATGGAGCTGCGAAACCATCTGTCAAGGATGCTTTTGTTACACCAATGGGTATGCTTGGAGGGGTAGCATGGCGTGTCTTGCGCAGAGGCTGACAGATGCGATAGCAGAGACCCGTCAACGCGCGCCGTTGGGCATGAAAACAACCAATGCGAAAGCTCGTGGCTTACAGACCCCTGCGCCTCCCGCTGGGACTTTAAAGCCAGAGAAGACGGGCAAAAGAGCCTCCACGCAGAGAGTGAAAAAGTTTGCCCCGCTGGTGGAGCAAAACAAGGCCGAGGTACAGGATAAACCAACTGAAGACGATGTTCCCGACATTGAATACATGCCGCCGAAGCCAAAAGGTATGTTTCCAATGAGTCGTGGGCATAGTAGAAGGTCATGGTATTTAACAATGTGTAGAGCTCCCAGATATTCCTGATGAAGTTACATATGATACTACATTCCCTCAGTTTCAACCGAAGAACTTGGCGTTGGGGTTAGAAACAGTTTATGGTCATTCTGAAATCGGTCCCGATGGTCTGACCAAGAGGGAGCGCAAGCTTCAAGAAGATTCTATCGCATACGACAAAATGATGGATGACATGATCTTACAACAAGTTGAGAGCATCGGTTTCGAAGTTCCCAGTGACAGCGAGAAGAATGAGGCTTGTGTGGAGGAAGCAGCGCCGCGTCGCTATGAAACGCGTCGTACCCGCGCCATGAGCTCCCGTGAGAAGCATACCAGCAACATCCCAACCGTTCGCGCTCGTGATGCAGCCACTGCCCTTTCTGGTACCGAACGCACTCTCCGACCTCGGCCTGTTTCAATCCCAAAGCCAAAGCCGAGAGTTGCGTCGTCCTTATTTTCGTCAAGAAAGCCCAGGACGCCGACTAACCCCTCATCCATGCATCATACCGCGGCCATGGCCAACTCTAAAACAACAGTAGGGTACACCAAGGGCCGGGACGTGTCGTCCAAGCTACATGGCAAAACGTCCAGCACTACGAAAGGGCAAACAATTCCTCAGGGGATTTTCTCTGCCGACACTTACATGCGACCTTCCGGGACCCCTCCCCTCGAAACTGATATGGTGCCTCTTGCACATGACGCGGATCACCTGACGGCCAATCTTGAGGAAGTGCTCCCGGTGTATGAAGAAGATGAGGAGAGCTTGAATTTCCAGCTGACGCTGTGAACGGAGGTTAATGAGCACGGTTCCATATCCCGGAGTCAAGGTTTAGCGTTCTATGGTGTTTGTTTCTTTAATGGGAGTATGATACAGCTCTGTTTTTCTTAGCTTTGACGGTTGGAGTGGCGGAACGGTACAATATTGCATGAGACAAGGACTTCCAGGGAGGGGGCGTTTTATTTGAAGTATCACGGGTTTATGGTCAGCCGGATTAGAACTGATGTATGAATTTCCAACGTCCGAGTGATAGTCAATAGTCGAAAGTATTTTCCTAATTTTTTTCTTTTTTTTTTCTTTTTTTTTTCTTTTTTTTTCTTGTTTTCCATAACATTAAATTGGGTGGTTACCCTATCTTTGTATTGATACTCCCTCCAGAGTACAAAGTGCATTGTCAAGGTAAATTTAGGTCATGTTTCAGGGACCCTCCCGCAAGTCTGGGTCCAGCTTTAGGTTCCAAAGTTGCACTGTCCATCGGGACCCGAAAGGGCCTCGGGAATGGTTGATTCGGACGATTGTGATTGGGGATACCCTCTGAAGCTCTGCGGCCAGACCTCATCTATTGGACCAGTAATATCCACCAGGTACGGGACCAGTACGTATGCATGGTGTACATCCCTCGATTTCATAATCGAAACGTTTCTCTCTATCCCCATTAATCAATGATCCTGCGTCTTTCTCGCAGGTAAACGTCTCACTAAGTAAACAGGATTCCTTACTATATTCGATGGCTTCACCGCTCCTGCAGTTAGGGTCGGTCCACTAAACTCAATCGGGTCCCTGGGACAATTTAAGCTGTCCTTGTTATCCCAGGGAGTATCACGGAGGACACCTAAACAAAGCTGTGTAATTTCCACTCACTCACTCACTCACTCATACCCATGAGTCTGATGTAAATGTAAAAATGTAGAGGTCGAATACAATTGAGCTCACAACAATCAAGAAACTGAGAAATATTAGAAACCCAATCCAAGGACAAATTCTGGGTCCCTGGTGGTGGATTCAATCAATTGATCGTCCACTTTCCTTTCCTCGGCGCCCACCGCAAATACAAGCAAGGCAAACTAACCAAACGGAAACTAAAGCAGCAGCCCCCCCCCGGCCGCCTCAGGTCAACATCTTCTGACACCCTCCTTCTTTTTCTCTTTCCTTCCTCATCCTCCCTCCCCCCCCATTTCTCCCCTCTCCTCCGCTTCAGTCAATTCGTCATGGCTGAGACGAAGATCCATCCTCAGTCCCCTGAGGAGTTCGAGTTCATTGAAACTCCCCCTGCCTCCTGCACTACTCCCGCTGAGCCCTGTGGTGTGAGGACAACGTCGGTAAGTTCGGACCCTGGATAGAAAACACATGGCTTGTTATGCTTTAATTGCGAGCGCCAATTGTGTACAGCTCGCGCTAATAGTTTACCTACACAGTATCCGGCCATCAAAAATGCCCCCGTCCCAGCGGATTCTCCGGGCAGTGATAGCTTCTCCAACATCCTGCTGTTCTCTTTGCTTCTGCTCATCCCATGGTATCTGGCCCGTCAGGTTGGTGGTGGTTTCTACACCACCATCTTCTTCGCAATCTTCACTACTATCCCTATTTTGATGGCTTTCTGGTCCATCGCTTCATCCATCTCCCCCCGCAAGACCGAAAAGGCCAAGTATGCTGGCCGCCCCGTCGAACACTACCTGCACTTCCACAGCGAGCATGACCGTGCTGCCTACCGCGGAAAGAGCAAGATCCCCATGGAGGTCTTCTACGAGAAGTACTTCAACGGTGAGGTGGACTTCAAGGGTGACGCCCTTGAGTGCCTCGAGTTCCGCCACGATTGGGCCAACTTCCGCTTCACCATGGGTCTTTTCAAGCACTTCCTCTTCGGCTTCATCCCCGAGTTGCTGATGCACACCCGTTCCCAAGGTATGTTGCCGCCATCACAAACTCAGAAAAATCACGCGCGCGCAATTGCCTTTCTAACTGGTGAAATTTTACAGATGAGGAGCAGGTCCGTGATCACTATGACCGTGGTGACGATTTCTACGCTTGGTTCTTGGGCCCACGCATGATCTACACATCTGGAGTTATCAGTGATCCCGATCGGGAGGAGACCTTGGAGGAGTTGCAGGACAACAAGCTGGCTGTGGTTTGTGAGAAGATTGGCCTGAAACCCGGAGACACCGTCCTCGATCTTGGTTGTGGTTGGGGTACTCTGGCCAAGTATGCTTCCGTTCATTATGGCGCCCAAGTTACTGGTATCACTCTTGGTCGTAACCAGACTGCCTGGGGTAACAATGGTCTCCGTAAGGCCGGTATTGAGGACTCCCAGAGCCGTATTATGTGCTTGGACTACCGTGACGCTCCTCGCGTTGAAGGCGGCTACAAGAAGATCACTTGCCTGGAGATGGCTGAGCACGTCGGTGTGCGCCATTTCACTACTTTCTTGTCTCAGGTTTATGACATGCTGGACGACGACGGTGTTTTCTTCCTCCAGATTGCTGGTCTCCGTAAGTCCTGGCAGTACGAGGATCTTATCTGGGGTCTCTTCATGAACAAGTATGTCTTCCCCGGTGCCGACGCTAGCACCCCTCTTGGATTTGTTGTCGACCGTTTGGAGGCCGCTGGTTTTGAGATCAAGGCTGTTGACACCATTGGTGTCCACTACTCTGCTACTCTCTGGCGCTGGTACCGTAACTGGATGGGCAACCGTGAGAAGGTTGAGGCCAAGTATGGCAAGAGATGGTTCAGAGTAAGTCCTCCCAGGTGCTAATGCACTACTACGTCGAAGTAGAGACAACTAACATCCGTCTGTTAGATCTGGGAATACTTCCTTGCTTCTTCGACCATCACCTCTCGTCAGGGTGGTGCCACCTGCTGGCAGCTCACTCTTGTCAAGAACATCAACTCCACCCACCGTATCGAGGGTATCAACACTCAGTACGGTCTTAAGGGTGCCCGTCAAGCTGCTATCGACTCTGTCGGTCACGGCGCCGTGCCCAGTGCCCACGTCACTCCCAAGGCCTAAGTTTGACGCTGGCATGTGAATACTGGTCAACGCCTCTAGTTCACACTTACTTCCCTGCCCGGTGTATGCATGGATGACCTATGTCTTTCGAGCCTATTGGATCCAATGACATGATTCATGGAGCAACGGAAATGCCTTTGAAAGGGTTAATGAAAAATGTGTTTTTAGTCCCACTACGGGAAGAAAAGAGTTAAGGAAATATTTCCCCAGGAAGGGAAAGAAGAGACGTATGTTTTCATTGATAGCTGTTATGTATGTTTATAGCCATCTTGATTTGTATAACTTCGGCCCCACGTGGGGCAAGCAGGTTATAAATCACAGGAGACATGTATTAATGAGAATAGAAATGATGCGTATACGGGCTGATTCCTTGTGTCTATACGGAGTACTGCTACACTATGGTAATCTGTATCTTAAATATGTGCTCAAACAAAAGTGAGGAATACATTTGATATATCACAGTTCATCCATGTCATAATGCTTAAACTATATACAAAAAGAGGTCGCATTTACACCAACCGAACCCCGCCAAACATCTCACTTAGTCAACACGCTTGTAGAGTTTCGCCTTACTGCCTCCAACACCAGAACAGCATGCCGCAGCCGGCGTCGGCTCGGGGTGAAGAGTGGATCTATTGAAGGCCTGAGACGAAGGAGGTACATCCAGAGCCGGGTTCTTCGTAAAGAAGCCATCCGGTCGAAGCATAACGCTAATACGCTCCATAGGCATGACAGGGAAATCCTCAATGCGAGGGTTATGAGTGAGACCGAAAGCTAAAAGTTAACGTTAGTTTTCCTTTTACCTTGCTATCATTGTCTTAGTGGTAGGAAAGAAGGAAGGACTTACTGTGCCAAAGCACCACGTCTTCATTTTCAGTATCGTCGTTTCTCTGGACCCAGGTCTCGACACCCTCGGCCTTTTTGCTCTGGTTCGTGAATTCGCCTGCGGCGAATAGTTCGTTGTCCTGATACTTGGTGACCCAGATCGGCTTGCTGGCGAATTCGGCCCGCTGATGTCCCACTGCGTGCTTCGGGAGCAGGAGCATCTGGCTAGGCGCTGCCATGAGTTTGTATGAGACGGGCTTGTAGGTGATGGGGTTGATGACGTTGTCGTTACGGATTTTGAAAACGCGGTGACGGTTAACGTCTGTGTTTGCGGAGCTGGACTTGCCGATCACGGTCTGTTCTGTGGTGTAGCCGACCAGGTAGGGGTTATTCTCGTCCTCGGGGAGCGGCACGCTATCTTCGTAGTAGATAGTATTCTTGAAACCGTCGATTGCAGGGTCGATACGGAGGGAGAACATGTGTTGGTGGTAGGGGGCCATGACGCCAGGGCCGACGTTGGTACCCCAGGGGACGGTCTCGCCGTTCAGGTTGTCGAAGGGAACGGTGGACAAAATGCCTGTTGCACGGACCTCAAGCTCAACGTTTCCGGCCTGATCGAAGATATAGGCAAAAATGTATTCGTAGTTCGCGACAGTGCAGATCATCTGGAGGACGAGCTGGCGGTTGCGCTTGACGGTTGCTGCGTTTGAGCGGTAGTTTGTGTGCTTGTATTGTAGGCCGTTGTCTTGTTCGTGCATGCAGATTATGTTCTTCAACAGGATGGGGTTACCCTTCGAGTCGGATCTGTAGCCGTCGAAATATTTGATATGGCCTAGACAGTCACAGCCCAGAGAGAGTTGGTTGGCATTGAGCCCAAAGCCGACGTCGCCAACGTCGAAGGCTTGCTTGCGGTGGTAGGGGGCTCGGGGATCTAGGAGGGATCTGTTAGATAATGGTGTGTTTGAGAGGGATATGGTGATGCTTACCTCCGTAAGGCACGGTCATTTCCGAGACGTTCAGGCGGTAGAAGACGTTGCGCTTGTCGTATGTGATATTGTGGAGAACAAGACCCTCCCGGCAATTGAATCCGACCCTGAAGCGCCATTTCTGCCAGTAAACGGTGTTACCATCAACGGAGAAGGAAGCACCCTCAGGCTGCTGAACAATGTATGGCTTGAGATCCGTCCGGAGTGGTTCATCTAGAAGTTCTGGGGCATACTGAACGCCTTTGACGGGTACCCACGGCTGAGTCTCGACTGTCTGATGATCTGCGCCACCGGGAAGATAATCCATACGGACCAATTCCTTTGTCCGGGCATCAAATACAGGAGAGAACTTGCAAGGCAGAGAGTAATGGTTGTTCTCGGGGTGGTCCACCTCTACAATATACATGAAGCATTGGAAGAGTCGCCTTTTCTCGTTGGGGTCGTCAGTTCCGTACATCCATGGGTCATTGCAGACTGTCATGCCAGGCGGAAGCTTGAGCTTCTCAATTTCTGCCAGTACTGCCGGGTGTTGCATGCAGTGCTCTTCGATACCGGCAATTTCATCAACATCCATTGGTGGCTGTTGCTATTGTTAGCAAAGGCTGGCCGGGGAAGATCGTCATGAAGATAAACACACCTGCACTCCCTCTGGGAACTCTTTTGCGTAGATGAGAGACTTGGTATCAGCATTCATCAAGGCCTTGATGCAGACGCCGGTGTCAAGACGGTTGAAGTAGGAATACAAAAGACGTGCTGGTCTAGGTGGGAGAGGCTTTCCTAGCCGTTCTGCCTCGATATAGGGAAGGACATCTTGCTTAATGGGCTCATGAATATCAATGCGGTTGTAACGCAGTGGAACACCAGGAAATGATGCCTCTAGGATGCGCACAGCGAGTCTAATCTCTTCCGGTCGTACGGGGTCAAACGGGTGAAGCTTCCCCGATGTTGTCGATGTTGTCTCTTGAGATGTGAATGACATGATGAGAAGGGGTTACGGGTAAGGGTATTTTATATATATATATGTGTGTGTGTGAGTGTGAGGAGAAGTGTGAGTAATGGTCAAGGATAGACAACGAGCGTCTTAGGGAGGGAATATTGAAGTGAAGGATGAAGTATCATGGATAGGAAGAGCGAGAGAAGCTCTTTATATAAGTCAGTGGCATTGAGAGTTGGCCACCATAAAGGCGGTTCAGGGTAACTATAGATAGTGGTCGAGGAAGCATATCAAGAAGCGTTTCCACATGGCGCATGGACATGCCATATTAGGTAAGGTCGCTGTCAACTTGTGGGGATGCTCTAATCTGCTCCAGGGCTGCCTCAAGCATACCCCGGAAATACAGACATCTACTAGTACTTATCTAATTCTACACAGTATGATTACTTAAAGATCTACAGTATCTGTACTAGCCGATTCGTACGAAGGATACCTATCGCCTGCTCGAGACGCAAGAAGTGGACGGTGTGAGTGTATACAAAACCGTGGTCAAACTTACCGAACGTATTAAATCCCTACTGATCTTGAAGAGGTGATAATGCTATTGGAGCAAGGAAGATCTAACATTTGGATCGTGGCGGTATGTAATACGTAGTACGTATGGAAATGCGGGTAACTTCAGAAAATCCTTACATAACCACCCTTCGATAACAGGCGTATCTCCTTCCCCTTCAGGACTAGTCTTTGAGTTTCCTCCCCCCGTGACCCGCGGGCCATTACTTTTACAGCGGCGGAAATCGTTCTGATTGCTCACATTATCTTTCTTTAAAGGGTCTTCGAAGTATTAGCATTGTATTTGCTTAAGACAAGCTGCCCTCCTGATAAAACGAGGGGCGACATCGGGGTTTGGAGACTCAAGTTACAACCTGCACTCCCCGCGCTTATCAGTGATAACCAGCGCAACGTGCCTTATGCCGATAAGACTGTTACGCAATGCTATACACATTCCCCGACTATGAATCAACTTGATACAGCAGCCAATGTCTCCGAAAGAAGCCCTGTTCAGGGCACAACTAGAAAACGTGCCAGAAGAGAGGGCTCGAAATGGACTCGATCCGGCTGTTTGACTTGCAAGAAACGTCGCAAGCGGTGCGATGAAGCTAAACCTAGGTAATTCTCCCCGGTGCTTCAATGAGCGTAATGGAGCTGACCATTTGACGTAGCTGTCGTAGTTGTGTTAGGCTTGGGCTAACCTGTGAAGGCTATGGCTCAATGTGGGCAGAGCCACTCAAACCATCCGCAGATATTTTCCAGCAGGTTGTGCCACCAAAGCGACGACGAGTTAGCCCGTCGCCTTCCCTATCTGCCAGCTTCCCGGCGGCACCAGCAGAACAACTCTCGCCCAATTCAACTGTGTTCTCGGGCTATACTACTGGTCCATCAACTCCGTCAGATCACGGCGCAACTGAGATATGCACCCCACGAGATGAAGATAATGACTCTCATGGAAACGACGATATAGCGCTTGGTGTTACTCACTCTGAGAACTGTACTATTGTTGTACCCAAACAATGCGGATCTCTCAGCCATCTATCGAAACTCGAAATGCACTATCTCCAGTACCATATGGAACAGGGCTCTAGGCTCCTAGCTAATCTGGAAAGTGATGAGAATCCTCTACGATCCTTAATCATTCCCTATGCGTTATCATCACCACTCTTGATGAAGGCGCTATGTGCCGTGTCCGCAATGCACTTGGCAAATCGCTCTTGCGGTAACTTGAGCGCGCAGACTGCAGCAGCTAATTATTACGTGCGCACAATGAGTGGTCTCCGCTCGGCTCTTTCAAAGTCTCCTGTTGAAGGGTTCCCCACAGACTCAATTTTAGCAGTGGCGCTTCTCTGCAAGTACGAAATTGTACGGGGAAGTGTAAAGCAATGGGCAGTGCACCTGAGCGCACTGGAGAAACTAGTGGTTTCTCGCGGCGGATTTTCCACGTTCGATCAAGACACAGCTGAGTTTCTGTGGGGACTGTATGTAGCGCTCCCAATTACTTACGACGCACTGCTAATCAAAATTCATAGTTTCATGTATGCGCACAACGTGGCGAGGGTCACTAACCGTAAACAAATCACGAACTACATCCCCGGTGAAGAAGCTTTAAGCCTCAGAAAACTCGACATATACATCGGATACACAGAAGACATCATCAGACTCTGCCCCCGAATTGCCGACCTACCCTTACTTAGTCACGATCCCGTTGCTCTAGGATTGGAAATCCACACAATGTATGTTATCCCGAGTGTCAACACCGAATAAGAAGGACTAAATAATTAACGCTCAACAGAGACTCATCACTCCGAAACTGGACACACACCTCAACCCCATACATAATCCCCAGAGGAGCCACAGACGCAAGTCTTGTCCGCCTGCGCATGGTAGCAGAGTGTTTCCGCGACGCCGCGTATGTTTACCTCCATTCGACCCTAGAACGAATGAGCCAGGGCACCGTAGCTCGAAATTTACCATCATTGTGGTCTTCATTCGTCTCCCGGACAAAACAAGTCGCTTTACGTCGTTGTCTGGACAGAATCCAGTCTTTACCTCTGGATGAAAACTGCGAGTATTCGGCCCTTACGTTTCCGCTTTTCATCGCGGGCTGTGAGAGCGAGAGCCCTACGGCAAGGGAGCTGGTTACCCAGTCGTTGAGCAAATTAGAAAGTAATTTTGGGATCGGGAATACGAAGCGGGCTAAGGAGTTATTAAATATCCTCTGGAATGGGGAAAAGATGCATTGGTTGGATGTATTGGAGCAATTGAAGTGGGACTTGATTCTTGCGTGAGGTTTGTTCAACCAAAATATCATTCGATGTAATATTAGCATGGAGTTACAGGACATTTTATATAATCGGTATACTGTGTGGGCATTTGGGTCTATGGGCAGATTAAGTATTTATGAGCGGATATAGGCGGGTTAATTATTCATTGGCATACTCTCTTGTTGCTTCTTTAGCCGTGGTCAATTTTTTGGGGCTATATAAAAATTAATATATGGAATGAAAGGGTATAAACATGAATTGGTTTGTGTGACCGATGAAGAGACACGGGCGAAAGCCAATGTCGATATACCCTGTCAAAGACCACTAGCCTGCTCAACGACTCGCGACATCCTTCTCAATTACCTAACTTAATCCCATATTGACTTCGTCACCTAATCCCATCTCCCGTTCTGCCCTCTCAATGCCTCCTGCAGCGCGTGAACCCCAGCGATCCAAGCGATCTTGCGAGTGTGCAATCTCCTTGTCTCGTGCGCTCTTATCGCTATGGGCTGCACTGCCATGGATGCTTCCTTCCCGACCTAAACTGCCGCTGCCACTGGAGTAGCTGGACGACAGCTTCTGTGAGGACGGAACGCTAATCGGCCTGGAGGCGATTTTGCCGGGGCGGCTGGAACTAGTGGCAGAGGTTATTCTTCCGAGATCTACGGACGAGTTATTGTTGGAGGCTGGTAGTGTGGAGGAGGAGATGCTGCTGGTTTTGTCGCTTACAGTCTTCGAATTCCCAAACCAGCGTCGTCTCCGTGCTTTGGAGGTGGACCCGGCGAGACTCTCGGAATCAGCATCGACTGTTGAAGCGTCAAGGGTTCCGGATCCCCTTCTCTTCTCCCTCTCCTTCTCTAGCGCCTGGGTTAAGCCGGACGTTGCCTCCGCCGATGTCGAATCGGCGGTCGATGAGACCTCCACGAGTTCAGCATCGCGACACCACTTTCTCCGACGAGTGTATCGATCCCAGCCATCTTGGCCCCGACGGCCGTCATTCCACTATGAGATTTTAACGGTTAGGAAATGGTATCGCTTACGTTAGAACAATGCCATAGAAGGCTCACCTTATTGTCATAGTAGATCCATCCCCCGCCATCTTTGGCACTCGCATCATCGGCGCCATCGATGCGCCACTCACTCCCTTCTACCCAGCGCCATTTGGCATTTCCGCTTTGAACTTCAGGTAGCTCAAATTCATCCTTTGATGGCACATTGTTGAGGTGCTCATCGGTCCATGCAGCTCGTTCGGACGGGAACAGTGAGTAGGTCCAGCCGATTCCGAGCCAGCGCCGTTGGTTCTCATATAGGATGAATGTAAAGCGCACGCCGGATGAGTCTCCCCGTCGACGGGTTGCAACGCTAGCAGCATGCCCATGGCTTTGTGTCCGAGCCGACGGTGTCTTATCCACGTTCAATGAGAACGATAGACCGGTGATCAACGAGCAAATCCGGCGGACGGTTAGTGATCTCCATAGGATAACGCGGGATACCCTCGCTGGTCGGGAGTGATAGGTGAGGATAATGGTGCCAATGATCAAGATAACACGACGCGTGGTGATGAGGTGCAAGGGAGGCAAAGTCAGGGCAATCCAGATAGGTGTTACAAAGAGGATTCGGAAGAAGAGTGTGGTCAGGGCTGGTCTGGTGGTTGCGGATGTAGCCGTCCTTTGGGTGGACAAGAAATCCGTAAGTTCCAGGAACGGTTCTAGAAGCATGTTACAGCGAGTCGTGAAGGCTCTCATCGTCTCAACAATCTCATCGAGGCTGTCATGATGGCGTAAGGAGCTCTCCGAAGGAGCTCTCTGATGGCCTGGTTTCTCTCCGGATATGGATCTGGTCGATAAGGGGGAGTAGCGTCTCCAATACATTCCTAGAATGAGTCCGATCACCACCAGGGGCGGACCGGCCCATAGAATGATGGCATCACCATAGAGGACGACCGTCCAGAAGACCGATACTAGGAGGAAACTTTGCCATGCATCGTCGGTGGTCCATGTCAATAAGCCCACTAGCTTATTCAATGGCAAGATAAAGGGGTGGGAGTAGGCTAAGGCCCGAGTGATCGGTGGGGGAGTCGCGACCAATAGAGGGGATTTGCGATGTACGATAATGCTAGAGCGCTGTCGGGATGCTAGCGATGAGCCGGAGATGGTCGTTGGAGAGAAAGCAGCGACCGTTGGGGGCTGAGAATCAGCATGGTCCTGCGCGGAAGTTGATGGGGCCATGGAATCTATCCACGGAATATCGTCTGCCATGCCATCAGCATCTATGTAGAAGTGCTCTGAAGAACACTTCCCTCCTCACGCGGAGAAAGAATGTGGGGGAGGGAGCAGGGAATAAGCGTTCAGCTGATGATGGGGGTGAAGTTGGAGTTTGTGGACTCAGGCACACGAAACAAGGATAACATACCGAGAGCTGCCATCCAACAGAGACGTCATATGTAACCAGTTGGCTCATTGCGGGCGGTGAGCACGCGCATAGGGAAGAAAAAGAAGAAAGGAAAGAAAAGAAAAGAAAAATGAGGACAGAAGGTCGAAGAAAAGGGTTGGAGATCACGAGCAACCCCGGTCTAGTCGAAGATCTCAGGAACCGACGGTCAACCCAGAATATTTGATCGCCTGCGGGGGAACAAACTGCAGAAAGTCCCGCGGGAGGAAACAGTTGAAGCTTTTCGCTGGTTCTCGGGACATGTGACAATGGGGAGTTAATGCCAAAAGTAAGGTGTCAGCAAATCTTCCTTACTAAATATGGGAGTCGTTGCGAGAAGAGGGGATAAGAAAAAAAAAATATTCAAAAATGAGCCTAAATATTATTTGATTTCTTGGGGAAATATATACACAGTATATATTTCTATATACCCCCAAAAAGAAAATAACCGTAGTCCTCTAGCGATCCCTGTCCATCAGCACTGAGGTTTCGATTGTAGAAACAGCCAACAAACCGTGCCAAGGTACGGAGTACAGTACATACTACATACATACCAGTAACCAGTAATCAATAACTACGGAGTCCTAGTGGATGTCCATACTTAACTTACATACAGCTGTAAGTTAGGAATCGTTCCGAAGTCGCCCCAGCCAGTCATGGAAAATTACAGCCGTCGTTGGTCCCGAGCCCGATGGCGGTACCAGGTACGGAGACAATACCGCTGCCGAAATTTTTCCATTGCCGTTGCGGTCTCAAACCTCCGTCTGTTTCCATCGCCATCCAACCTTTCTTGATCTCTCCCGGACCGCCAGAAACGCAACTGTTGCCTGCCTTGCGTGTATCTTACCGCGATCGCAGACTTTGTTTTTGTCGCGTCTCCTTACCTTTGTATTCTTTGTCTGTTTTCTTGGCTCTGAAGTACCACCGTTCAATCCACATTTAGCTAACATGGTAAGTCGCCGATGTCTATCCACGATGTGATTGTTTGCTTTCCCTCCACGCCTTTCGATTCAGTTCACTAATGGGGGTTTCCGTTCCTATCAGGCCCACCGTCTCGTTTCTCAAGTCGTTGTTACGGGTGCCCGAGTCTTCGGTCGAGCCTTCGCCGAGGCTTACAAGCAGGCTTCCGCTACCGGCAAGTATCAGGCAGTCAAGGGCAAGGGTGGAAGCAGCTTCTCTTCGTCCGGTTTGACCCTCGATGAGGCTTGCAAAATTCTTAACGTGAAGCCTCCCCAGGGTGGTGAGACCAACTTGGAACATGTGATGGAACGATTCAAGAAGCTGTTCGATTTGAACGACCCACAAAAGGGAGGCAGTTTCTACCTTCAGAGCAAAATCCTTCGCGCACGGGAAAGGATAGAGATGGAACTCCGCCAGGCGGAACAGAAAGCTGCCCAAGAGAAGGAATTACGTGAGGGCTGGAAGCCCAAGGTTTACAAGGATTAAGGATTGACCGGTGACTCCTTGGCGCTGGAGTCTAGAGATGGAATACTTCGGGACTGCTTCCAGGGACGCCTTTCAAATCTCGGGTCGATCAAAACGAACGCCCTCCACGGTTGAGGCGACCGCATCGAGCATATACGAGAGACCGAAAGAAACCTATAAACTCCATCGACTTATTACATATTCCCTCTCGGTTTTTGCAGCATAGCATGGCGTTTTGGTAATTCCAACATCCGGGTTGGAGAGAGTTCTAGATTTGTTTTCTAATTCCCCCATTCTTTATACTCCGGGTCAGGTAGCGGTGGAAGACATTGGTGTCGGAATCGGAGGTGAATCATTCTGCGTGCCACGAAGCCGACCCTGTCATTCGATGCATCCCCGCTTATCTCATTCGGATTATATGATTTTGTGTATAGTATTTGTCGGAAGGCCTGGAGCTACAGATGGATCGGATTATGTCGAGGATATTTGCGGGATCGGACTACCACCTTCTGTGCTCGCCACGTCTATCCATCTTGCTTTGATCCTCCATGTGCTCCCTTTGATTATGACCTCTACTCCACTCTTGTGTTCTAGACACAGCGTTGTTCATGTACTATAAGGACCCATTCTGTGCCCTCAGTCTAGGTGCGATGATTAAAGTGTGTATAAATGTAACCGCCATCTATTGACATTTGTGAATTACCTGTTAAGAATAAGTTATCCATCAGGAAGACTGTTGGGCTTACATAATAAGACAATAGAGTTTGAGGGGCAAAAGGGACGAGAGGAAGAGAAGGAAAAAAAAAAAAAAAAAACAAAGTCAATTGCCGCCGACGTTGATCACCGCCTTGAGCCGAGATAATCAGGAACACCCGCCATATGCAGGAAGGGATCCTAACAATCAAGTTCACGCAAACCAGACAGCACCGCTCTCATTTGGTGGGGACGATACCCCGTGTAATTCTTTAGGCTCTTCCATCTGCAGCCCCTCCCTTTGTGACAATGAATCTCCGGGAGCCCATGGGGCTACAGCTATGGCGCCATCCCGAGCGGACGTTCCGCGCCGATGGTTAGAAATCGAAAAAGTCCGGCCACTGTCCAGATCTCCGATCGCTTATCAACGCTCATTGCCCCTCCCTTAACCTCTTCTCTCACCCTGTTTTACATACCGTCGATGCTTATAGAGTAGTTCACCATCGCTCAACTCCGTTTGAGTCCCTCGCAGAACTCTTCTTTGACCGCGACAATGGGCCGCCCCTCACTTCCGCTGTCGGCGAATTTGCCGCCACTGGTCATGGGCACTGCGACATTCAACTCTCAGTACAACCCCGATCCCTACGCCCTCCCTACAACAGAATTAGTCCATCGTGCCCTCGCTGGTGGTGTCCGTGCCTTTGACACATCACCCTACTATGGCCCCGCGGAGGAACTCCTCGGCCGAGCGCTGGCCACAGATTTCGTCCAGTCCAACTTTCCCCGCTACACATACCGCTTGCTCACTAAAGTCGGTCGAGTCGCGTCTTCTTCGTTCGATTACTCCCCGGAATGGGTGCGATATAGCATTCAGCGCAGTCTTCGTCGTCTCCACACCGACTACCTTGACGTAGTCTACTGCCACGATGTCGAATTTGTCTCTCCACAAGAGGTGCTAGAGGCCGTCCGGGAACTACGCCGCATCCGCGACACAGCGGGGACGATTCACTATGTGGGTATATCTGGATATCCTGTTGATGTACTGAGTGATCTTGCGGAAATGATCCTACGGGAGACGGGCGAGCCGCTCGACATCGTCATGTCTTATGCCAATTTCACCCTGCAGAATACCCGGCTGCTCACCGAAGCTCTGCCCCGTCTTGTGGCTGCTGGCGTCGACGTGATTCCCAATGCTTCGCCATTAGGAATGGGTCTGTTGCGTCGCTCAGGTGTACCAATTGGTAGTATGGGAGACTTCCACCCCGCTCCGGACGGGTTGAGAAGCGCAATCCACCGCGCTGCAGAATGGGCCGATACTCAGGGTGAGAAGATCGAAGTAATTGCTATCCGGTTTGCGCTCGAGTCGTGGCTCCGCGAGGGCGCCAAAGCCGGCGCTCTGGGCCCGCCTTTGGCTCGGTCTGCGGATGCGGATCCGGGCTTCCTCTCCGTTGTGAACATGGGAACCGGCGAGCGACTTGGCGTCAGCGTGATGGGCGTGAGCAACCTAGACGAACTAAACGAGACGCTCCGAGTCTGGCACAGTATCATCGAGGGTCTAGAAAACAAAGACGACGAAGAAATCACCGAAACTGGCAATACCCAATCCAACCCAGCCGCCGTCCCTTCAGCCGTCCAAGCCCCTACAATCCTCACTCCCTCAGAAGGGATCATCACTGACCGCGCATGGTCAAACTCCCGTCGTCACCGCATTTTAACCCTTGCCCAGGAAATCCAGGCGATCCTCGGCTCCGAATGGGTGGACTTTGTCTGGCCAAGTCCTGGAACGGATTTCGTCAACACTTTGTCTGCCGAGCATCTCGCCTTGAGATCGGAACTGGCTGGACTTACTTCCGCAGGACGGGAAAAGGCAGCTCCTGCTACACCGGATGGTCAAACGATGATTACTCCCCCGTTGGATGCAGTAGATACGAGGATACCCGTCGATGCAGCCCCTTCGGATGTTGCGTTGTAAATATCAGATTCTTCCATTGTATATGATTTTGCTCAAAAATAGACCGGGGAGGATGGCTTTTGGTTTGTTCCTCCTTTTCCATTGATGATCAAACGGAATTATTTTTACGACTGAGTGGCTGGTATGAGTGATGTTATTTGCCGAATCAAATAGACTTATGATATATGGTGTCTGAATCTTCTATACGTAAATACAGTATATTTTCTGCAAACAATGCTAAGCATGGGAAAACAGAAATACAACTGGAAAGTAAAAATAAAATAAAATAAAATTGTAAATCTAATACTTTTGTGAGGAATTAGGTGTGTAGATTATCACACACGCACATTTATATATATTACATCATTAAATCTTACCTCATTTGATTAAGGAACTTGAACTAAAATATCGACTCCAGACCAAATCATCCTCTCCAAGCAATCGCGTATAGCGCTTCCTTGGTGAGAAGGAGGTGGAAAGGAAAAGAACAGCGACAGGAAAACCTGCCATCACTGTACCAAATTGGATTGATTTTTACTATCAATGTCTGTTTCTGTGTCTGTCTAGCGCCTGCCAGAGCAGGAATGAGCAAGCTTGGTCTTCTGGAGAATTTACCTGAAACCAAAACGCTTGCAGCGGGTGACACGGTAATCGTGAAACCTGCGAGGCGGTTAGCGAGGAGCCGAGAAAGGAGGCTACATGAGCAGTGGAGGAAAGCGCTAAGTATGAATAGGAGAGATAACCAACCGGTCTTTACGCAAGAAACGAGCTTTGGGGGGACTTTTCGTTGTCGTCATGACTGTGACGAGTTAGGAAACTGAATAGAGACAAGGCGAGGCCGCAGCGCTGTCAGAAGCTTAGAATTGCTCAGTAATGATAACAAAAACGGTCCATCCAACGAATCTCGCACGCTCATGATAATGGGTATCTGACGTTAAAAACAAAGTCCATGATAAATAGGTGAACAGAGAGGTGATCCTATGTGGGTAGGATGGAACCTGTACTAGACATATCTGTGCCCAGAGAAGAACGTATGTATACATAACTCGACACTCTGCGAATGCCATTAGTCTCGGTTCACTACTTCATTTCTTTCTCACGGTTAGCGAGATCTCTGTCCATGTCAGACTGGCTTTTGTAGCCGCCGACAATCAAGGCTTGTTCATTGGTGATAGAGTCTGGAACGGAAGGCAGGTCAGGCCGCAGTCGCTTCAAACGAGCGGCACGTTCCCGCGAGGCTTGTTGTTTCCTTTGCAGCTTGGTCAATTTCTCCTTGGGCTCCTGAGAGGGAGGTGGAGAGTTGGGTGGCAATGGTGGAGGTGGAGCCGAATCAGCCGGTGGAGGGCTTTGAGGAGGTGGAGGAGGCGAGGGTGGGGCCTGATACCGAGCGAATCTGGGATGCGTCTGGAAGATTTGGCGTAGCTGCCACCTTTGCTCGGTGTATTCATCATAGTTTGCTGCGATGATGGATTCCAAGATGCTGTTTTGTTGATCTCCTGTCATGGCCGTAGAAACCATGCGGTCTTTCAAGAGGCGATATGCATCCCGGAATGATTTGAAAATCAAAGCAATTTCGCGCGTTCCTCCGGAAACATCGTTGTCGGCATTATTTGGATCCTCAATCGAGAGGCGGGCATCCTTGTTATCCCGATAAACTTTGTAGACTCTCTGTCAAACCAAGGTCAGCCACGAAGCCTCATAATTGGACGGTTAGAACTCTTCCTTACCTTGTTAAAATAGCCTGGTGGTTCCATCCGTATACCAACAGTTTCATAGTCAAATTCATGACCATAAAATTCAAAGAAATCCATGAGAACACAGCCTAAATTTTGCGACATAGGGCCATGTGGAAGGTGCTGTAGAAGGCTTGTCACAAGACAGGTGATAGAAAATCCTCCCAAGCCGCCACAAGGGACTTCGTTCAGCCCTCGAAGCAGCAAAAATTGTTTAATCACCGAAACAATAACGGGCATGGCAGGATATTCAGACTTCCATTGCTGGAAAGTATTGTTGGCGACTAGTCCGCTATCATTGTCGAACGATAAGTCCACTCTCAGGCCAGTCATTTTATCCACAAACTTCAGGATGGGAACCCGAGCATGCGCGATCGTCTCTATTGAACCGGGTACAGCAATATCTAAATTCCTGAGGAATGCAGAGAAGGCGTAAATCTGCCCCTTTCGTTCGCCAAAAGTTTTGATACCATGACGCATGAAGTTGGATGAGAGTAGAACTAGATCTATATCGGCAGTTGGAAGGTACAGCCCTGAGGCAAACGAACCAAATGCACGAAGCTGCACCCCATAATACCTGCTTTGAAATGCCGTTTGGAGGCGCTCAATCAAGTCTGCTCGGACGATCTGTTCGTATTGCACTGGTTTCACCCAATGATAAAAGGACAGGATTTCGTTGTGCAGTCTGTACTAGCTTATTAGAATGGGATTGATGTATTGAAGTAGAGTTGAGTTGGTTCGGACCGACCTTGTACCCAAGTGCAATGTAGGCGTCATATGGTTAAACCAAGGCGCGCCCGTCTCAGACGGGCGCACTCTCCACTCGTCAATGATTGAGCCATCCGAATAATACCTATTCAGAGGTTTGCCCGTCTTCTTGGAAACACCCTTTAATTCATCGTCATGCGTTCTTTTCCGGCTTCCAACTGCAGATTCTCTTCCCTGCATTTGGCTCCTTGGCCCCATGGGCGCGTCCTGTGGAGGCTGGTATTTGCTTTCTTCCTCGTCCACCAGGCCACCTAACGAAATGAAATCCTCATTGTCTGCGACTGCGTCTGTTTTCGCTGGTTGCGCGCTGGCAGCTATCCGGGCCTTACGGATCAGCTTGACCACGTCAACTCTCTTTGACTGAGTCTCATCTGGTGGCGGTAGAACTGTGTATGGGTCTGGATTGGACCACTTGGGAGCGGGAGGTGGGGTGGGCGCTGAGGCAGGTGTGTTGGAGTTGTTCGACTCGAGGGCGCGCTTCTTGCGAGGACGCGACTCGTCATCATTCTCATCGGAGGACACGTCCATGTCAGCTTCCTCGCTATCGCTGAGGCTCTCAATAGGCGCAAACTTCAGCGCTGGCTTATCATCGCCATTTTCCGGGGCAACCAAGAGCTCTGGCGTAGTTTCTCTCTTCGATCTGAGAAGCGGTCGCTCGGATGTTGGGGGTCGCGAATAGCGAAATGTGAACTCAGGCTTGGGGTGGTGGTGATTCTGCGACCGCCTGTCGTTGCCACGGAACTGGAATGGTGGTGGCATGGCGATAGAGCCCCTGTGTAATGGGGGTTGCGAATTAAAAGGACAGAAAATGATAAGGCGAGGCGATCGATGTGAAGAAGCCGGTTAGTTGCAGCGTCACGAAACACTTACGCGGGACTTTTTTATGATTTTACACCCATTTTTTTTTCTTTTTGCCAGATACTCTTCCTTGGGTAGGCGGTGAAGGTGTGATGCCCACAAAGACCAGAACATCTACTCTACAGAGACCTTGCTAGACAGCATAAAAAGGCAAAAGAAACAGAAGATGGGAATAATTACACGAGAATATGGATTCCAAATGAAAATCTTTCAGATTTCCATCAGCAGAATCTTCATTTTCCGCATATTTTCTGCTTCCCCGACCACTCTTTCAAACCAGACTCCAACTGTTGCATCAACTGCGGATCCTCTGCCATTTCTGCAAAGCTCACTCTCTCAGTATGCCATTCCAATAGTTCTTCAGCTCTGGTGCCGCTGTTGGATTGAAGTAACCCAACACTCACGTCTATTACTAGCGGTCTTTCTTTACAGTGCCAAAAGATTGTTGCACCACAGCGGTTGCAAAATTCTCGATAGATGTCGGGTGAGCTTTCATACCGCTGCATCGTAGTTTCAGTGAACACCAAAGGTGACCCACTGGCGTTGACAATATTTGATTTTGGAATAAATGCCCACGTTTGAATAGGGAATCCGCTGGCTAGCCGGCATGATCGACAGGCACAGGTTCCAGCTAAATACCTGGCGTTTCTATCTCGAAGCCACCATTTCACATCCTGAGCGTTTTCCGATGAGCTCTTGTAGTAAGGAACTAACAGGTCCGGCCACGGGGAGGATGGCTTAATGGAATTGGAGTCTGGCAGAGTGATGTAGAACACAACGCCCCCACAGTGACAACGAGCTCGCAAGCTATGACTCTTGTCGTCCGCCGGCGATATTTCGGCGGAATCGCTGGGTTGGTTGTTGGAGCTAAGCTCGAGCCAACATGGGGACACTGTTTCCTTGGATTCACCGGGAAGAAAGGCAGCCAAACCGCCATCCTGGGTATCACTCGTTCGCCAATGCCATATGGTTTTGGTTCGACAAGAGCCCTCCACTATCAGTCCCGCTGCGACGAAGTACTGTCCTGTATGCTTCAGATGCGCAAATACATGGGCGCCACAGGTCCTACAGAAATATCGGCTTGTGACGGCAGACTGTCTATATTCGCAGAAGCGGTCAATGTTCAATGGGCGAGTCTGTAGGAGATGGTATGAAGAATATAGTTGCCCGGTGATTGCCCTACACGCCATGCAGTGACATAAATTGAGGATAGCAGGGTCTGCCCCTAGCACCACCTCTTGTGTCGCTTTTCCACACAAGCAAGAGATGCGATGAATCATCTCATCATTCTGCATGCTGGCGATCAGCTGGTGGCCGTGATAGGTTTAACTGTAGAGAAACCCCTGTATAGGATTTCGGTATTTGTATTGGTTAAGTAATGACTGGTCTGCACTAATAATGATCTTGTATCTGCCTATGCATTGGGAATCTTACAAGCCACACGGTGTAAACCTCGGTATATACGCAGATGAGCCGGGCACGAGGTTGACTGTTTGGTGCGGTCAGCGGCGATTAGCAAGGAGGGTGAGTTAAGCTGTTCACTTGTCATGCAGAAATGCGCTCAGGTCCACGCGCCCTACTGAGAGGGGAGCGGGTGGTTCTATGGGGCGATGGAGTTTGATTCAATCAAAGAGACGCATCCGTCGCCGCGGCTATAAATACCCTTTTTTTCGCCTATAAAATACGAACCCTCCTTCCTCTTCTCAAGTCTCTCTTCCAAACCACTTGCCTACGAGAACAATCACGTTAGATCTCTTTTCTTTTTTAAAGATACCAAACTCAATCCTCCAATACATCATGGGTTAGTCATGGCTCAGTCCTTTCCTTTCTCCCATTATTGGTGGGGTAATAGTGGGGGTTTTGTTTGTTATTCCATATCCTCGCTTCTCTCCCATCTGCATTTCCCTGCCCAAATGTTGATGGATTTCTCCTCGACTAGAATACTAGTTTAGGCCGGCTATTCTATTTTCTAATAGAGGAATGTGATTGTGCTAATCATCAACTTGAACAGGTTCTGATCACGGTTGCAGCTGTGGCGCCTCCTGCCAGTGCCCCGCCGGCCAGTGCCAGTGCCCCGTAAGTGTGCTGTCTCCTGGCCTACCTTGGTCACAGTGATTTGACTGACTGCTCTATCCTGCTAGAAATAAATGAGACGTCGCTTCACTCCCTGTGAGAAGATCATTGCATAAAATCAGAATTGGGGTTGCCGGGGTGGGGTTTCCTGTGTGTGCCTGAAGACAGGTGATAGGCGTCACTTCAAGCAAAGAATAGATTGACTTGCCATCATCGTCAAGAGTACCTGACAGTAGTCGCCAACGTAGAGAATCCTTTAGATCGACCTCGCCGACTCGTAGTTCCAAGCGTTATCTTGAAGCGTTTCATCTCTTGAGGGTTCGGTAGGTGATGAGCCATCCTCAGGCACCAAAAAGGCGGGGTATGTCGGGATCATGGGATCACAGCGTGTGTGAGGAAGAGTCTGAAGGACCAACGTGATATGCATTTAATACAGAGAGTCCAATATCCTGTAACTTCTCAAAGCAACATGGCTTACATGATTCTCCCTTTTTTGCCATCGTCGTTGCCTGCTCTTCGATCAACCAGATTATCTTCTACCCTCCGAACATGCCCCCCATTTCAACTCTAAATCGGAACCGGCCGAATATCTCCTACATAATCCACCAACGTAACTTTTTTTTGTTTTCTTTTCCTTTCCTGCGGCACCCGCGCGTGGGCCGGTTTGAAATCGTTCCTCGGCACCTTGGTCGTCTGTTGGTTCGTCTCAGCGGACGACATAGTTCCGCGTAACGCAACTCATACTATCTACGGGCTTCTTGGGGGATATCCAGTCCAAGGCCCATGTAACCATCACCGGAGTGGTGGACCAATAACTATTAGGCGGAGAAGGCTTGACTATCACTGATTCTTTTGTTCCGTGTGAAGACTCTACGCTTCGTGTTGAAAGGTAAGAGGCAACGGCTACTATATACAACTTGTTCAGATGCGGTGATCGTAGAGGCTCTTCAAATTCACCGAAATATGTTCTATTACCGGTTGTGGTCTGAACAGCTAGCTTGAGAATCGAGAATCGAGATTCTATCTCTCCGCCTTCAAAGACAAAGCCACGCATGTGTGACATGCATAAAAGTATACAGCCCATCCATCATTAGATAACTGCCAGGATCCAAGTTTTCTAGCCCCACTCTTTTGAAGAAATGAATGAAAAAACCATATTAGTACCGCTGTTCAATGAATCAAATCCCTCAAGGAGCGCACCGCAAAAGCCTCTGACTAGTTGCCTCACTTCCCAACAGCTCCCCCCCCACTTGCACCCACAACGTGGCATGACGGAAGACCTTCCAACAGCACAACACACTCATACCCTGTACTCCGACAGAATAGGAGAGACAGTTACGTGCTGTAGCGTCATAGAGAAATAGCTCAGGCAGCCTATCCATGCGTTCCTCAACGGATACGCAAAAGACAACCTAGAATCGAATACAACCGTCGTACATTTTGCCAATCTATGACTATCTCACCCTCCATAGTGAGAGAGCTCCCATGACCTCAGCGAAGGAGGGTCACAAAAAGGAAGGGAAAACAACGCAGATCGTCGTATCTCCAAGCGCCCCGATCAAGCCCCACTAATGCCGGGGTCCTTCTGAATGGTCCGATACTAGGGAAGCAAACTTTCTATCATGGTGGGGGGGATGTACCTGTTGACCTGTGTCCAACCATGCTGGCTACGGGTGTCACAACCTGCTTTTTGTTATCCTTGGCTTTCTTTTCTTTTGCTTTTTGCTACCCTAGTCAGCAGACGTTGAATATCATGCGTGGCTGATGGGCGTCAACGTATTGGTGGGGGTTCTGAACTGTATTCTGTCTGTCCTTGGGTAGTAAATAGGGCTTGATCGGCAGTATCTTGAGGATATATAAACACCACTTCTACCCGCCCTTGCTTGAGTACCTTGATAGAATCAGACAACCACTCTCTCTCAAATACCAAACTACTCTACTACTTTCATTCGAACAATCCAGTTCATACCAATCCCTTCTACAACCATGTCTCCCTGCAACTGCAACTGCTGCTCCGGCGACTGCAACTCTTGCTCTTGCAGCTCTTGCAAGGTATGCACTCACCTATCTACCTGCTCATAACCCCCTAGAAATAAGATATAGAAATTCACAATGGAACAACAGCACTAAATGCATCACCCCTGACACCGATCCAACAATCCTCAAGACAAGAGTTCATGTCGCAGACGTCGATGGTCCGGTGACGTCCCTTCTATCTCTCGACGAGCGGCATCAGTGAGGATGTGATGAAGTGCAGTGTTCTTTCCTTCTTTTCTTGTTCCTTTTCTTCGGGGATAGAAGTTGGGTGGACATGCGCGCATGAATGATGGTGATGATGATGGCTTTACCTTTTTACTTCTCGTTTTATTTTTTTTTTTGAACATACGTTTCTTGCTTCGGAAGATTGCCTTCGTGCCGAGTAGTGTTTCCTTGCTGGGTTCTTTGAGTGTAGGTGTGTGTAGTGGTGACATTAGTATGTTTCTGCAACGGTGTGGTTTTGTATGACATTTGTGACATTGGAGTGCGCGAGTGCGTAAGGGCGAGCTATCCAATAGTAGTAGTAGTAGTAGAATGAAACAGTCTCTTACTCTTATTGGACCAGTGACGTCTCATGGTATACCCTCGGGTGTAATGTAATGCGATTAACAGGTTATAAAGAAACCTTGCTAACGAGGTCTGTTGCCACCAATATAAGTCATATATCTGTGGACGTAGTATTAAGGAATGCATTTGAATACATCTCCCCCCCCACCACACACACCCACCCACACTGAGTCCAAACTTTGAAACTTGTAAGTAGAATGAGTTCAGGCCTGAGCTCGACGCCTCAGGGTGGAGTCAGTGTAGCTTCTCCTCGAAATATCTCACACTCTAGGAAGAACAATAGTCACTTTGACTCTTCCGCCTCATAGACCGTCTATATTCTTATGTAGATAGCAACGAATCTCTCATTAGAATGGCCTTTGCGGACGCGGAAATTCAAGCTAGAGTCTACACCACCAACCCCGTCATCTTTATCCTAATAGTTCTAACTGGAACTGTAACTACATATAGCAGCTCTCACGTTGTACGCAATAGTTCTAGAGCTTTACCTGGGTATAAAACATCTTGGGAAGAGAACTTCGCAAGGAACTTATTCGTCAATTATGTTAGTATCGCTGCTGTTATGGTCATCTGAATTCCTGCATAGATATGGTAGTGCTGTCCCACCTGGACTGATGCACGTCAGGTCAACTGGGACGAGTTTCCAAAGGTTTTACGTGGGCCAACAATGATAAGGAGGTAAATATAAGGAGAACGCAGAGACTACTGAAACGCACGACAAGGACATTCTTTAGCTAGGCTCAGTTAATGCTACGCATTCTATCTATAGAAATGCGACTCTTCGGGTGGGGTGGCCATTGAGCTTAGTTGTTACCAGTGGTAGAATGGTATCTAACCAGAGATCTCCTTCAATGGCCGAGCAATTACGGGACTTGGACTGTTAAGATAGGGGGAATAGCAAATTAAGAACGTCCTGAAAGACCAGTGTCATGCTTATAATTAATCTTCTACAGCGAAGCACACCGAATCAACATAAACGCTCCGCTTCATAATGTACCACCAAACTGATATATCCGACCCAATAGTCTAATAGGTCGCAGGCGTAACACTCAACCGACCTCCATCTGTAAGCACACAGTTCCCATTACAGTAGGCCCCCGCGCGCGACGCCAAATATAAAAGCGGTCCCATAATATCCTCCGGCGTTCCTGCTCGCTCCGCAGGGATCTGGTCTAGAGGAAACGCCCCCTCCTCAGTAGGATTCTTTCCCTCAATCAAATCAGCTGTCAGATCAGTCGGGAATACTACCGTCTCTGTCAGTACTTTGCTCGCTTTGACGTCGTTACTAGTAAAAAAAAAAAGAAAAGGACTTTCTTACTCCCAGGACAAAGAACATTGGTACGAATCCGATACGGCACCAGATAAGTTGCCAACACCTTCATCATCATCGTCGTGGCAGCCTTGCTCGTGGTGTAGGCAAATCCAACCGAGATGCGTCGGTTGAAGCTCCCGATACTGCTTGTTGCAATCACCTGGCTGCGTCCATTGCCGTAACTGCCGTTTCGGTTCCCTGCATCTAACAAGCCCAGAAATGCAATGGTGGTGTAGAACACCGCGGTGCAGTTCACGTGGAACGTGTTGGTGAATTCCTGCACTGGGATGCTATATAGCGTTTCTTGGAGCTCAGCGATGCTTGATCCGGGCGGGACGCTGCCGGATGGACCGGCAATGCCGGAGTTGGCAATGAGGAGATTGATATAGCCGGTGTCTGCTTCTATGTGGGTGACAGCGGCTTTGAGAGCTGACTGGTCGGTGACGTCGCATTGGATTGGGATTACGATGTCCTTGTCCTGAGGGGGAGCGTGGAAGGTAAGTTAGACGGCGCTGCATTGATGGAATGTTTAGGGTTCGGGGCGAGGGAGAGATTTAACTAGTTCTGCAGCTACTTGCTCCAGGATGGATTTCCTTCGTCCGAGAATGTATACTTTCTTTGCACCGTTGGCAGCTAATGCTTTAGTCATGAAAAGACCGAGGCCTGGGCGGGTAGAGGTTTGTGAGCTCTGCGTTTATCACAACATTCAATTGAATAGTATTTCTGTGGTTAGCTTACCGCTGCCGCCGCCGGTCACTACGGCCACAATACCGGATACGTCGAAAAGGCTGGCTGCTGAGACACTAGATGTGGCCATGGTGGGAGATTGACTGAAGCAGGCGAATGTAGATGGAACAAATAATTTATTATTACCACAGTGGACAGCATACCTTCTATATAATTGCTTCCAAATGGGGTGCCGACTGCGGGGTACCACGGGGCTAGTACTAGATACTTCAACTGTACATTCTCTACAGGTCATATAGCGACTGGCTTCACCCGGCCGGAGACTCCTTCCATTTCGAACCAATCTTGACTCTCCCCAGCTTCGCCAAGTCATGCGGAATAGACGACGGTAACTACAGTAGGTGCAACTCTACGAAGAAAAACTAACAGTCGATTAATTGGTTGGGTTGTGGTATAGATTAATGCATGGACGTCTATACAGGTCTTGGTCACCATCTGGTCGGAACTAAGATGAATCTACTATCCCTATCAAGCTTCACTCTGATGTCCATTTTCACCACACAGACCATCTAGTATTATAATTGTTCAAGAGTTAAAACTCCAAATTAAATTGTCATTGTCCACGGAGGGCAAGATTAGGGCTTCCGGCAAGACAGCTATGATCACAAGCACGAGATCTAGTATCCAACTCAATACCTCCCTCTTATGCAATCAGGCTAACCTAAACAAAAGAGATCAAAGGCTTTACAAGGCCACTGCCACAATACCGTCTAACGTGAATGTGGTTGCGTAAACCTTCCCTATGCCAGACGTAGCCCTGATCAGTACATTCAACCCAAGGACATCCATTGCGGAGGTTGCTGAGGTGGCAATGATGTTGAACCAACCCATATATGACGTTTGTAGGCTGGAAATTTATAAGGTAGTCTCTATATTAAGTCGTCTCTTCCGGCGTCGGCTTTTCCGGCTCACTCCGGAGTCTCTTGCTTAATTTGGGCGGCGTGAGCGGGGCTTCAAGAATCACGAATGGAATGGATGGAAGCACATAATCCATGGCAATACCACTCTCCAAAGGTTTGGTGATACATTCCTGGTAAATTGAGGTTGTACTGGATGTAGTGGGAGCATGGTACAATGCCAAAATGAAAGCAGGCTACCCGACGCGATATGTAAAATGTCAGATACCTTGAACACAGATTTCTCGGCGGGATTTGGAGGCGGTCATAGTATATAATTGCTATAACAGGCTGTTTAAGATCGTTGACAACTAGTATGACAGGAGCTAATTGACCGATTCAGTAATAAAGAGCTTTAATAGTTCAGAACCTCATTCTATTCAGTCGAGTGATGCAGAGAATTCATATCCTGTGAAGAGTTGTCTGAGCGAAAATATGGTCCTAAGCAGCTTGTCATGTCTCATTGTGATCCATGATGGAATACAGTACTGCCTGTTCTAACTATTTTATCTACTGTCGCCTGCGGTAGTCTGCATGTTGGCACCGCTCAACCTACTTGCTGTCATCGCTCCGGTATACCTTGACTTCGGGTTAAATCATTCACTTCATTAGTTATCAAGAGAGCTCAGTCTAGCGACGATAGCGGCTCTTTTCAGCCGCCATCGCACTCAACCGTCCCAAAGGCGTGTTATTCATTACATCAAATACTGTCATCGATGCCCCGATTTCCGTCTCGAACCAGTTCTTCAAGTCGATAGCCACAAGCGAGTCAATTCCGTAAGTCTGGATTGGCTTACCCGCCTCAATATCCGACGGTGACATCCCTAAGATGTGACCGACTTTGGCTGAAAGCCATTCAGTGACAAGCTCAGTTGCCTCATGGTGTGACGTAGCATTTTTGAGCCTAGAAGAGCGATCAACATTTGCCGCACCTGCCTGGACCTTGTGCAGCTTCGAGGCTTCCTGGGTATCCATTCTGAATAAATGACTGAAGATCGGCCGGCGGATCGAATGATGCAGGTCTACCCCTTTCGCTATCACTTTTGATGGCATCTCGATCCCAACGATGACTTGCGCGGCATCCTGAGAAAGTAGAGGGAGATCTGGATTACAATAGTAGTCCAGCAGCGCGATGAGCTCATCTTGCGCGATCTCCATCAAGTGACCAAGGCGACGCATGGACGTAAGAAGGAATTCGCTCTCCGCAACTACACCTTCAGTCACCATCAGGCCTAGGTCAATAGATACGGCCTTTTGCCCGCGAGCCAATCGATAATGAGCGAGACCGTCTTTGAAAGTATTACCCGCTGCATAGTTCGCCTGTGCCCGGCTGCCGAATATCCCATTCAATGAGGACATGAGCACGAAGAAATCCAGATTAGAAGGCAGTGCCTGGTGGAGGTTCCAGGACCCTTTTGCTTTAGAATTTGTGCTGATGGTCCAATCGTCGTGGGACATGTTTTCAAACAAATTGTCCTAAATAGTTCCATTGGTCATCATGGACGTGCCCGAGCTCTGTGGAAAACCCTGATTGGACTTACTCTTAAAGCCACGGTTGCCTGAATGCAGCCTCGAATTGGTGGCATTGTATTAGACAGCACCGAGAGTGCCTCTTGTACATCTTCAAATTTGCCTATGTCGACTTTGGGCGTCGCCACAGAGACACCTTGTTGTTCTAGCTCACGGACAAGTTCTCTAGCCGTGGGGGACTGTGGCCCCGAGCGAGATAATAAGATTAAATAACGCGCTCGTCTGCTCGCCATCCATCGTGCGAAGCTTCGACCTAGTCCTCCAAAGCCTCCTGCAATGATGTATGTTGCGTTTTCTGGAAAAGAATACTGAGGCTTCCTCAAGCAATTAACCTAGACAGCATTTAGTCGTGTCTTTCTCGGAATGCTCGCTTCTTTTTGGGCGCAGCTCACCTTAAGGGACATGGTCTCGCTCAGTTCCACAACCCGCTTGCGAATAATATTGGAGTCGCGGGTGCTGTTGAATGCTGCCTGAGTTTGCTCAGCGGCGAAAGTATGTATTGACTGTGGTGGCCTGCATTGACCCTGGAAGAACTGTTTCATGGCATCTTGAAAGATGCCATGAGCGATAACCGGTTTTGCCCTGAGGAGTTCCGCCATGTTGACTAAAGATCGGCATATATTCATGTCCTGCTTCCTGGGAGTCATACTAGGATGTGTCGATTTTAACAGGCTGATATCAACAATACGACCGCAAGGGGCGAGACAATCAGCAACAACTAGGTTCCCGTCTGCAAACGGACCAACCGCCACATCGATGCCTTGTCCACTGGTTACTTCATGTATTTTGCTGCGAAGTAGCACGTTATCGAGGACGAGGATCTCCATCTTTGGGATATTTAGTTGATCACACAAGAATCTTTTCTTTGCCTCAGTGTCAACGGTTGCTAGCACACGCGCATTTCGGAGAGCAGCGAGCTGAGCTGCCATCTGGCCGAAGCTGCTGGAGGCCGAATGAATCAGCACGATATCCTCTTCTTGTAGGCGGGCAATATGATACAACGAGTAAAAGGCTAGCCAAAGTGCTGTAGGTAGCGAAGCCGCTTCTGAAAAGCCAAGGGTTGGGGGTATAGCAGCCACTGCATTTGCTTTAACGCGCACTTGTGTGCGTGCCATGGCGATCCCAATCACAACTACTCGGTCTCCTATCTGAAAACCGGACTTAGCCCCTGCTCTCTGAATAACCCCGGCGCACTCAGTGCCAATGTCGATATCATCTATTTGTGCGGTGGCGATAAGATCGTCGCGATGTGTCAAGCCAAAAGCTTTGATTTGCACATCAACTTCATCCTCAAGTAAAGGAGAGAAGCAAGATATATCTTCTCGGTACTCTAGTGAAAGAGGGACGAAAATTCGTGACTTAAATGACTTGTATATAAAATATCTCTATCAATAGCAGGATGACTTGTTGAGACTCTTGATCTTGCCCGCCTCCCCGTGTACTTCATTCCACCATGACATCCCCAGCGGAAGCGATACCATCCCCTCTCCCTGATCACATTAGCCACAACTATGTGGTCTTTCTGGGCATTCGGGGTATGATGACAGTGTTGTCCACCCTTCTAGTCTTCGCCCGCTTTCTCTCACGATACTTCACCTGGCCAGCGAAGTGGGACGACTGGGCTTGTCTAGGAGCTCTTATTTTCGCCTACGGGTTCTTGACTACTACGGCCCTGGTAGCCACCGTTGGGCGAAGGGTGTACCACCTGGTCCAGTACAATTATTCTGTCTTGGAAAAGTATCTTCAGGTAAGCTCTTATTTTCTCCAGCTGTCCCGCTGTCGGCTCAACCTGAATAGATAGCGCTGGCGAACAATGTGCTTTACAATGTGAGCATCTCTTTGACCAAACTATCCATTTTGCTCTTCTATCGACGTATTTATGCTATATCGAAGATATTAGGATAGCTATCTGGGTTGTTGGGGGTCTCGTGGCGGGATATTTCGTGTCGGCCATGTGCGGTCTCATATTCGCCTCCAGCCCCGTGGAAGCACGGTGGAAAGTGTGGCTGCCGCACACCAGCATCGATAATAAGCCCATCTAAATGGCCATGGGTATTATCAACGTTTTGCTGGATCTCACTATCTTGTGCATGCCCCAACCTCTAGTTTGGAAACTCCACCAGACTCAACGGCGAAAGATTCTCCTGTCTATAGTGTTCCCCTTGGACTGCTTGTGAGCAAACCCCGAACTATGATGCGTACACCAACCACTAACATCATTTGTAGCGTCTGTATTGCCAGTACCATGCGATTATACTTTCTTGCAACCATGAATATGGACAATGTATCGTGTAGGTCCTCCCTGGATTCCCTGCGGGCTGGATGGATGACGACAACCTTTCACAGAAGATGACTTTATTTTAGACTCGCTGACGACGCCGGGAATCTGGACGCCGATGGAGATGGACACCGGTATTATTTGTTCTTGCCTACCGATGCTCCCTGGCCTGATGCAACACTTCTGTGGCTCCGACAGGCGTAGCACCAAATGGCAATGATTCCTCCACCATGAGGCGTGGCTGCTACACTGACATTGAGTCGGTACCCCCGAAGCCGAATCACGGGGCAGTGGGTTCGAAGGCTGTGCGCGTGCAGACCGATATGCAGGTTAACTGGGATTCCGCATCTTCTTGAGAGCACTCCTCGTAGCGTCATATGGACCGACTCTGCACATACATGCTACTATCTTGTGATAGTAGGGTTGGCATTTCGAAGTCTCGGCGTTATTTGTGGATTTGGTATGATCTGTCGGGCTCTGCTTTGCCCTGTTTATGTCTATTTCGTTTCTTACCCATGGCAGACATTCAGTCTATGGTTATTGCAGGGAATCCAGTACTTTACATAATAACACAGCAAGACGAGTAAAATGAAGAGACATGCACTACCAAGTGTATACTAGCATCACCAGGGTAGAAATACAATCCTAACGCAATGATTTAGGGTTTCCACACAGGTTACAATGTATCGAGTGCATACATATGTACATGCCTCATTGTAGACCGTGGAGGACTTACTACGAATCCAATCTTACCATGTATACTACTGCATACTATGAAACATATTAATACCAGTAATCATAGTTAAAAATAAGTATTTTTATCATGATTCTTATTTATCCTCTTAAAATACCGACCCCTAAACCCTGTATGTAAAATACCGATATTTGTTTGTTTTTTGAAAACGGTTCCACCACCGGTTGGTATCAATCGATACTACGTACGAAACCAACAAAATTGTAAACATACTGTGTACATACTTCGAAATCTGACCTCAGATTTTCTCTCCCCACCTCTTGCCCTAATGACTGTAACAAAGGCTCAACAAACACACTAGTTCTTAGCGGAAGAAACTAACGGGTGTGTTGCCTTTATTTCTCACTGGACCGGCCGATCACGTCCGGTGGAGAGCTGGTTTAAGATCAGCCTAGGAACAATAACGTATCCCACTTCTCTCCCTATCCTATCCATAAGTAACATAAATAAAGAGATCACATACCCTTCCCCCTAATTTTCATACCACCCTCCCCCCAATCAACCTCCCTAAGACTTATTTACCCTTATTGATTCAATTCCTCCTTGGCTATCATTTCTCCGCTCCAAAACACCCGTCCGTCATCACCCTTTTTCAACTTCAGAATGCCCTACTCCAACCCCGCCATCCTTCTAGTCCACGGCGCTTGGCACATCCCAGCCCACTACGCCGAATTCACCTCTGCACTCAGGTCCAAGGGCCATGAAGTCCACGTGCCCCGCTTGCTCTCCATGAATGAGGCCCGTCCCCCTAACGCAGATCTTTCCTCCGACACGGATCTCATCCGCAGTTACGTGGAGAGCCTCGTTGAAGCCGGCCGGGAGGTGGTCGTCCTCATGCACTCTTACGGCGGTCAAGTAGGCACCAACGCCCTAGTGGGCCTGGGTGCTGAAGCCCGGAAACAACAAGGCCGGACGGGTGGGGTCGTCCGGTTGATCTACATCGCTGCCTTCGCAGTCACGGAGAACAACTCTATGATTAGCGTCGTGGAGGCATTCGGACACGGAGAGTTGATTCCCCTGGCATTTGAATTTCGCGGAGGATAACAGTTGTGTGAGCCGTGACCCGAAGAATCTAATTGTTGGACCGGGTCGGTCGGATGAGGAGACCGATGCTTACATCGCTGCTATGCCGCGTTGGAATGGAAAGGCTATGTATCAGGCCGTCGAGCGGTGCGCTTGGAGAGATATCCCTGTGTCGTACATCTATTCCACGGCTGATATGACGGTGCCTTTGGATTATCAGAAGTCGTTTGTGGAGAAGATGCGGGAGGCGGGGAGAGACGTCAACACTTTTGAGGTGGAGACGGGGCATTGTCCTACTTTCACCAAGTTTGAGGAGGTGGCCAAGATTGTCGACGGCGTTGTGAGTAAGCCTTGAAGGGTGGGTGGATGATGATGTTGTCCTACTAGACTAGGTGAAGGTTTCTGTTGGTTCACTCCCTTTTTTATTATATCTCGCTACCTCCTTTAATTGTCACCATGAGGTTGTCCTGGCTTGGGAAGTATGTTTGATAAATAAATTAAAAAAAAAAAAAAAAGGATTTCTTGTGTATGTCAATACAATTATCAATTCGTAGCTACATTCCCGACTTCAAAAATAATAGTCGTGTAGCAGTACATGGCAGCCTTCCAAGTACGACGGTTCAAAAAAACAACAGTAGCGTATCTATTTCACCACCCGATCTTTGAAAACCAGATGAAGCGGCCCTGGACTAGTAGTGAAATAGTCAATCGCCTCACTAAACATACGTTGTCCATCTTCACCCGGGGCAAATTCGAAATCAAACTCGGTGAGGATCAAAGCAGCAGCCACACGGATTTCTATCAAACTCAGGTTCTTCCCTAGACACGCGTACTTGCCTGCTCACATCGGTTAGTAAGAGCCCTTCAAGGGCAATTATGTCTCACGGGGAACGACCGACCAGTACTCCACGGCACAAATGCCTGTTTATCGAAGATTAAGTGAGACTGAGTAGAGAACCTTTCTGGGATCCACTCGTTGGGTCTTACAAAGTTCCGTTCGTCTAATGCAAAGTCAGCACCAAGAATACAATTCTCCCAGCGACCCAGACACAAGAAAAAAACTAACCTCTGGATAGGCTGTACTGCGGCACCGCAATCGTTGTTCCCCCGGGAATGAACTTGTCCGCAACCACTAGCCCTTCCGGCGGGCTCTGCCGCAGTCCGGACGAGGGTACTGCAGGATTGAGCCGTAGTGTTTCGTAAATACACGCAGTCAGATGCGGTAGCTGCTGTAGAGCTTTGTAGTCTCGGATGTGGATAGAGGAGAGCTCTTCACGGATCTGCTGCAGGTGTCGCGGGTTGCACAACAAGTAATATAACATGTTGGAGAGAACCTGACGCATGGGGTCGCTGTGATGCGGTTAGAAGATATTGATTCCTGGTAAGTTGTTCAAAGGGGAAAAAATGGATTTACAGACCTGCCTGCTACTAGGACGAGGACGAAGTCTCCTAGCACGAAGTTCCAATTTTCTGCTACTCCGCCAGTTGCTTTGGCGTCTTCGAGAACATAGCCGATAATATCCGTCCGATCCTCGCTCACCTCCTGCATTTGAGAAAGTCAGTCTTGGGATAGAAAATGTTTAGACAAGGAAAGACTCGCTTTGATGTTTCGCTGCAGCTCCGTAGCCGCCCAGTCCATGAACTGTCTGTAATATTTCATTCGTTCAATGTAGGGGATCCCCATCATAAGATGCTTGATCCATGGTGCAGCGGCAAAGGGTCCCAGTCTGCGGTGAGCCATATGATAGATGGTGAGGATTGGATGTGGCCCCGCTCGCTCGAGGTTCTTGAATTTGATTGTCAGTCCAAACTCGCCCATTAGATCGAAGGTGTAATATTCAAGCCACGCGGAGATGTTCACGGGACTCTGGCTCTTATTCCGGAGCTGTTGGACCAGCAAATCTGCCTTTTCGTAGACCAAAGGCTCCAGTCTTTCCAGTGCTATATGTGCCAAATTAATGCGGTGAATAGTAGTATCTAGCAGTCAACAGACGTACCCCTCATGCTGAAAGCTTGATCCCATATCTTCCGTCTGTAAGCATGGACAGCCGGATCACGCGTGGTGTCTAAGGATACCATAGGGTGTAGCAGATCATAATACGCGGCTCTACCACATTCAGAATCCTTCCCATGGACTTTGTAATATGCTTCGGTGCCGAACAACGTGACCTCATTCGGACCTGGTCGGGGAGTGAGCAGCTTAACTGGCAGATTCAGGTCTTGTCTTGTATTTAATTACCGGTGCGCACAATGTCTCCATACTGCTTGTGAAGTTCATGAAGAACTTCACAGTTCCTGAAGCGAGCCTGCTTCCAGACGTGTGTCAGCTTGGTCAGGCGCAGGGACAGAGGGCCCTGGATATGATTCAATGGAGACCAGAATAATCGGAAAACGAGGATGCTGAAGAACAGTGTCCCAGCGTATAAGGAAAGCAGAGTGACAGTCCCCCTAAGGGCATCTTGGATCGGGACGCTCTCTAGCCTGACTTTCGCGAAAATGAGTAGGCTTGTTCCCAAGAGGTGAAAACGAGCGATATTGGCTGCTCCTAGGTCACGCTCGCCGTGCACAAAGAAGCCCCAGTGGGATACCAAACCAAGCGCAATTGCACTACTTTTTTGGATGTTGAGTACCGACATATTAATCTCAGGTCGAATACAAGGTTCGAGTTCATTACCGCGCCAACATCAAATCTCTGGGTTGATAGAAGTCATATATGTGTGGCAGATTTTCCTGTTGGAGCAGCTGCATGTCATAGAATCAATTGCAAATACATGTTTTTGAAAAGACAAGGGGGGAAAGTTACATTGGCTTGGAAAATATGTCGACTTCTTTACACTATTATTACGATCAGTTGGGGGCTATTGTAATTACGCCTCGCCGCCCCTTTAAACGCATGTCAGAAATTAGTTCATCATGGGACAGTGTATGACAGTTAACAGTGTATGGCGGATCATTAGAGTGACCGCTAAGTGGTACCTCCTTATTATGGTACGCTTGTGTTGGTACTGGGGTTAGAAAGGCGTAAGCGATTATCATGATGAGTTGAAGCTTCAATTTATAAATAAATTCAGCTCCGATAGCCCAATGCCACACTTGTCCTTAGCTCTACCCCTCTAATCCCCCGAGTTTAGCCAAAGACTCCGTTCTTGAAATCTTCAAAAACAGCGGCACCTAAGTCCATCCCGCTATGGACTATGTACTCACCCGGGATTTTCTGGATAACAACCGGTCTGTACCTCACATACTCATCATTTGCTGCCTTATTGGCTCACTGTTATTAATTAATGAGAGAACAGCATTAACCTACAGCACTATCTCTGGATAGAGTTGTTTGGGTATCACATCCATCCTACCATCCCAACAACCAGCCCAACCCTAAGAATCGCCGACATAGGCACTGGCACCGGGTTAGACAGGTCTCGACCTCCTCCTTTGTAGAAACAAGCACTAACGCTTATAATAGCGTCTGGCTGACAGACCAAGCCCGTCGACTGCCCAGCACTGTTTTCTTGGAAGGCCTTGACGTTTCGTTTGACGCAACTCCGCCGCAGGAGTTGCTGCCTCCGAATGTGAACCTCCGAGAGTACAACATCCTCGGAGAAACGCCCCCGGACCTCCAAGGTCTATATGACATAGTGCATATCCGAAATTTCTCCTTTGTTCTTAAGAATGACCAAGTCGAGCAGGTCATCCGCAATCTTTATCAATTGCTCAGTATAGCGTCCTATGACCTCCCTCACCTATGCTCCCGCAGTCAGACCCTATCAGCTAACTCACTCACTTCTTCATATAGAACCGGGTGGCTACATCCAATGGGGAGAACCCGATGTGTCGTCTTTCCGCATCGAAAAGTCTGACCCGGAAAACAAGATCGGAGCCCTGACCGAGCTAATCCAGATAGGCCAAGGACAAGATGGCCGACTTCGCCCGACCTGGGTTCCTAAACTGCCCAGATATTTCCAGGAAATCGGAATGGAGGGAGTAGAGTCAGATGTGAAAGAGCCACCGCCGCATTTGGCATTTGCAAAACATGAATGCAACCTCATCATTCATGAACTGATTTCGCGCAAGACGCAGAACGCAGCCGTCGGCGAGAAGTTGAACCATATCATTCCCGCGGTAGCTCGGGAGACACAGCAGGGCTCATACTGGGCTTTTACGAGGTGGACTGTTATCGGTCGGAAGCCGTTACCTGCCAATGGGATGTAAATGTCTACCTAAGTTATCTAGCACTTAAATAAGGAACTAAAATCTTGTTGGTACATCAAATATCATTGTCTTTGAATTGAGACCATGGCAGAGAGGTGTGTCGCTTGGCCTTTCAGGGTAGAACTGTCTTTAAGCTCGAGATATGCGTCATGAGCTATTTTTCGTTGAAGCAGAACAGGTAAATCTGTGTGGTATATGATCCGTGTAGAGATATGTATGTATGTATGTATGTATATGTGTGTGTGTGTGTGTGTGTGTGTGTGTGTGTGTGTGTGTGTACTGCGGAGCTGTTCCATGAAGCAATAATAATATCAATAATTTATAAGCCACACGCTGTGGCCATTTACTGGTAGTAAGATATAGATCGATATTGCCGTATAGTTATTGTGTAACAGGGATATTACTATATACCGTCTAATAAAGGTAATCTTTAATTGAGCATAGTCAATATAGTTATTGGGCTGTGGACAACGCACGAGGTAGTAAATCTCCAAGAATCGCTACATATGGGGGGATCTTGGACAACCGTTCGATCGCGGTATAAGAGCCCACAGGTAACGCACTCAGTGATATGAACATGCACAAGGTTTCCCCAACCTACAACTGAATACACCATAGACAAGCTAATTAAGGGTAGCGCCCTACGAGGCAAGACCGGGGCTTGGGCCATCATGACGAGATAAAAATGAGCAGAGAATTTGCTATTTCCATTTTATTAAACATTATATTAGATGCTAAGTTTGAGCCTTTTCCTCGGAGCCCTTGGGTTCTTTTTTCTTCAGATTGAGCCCCTTCATCAGCCATGGGTCCATCAGGAGCTCTAGGGCTGTTGGGCGGTCTTCGGGGTTCCACTGCAAGGCACGTCGCAGCCACCGCAAGAAACCCTCCACATCCTCGCCTTGGATGCTGATAGCCAGTTTTTCAAGGGATCGGTCAGGAATTGGGACCAAGTTTTTCCATTGACCAGATTCATCCCAGAATACCCAACTCAGGTCGCTCTTTTCGAGGAATTCCCGTGGCGGAGGGCCGAGCAGCGCCACCAGTTCCGCAATGTGGACTCCGTCATCGAAGATGCCATCTCTGATTTCACCCTTGATGAGGGTTTGAGAGCTGACAATGTCCCAGGCCTTTCAGAAATATGATAAGCAAGTGATCAATTCGTAAACAAAATAGGCCCAGCGGCAACAAGTACTTACGACCATGGCAACACTCCAGATGTCTACCTTGTAGTCCCAGTTCGATTTTAAGATAACCTCCGGGGCACGGTAGTAGTCTGGCATAATATCTCCACTGTTTTCCTGATCGCCAAATCGGGCTTCTCCGAAATCCCCTAGCAAAGGGAGTCCGTCTCCTGCAGGAAAACGCGAGGTTGTATAGATTGTCCGGTCTGTAAGGATCTTCCTTGCTGCAGGAGCCTTTATTTCACGCTCTTCAAAATCCGCAAGTGCAGGGGATGAAGGCGTAGGAACAAGTAAATTTTTCAACTGGATGTCTTTTCGACCTTAGTTCCATCGTTCTACGCTTTAAGAAGGGGTACTGGAGAAGGCAGACAGTACCGGTATGGATGAGGCGGGCCACAGAATGGAGGAAGTCCAAGACGCCAAGGAGTTGACGGATAGCAGGTTTCATGCTTCCGAGGGTCATTGTCCGGCCTGGGATGCGTCGCAGCAGTTCATTCGCATTCATCCCAAGTGGTTCATGAACTAGACAAATGTGACGGCCCCTAGGGCCCTGCACGTAGAAGTGACCAAGCATTTTTCGAATGAACTTCCTGCCAGGATGATTCGTTTCCAGGGAGTTAATGTGCTGATAAACGTTCAGTTCATGCTCCCTTTCTTGACCCAACACGTAAATTTTCAGTGCAACATATGTCGATTCACTAAATCCCCAGGGCTTAGAACGGCTCGACCTGCCGTAGATAGTTTTCTAAATTGAACTTACGCCAAGTCACGGGCAAACCAAACGGTCGAGGTTACTCCATAGCCTAGCTTGGCTAGCACTTGGTACCTCTCGTTGAAAACCTCGCCCTGCTCTACCGGATAGTAATTTTCGGGAGAATATGTCGGTAATGTTTCCTCTTCAAACTTTGGCGATGCGTCGAGCAACTCGAGCCCCGAAGTTGGAAACTCTCGTGGGGTTGATGTCCATTTCGATGAGAGCATGACTGTTCTGTGGAGTGACCTTGTGCGCCGATAAGGCATTAGTGGGCGAGTCAAGGTGCGGATGAAGGGAGGGAAGCAAGTGCTCCAAGGACTTCGGTTCATTATGGGAATGGATCCTCTCGGGAAATTATCTGTTGAATGCTTTTCAGTCGCACCAACAGTCGAGGAGTCGGGCAATTCATCTTTCCATAGCTGTCGGAGGTCTGTAATTCCAAGGTTGACGGAGGATCGACCTAAGGGCTGTCCCTGGGGACACTATACTGTTTGTGGATCCGAATGCCCATGCCAAGCAATTGACGATATAGAGTGAAGTGGCTATAATGCAAAGCTATAGGCGGATATAGCTCTACTAGACGGTTCCTTTCTATTTAAACTGTATTATATCCTTTGACTTTTATATTCCACTTGCTATCTTCAGCTTTTAGCTTTTAGTGATAATCTATTTTGGAGAGAACACCATAATCCTTAGTATGTCTATTTGGGTCGAGATTTTGACCTTAAATGGGGAGAATGGAAGTCAGTGGCAGTCGTCCACTACTACAACCTGCGACTTGATTGAGAAAGCTGTGAGTCTATGTGTTCGTCGCTTGTCGGAGGGTCAACTGTGTACTACATCCAGCCAAGGAACCACGAATTACGCAAGCAGAGCTTCAGTAGGTTATCACCTGAAGCTCCAACACTTGGCGTTTACTCAACATCTACGCTCAGGGGGTCCGTCGCTCATTTCTCCTCGAAAGACAGGGATGATCGGCAAAAGGTACTGACGGTGGGACTGAAAACCAGTAACGGTACACAGGTAGGGGCTATTCATGTGCATATAGATGGTACTTGGAAGCCATTCCCAAACCGTGCTGGAAGGGAGGGCGGATATGCTTCCAATATCCGTAAAGCCAACATCCCAGGTTATATTTCTGAATCCACAGACGAAGAGCAGAAATAGGTTTTAAGCAACTGTCAATTTCGCTTTCTTGAATCTTGGGTCAAGGATTCTATGTCCCTAAGTCTGAGCTGAGCCATCCATGTGATGCTGATGGCAGAAGATTGTATTTGTTAACATGACATCCGAGTGCAATAACAGGCGCTCCAGCTCTGGCACTGGGGCCTGTAAATCATACCATAAAGGGCACTTCAAGTTTTCAAATAGTCGTTTATACATGCAGCCCAGCCAACAAGAGTTTTCTGAATAATCAAATTGATACTATTGTCACTTGTGCCTCATCTGCCTGCCTCGTACTATCCACCTGTTTGCTCATTAGATTGGATGACATGAAGCCTTTTGCTCAGGCAGATACCGGTGGTCCTTGTCAATGCTATCTTGGTAAACGCATTTTACATGTTTAAATGATCGAACTCTGATTATGCAAGACAAGAAGACGAGGTGTCATTAGTGCTTTAGCATCCCGATAATCTTTGAGAGGGAATTGACTCGCTTTCCGCCGCATTACAGATGACCTCCGATATCTCGCACGGTGAAGTTTGAGAAGACCCATTGACTGTGGACGTTTCACAAAAAGCTCTAGTTATCTGGCTTAAAAAGACGCCTCACCATGTGTTTGCTTCCAAATTCCTTGAAAGGAAGGGAAAAGGTACAACAGTAGAGGCTCACATTTATAAAGACGATCGGACAGGCAAAGAAATCCGCATCCTTTCTACCATATACATTTTCTTCATGTAGAAAGTGATGGCTCCCTGTACGTATCTTTGTTATAGATTACCTTCATCTGTGATATAGGTGTGAAGGTAGTTGTTTATGATCTGTGTTTCATTAGCATTATAGGTCTCATTTGAACGTGCTATATTTGTGGTAAATTCCCATACCTAGTCTTGTGATCAACAGAGAACTATGCTTATCTACTCCATAGATTCTTATTTTATATAGCGTTGATGCATCAATCTACTTAGTTAGATTTTTAATAGTTGTGGACCTGAGATATATCAAACGTAACCTAAAACTCATACAATCTTACTTAGTGACACTTCTTATGCACAACAGAAGGCCCCTCCTCGTCATACTCCCGCTGGGAAATCCAAATATCTTGAAATGTAGACAACGACGCAAGAATAGTTCCTCCAACCCAGGCCGAGTAGCGTTGATTCTCTGGAGTGATAATGTTCGGGTTTGCTGACGGAGCAAGATCAGATATTTCCTTTCCAAGGCGGTCGATGAAGCCAGGGAAAAGGGTTGAACCGCCAGCCTAGAATTAAGTGAGATGGGTTAGTTGCGTCTACCATAGAAAAGGGCTAGTTTCGTATGCTACGTAGATATCGACGACTCACCGGAACTATATTGCGGTACAGCTGCTCTTGTACATGGGAATCGAATTTCTGGATTGCATCATGTACAACTTGATGGATACCTGGTCGGTCAATGGCAAGGATTCTATCTGGCTGGAATAGTGCTTCTGGCGCACAAAAGCGCTCGGTCCCTAAGGTAATCTGCTGTCCATCAGGCAAGTGAAAGCTCTGATCCTCACGAGCATCAAGCTCAGAATCAAAGTCCAAGGCAACATGGCAGCATTTCTCTTTGATTGCTTTGGCTATCTGGTCTTCGCAGCCCAGGGTGTTCGCAAGGTAGTCAGTTATGTCAATGCCAGCCAGATCAACCTGGGAGAATGTATTGGGGAAAGTGATGCCCTCGTGAATTGGTACAACCTGTGTCACACCACCGCCAGATTCAATCACAATACCAGTCTGACGAGCAGTTGCGTACAGAGACAAGAGCGGCTGGCTTGCAAGGTATATCGCGGGGCTATTGAACGTTTCAAACAACATTTGGGTCATCTTTTCCCGATTCTGCCGTGGATTGACTATGGCTTCTGACATTACAATAGGATGCTCCTCCGGAGCGACTCGGAGCTCCTTGTAAAAGATGTTGTGATAGATTTTCTCCATGTCGTCCCAGTTGGTTACGACGCCGCGCTGATATGGTCGACTGACATCGCCAACCACGGAAGCTAAGCCGGTAGAGTCAGCACTATACTTTTCTTTTTTTCATCCCTAGTAGTATATTTGAGATGTAAGGGCATTTGGGAACTAAAAAGCAACTCTAGAGAGGCCATACGGATCACTGAGAATGGAACAATATCACCAGCAAACCCAGATTTGCAGCAGTCAGATCTGTATGAGAAGTTAGTTGATTAAATCTAGATAATGCCCCGCATGAGAATGGAAACTGAAAGGCTATATACCCAGTGTCGATCACAAGGGGTTGGCAGTCTTCCGCCATGATGATTTTAAAGGCTTCTAGAGTAATAGCCGAGTTCAGTTAGGGCTGGTTCAACAACGAGTGATTAGTTTCCTGACCGCACCCCTTCATGTAGTAGGGTTTCGAGAAGGTTTAAATAGTTCCCAGTCCCAGAAGCCCCGCTATTATTATCATTCGTACCGCAGAGGCAGTATTTATTTATGTGGGCGAGCTGAAGAACATGGGACACGGGAGGATTGGACAATCAGTTGTGGGACTCAGCTTTAGGGGAAGTATTCGATCTCAACCCCACTCTAGCAGCCCAATCCGATTCAACCATATACGGGGGCGCAGCAAAGCGAATCTTTAGATCAGTAGCTGAGGTTGCTTGATCGGCTCGAAAAACTCATTTCCTGGCCGCTGATTTGCTTTTCTTGGGCAACTCTGTCGAAGCGTGGTTGGACAGTAGCTCAGCTGGGCGATTGACCCTGACCCCCACTATAATCACTTTGGACGTCTCCGATACGGACGCCTTGATCACGGTCGACTTTACTTCTTGAATCGTTGTATGCTGACGGTAACAAACAAGTGTATTGGACGATTGTCGTAGAGAGAACGCCAGGGCAACATGCTATATAAGCTGCATCGCTATATGGAGATGTTCACGACTTCATATTTTCAGGGACCGCTACGAAGCGTCTTCGGCCTCAAACACCTTACTCAACGATCTCTGAGAAAAGTATCCATTATCAAGATGTAATTGCTCTGGCATGCGAATCTTCCTCGCTTGGTTCCTTCTAATTTCGCTACGGGCACTCTCTTACTTTCTACAAACATTCGCTCAATGACCTGATTGTGGTACTGCAGCCTTCGAGATTGGGCCGAGTCAACACTCTATTTTTCTTCATACTTGACTATTTAGCGCTGGAGTCTTCTAGCTTCAGCAAATCAATGGAGGCTTACTACTATATGAAGTTATAACAGACCACACTCGTCTAATAGAGAGCTTAAGATACTACTTCATTGACACTACCTCGCTCACGCTATTTCTCTATCTATTTAGCCTTGGTCAGTAATCTGATCAGGGCATGCAGAGATCTATTCAATGAGTACAAAGTGGCAAGTGATGGACTCGGCGGGAAGGTTAAAACAGAAAAGGAAAGACAACAATGCTTCCATAAAAAAAGTTCGGGATATATATATATATGTAATGCTAGCATTTCCCATCACAGTTCATCCTTGCGGCCCGGGGCTGCACGGACGTCTTCCTCTCCTCCTGGGCACACGGCAGGGGTGTTGACGAGCATCGAATAGACGCACTTCTCGTCCTCCGCAATTTTCAGGATCTCATTCTCCTCACCGCACTGCAAGACAACACTCGTGGACCGAGCAGGGCCGTTCCAGCACGTCTGTCCCTTGGCGTACTCAAGAGATATTCTCTCCTCGGGGACGATCTCACCGGACTCATTGAGCTCATCAATGGTGACGGATCCAATGCGAACAAAGTTGCCCATGCGGGCTGTTGATCCGCCCTTCTTAGGGATCTGCTTAGTCTGATCCAAGAAGCAGTGTTCGTACGTGTACTCTCCGGCATCCTTTTGGATACAGACGCCTTTAAGAGCGCGGAAGATGGATCCCACACCGTAGTCCGTATCAAGATCCTCCTTGTGGTCCTTTACCTGGTTCTTCAAGTCTTCGATGGACTTGCGAACTGCATTGACGGCGTCACGGGCCTCAGTCACTGCCTTGGACTCAGAGGCGGAGCCCTCATCTTTCGTAGGCAAGACGCCGTTCTTCTCGAGGAAACCACGGATGGCGAGAACCTTGTCCTCAATGAAATTCACAAGAGACGGAGGAAGGTAGGTTGCCAGCTGGTAGACTAGATTACAGTTAGTCACTACAATCAAATCTATACAACCAAAACACATACCGAGATTAGCTTCACATCCATCCTCTTCATTCTCCCATTGCTCCCAGTTGACACCAGACTTGTCATCATCAAGCTTGGCGATCTCATCCAAATCACGGTCACGGGCGGCGTTCTCCTGACCTTCAGAGGTGCCTCTGGCAGCATATTCCTCCCAGCTGCGCACAGCGCGCTTAACACCCTCGTCGTTAAAATTCGGGTTATATTCGACCTTGAACTTGGAGAGAATCTCCTCGAGCTCCTTGACGCGAGAGCGAGTCTCATCCCTCTCCTTGCGGACCTCAGCCAAGGCGGTTCTGAGCTCTTCAACTCGGCCCTTGGCCACCTGAGCGAGGACATTGACCTTGCCTGCCTTCTTACCCGTCACCACCTTGCTCCGTTCCTGCTTCTCAATATCCTCCAGATCCGCCTCCAAATCTTTAAGCTTGATCTCCTGGCCCTGGATTTCAATCTCCAATCTATTAATGTTCTCCTCAAGTTCCTTCTGCTGTCTTCCAGCGACGGTAAGAAGTTCCTTCTTCTTCTTCAATGCAGTCGTCATCGACTTCTGTCTCTTCTCCTCCTTCTTCCGGAACTCCTTGCCAATCTCTTTGCACTTGTCCTCGCACTTTGTGCCCCCGACACGAGCCCACTCGTCGCTTCCATCACAGCATAGATCATAGTCACAGATCCCATCGTTGACTCGCTGGAAGGGCACATAAGAAGGCTTGTGGCCCTTATTCTTGCAGTAGAAACCGGGCAGAGACAGCGTCAAATCGAGGTCGTTATTCCCGGGACGATCAGCGACCGTCAACGGTGAATTACGGGACAAATGGGCACAGGCCGAAGTGCCGGGCTCATCACTCCCATCGGGACAATCACAGTAGTCGTCATTGACGGCAGAAAAGGGGACCTTGATAGCCGGGTGCGAGATGCAGGTGAATGTGTCGGTGTCCTTGTAGAACTTGGCGACTAGTCAATCAACAACACTACCATGTTAGCACTGTATATCCCATACAACCCAGCAACAGCACAGCAATAAACCCCTGACAGTACACCACCACGATCAAAAACAGTAGCACCAGTCCAAACCACACTCCAACCACACTCCAACCACCCAAGTAAACAGTAAAAGAACAACAACTCACATTCGGGCCCAACACCCCGAGGACGTGCGGAGCCGTCGTTACTCGCCGCAACCACGGCGGTCGAGCATGCTGCCAAGCTCACGAAGAACAACGATCCCTGAGGCAGTATCATGCTGGGAGCATTGAGCTTTCTATCGCGCCAATGCGGGTGGACCGAACAAAACGTTGTATACAAATGCGGAGAGAGCTTCTGGCCACCTTTAGCTTGTATGCGATTCCAGACTAAACTAAATCTGGGGCGGGATGGATCCTCTCTTAGTCAGCCGTCGTTATCAAAGTGGCGAAATTGGCCGATAGAAGTTCATTTTATACTTTACTCAAGAGGCCGTATTTCATGATCTGGATTTCTTCGAGTGTAAACCGTGAGGAAAGATGGGTAATGACGGCGGAAGGTGATTATACCTCTTTCTTTTCAATTCATCTGGGTGTATTACATGAGGGAAATATTAACAGCGTTTTCATAGTATCCCCACCCGCCGCGAGCTCGTCCGTGAAGCCGCGCGCGCCCCCAGCACAGCTCAAGTGAAAGAAGCCCAGCGCGAACTCCAGGAGCACTACTGGACGACATGTCCACTGTCACACAAGCCGTTAATTCGACCGATAGTGGCTGACTGCGTGGGAAATATGTATAACAAAGACGCGATTCTCAAATTCCTCCTTCCCGGTGAAGAGATCGAAGGAATCAGTTCCAAAGCCGATTGCGAAGAGATCCTCTGTGGACGAGTGAAAGGGCTCCGGGACGTAGTCGAGCTCAAATTCGAGATCGACACCGAACAAAGCCAGCACCCCTCGACCAAACTCGACAAACAAGAGGGCTGGATCTGTCCGGTCACTGCGAAGCAGCTCGGGCCGAATGTCAAGGCCGTCTATCTGGTGCCCTGCGGCCATGTGTTCTCCGAGGAGGCGGTGCGCCAGCTGAAGGGTGATAAGTGTCTGCAGTGCAATGAGTCGTATACGGAGGAAAATGTCATCTCAATTTTACCGACGAAAAGTGAGGATAAGCAGGAGCTTGTGGCGAGGGCGCAGAAATTGGCTGAGCAGGGGTTGACGCATTCGCTGAAGAAGGCGCCTGGGTCGAAGAAGCGCAAGAAGCAGGCCAATGGGGGCGCTGCTGAGACGGAGGGTGCGAGCCGCAGCAATACGTCTACTCCTAAGCCTAGTGCATCGAATGGCATTAAGCATGCGGCGACGGCGATGCTAACCGCCCGGGTTTTGGAGGAGGAGAATGAAAAGAAGAAGCGACGGAAGATGATGGGATTGAATGAGAATCTGGATAGTCTTTTCACGAAGGACTCCAAAGATGGCAAAATGAAGAACACCGATTTTATGACCAGGGGCTTCACTCTTCCTGCGGGCTCTAGGAAGTGATTCGTTTTAGCGCAATTGTCTCGACGGCGTATGGGTTTGCTTTGGTTTCTTATATCGGCTACTGGACCGGTTAATGTTGAGGGGTTTTTTTTTTTTTAACATTTTTGGCTAGATAAGAATTGTACATGTATAGTTACATCAGTAACATAAGATAAACTAAGGTTTTCATTTCTATAGTACAAAATATCCTGCAATTAACATGCTACAAGAACGGTGACTAAACAATGGGCTCAGGTCGGATCAGCAACCTACTCAATAAGCCCTCTGGAACGAAGCTCAGCCTCGATGACCTTCTTCCGGCCCAGCTCCTCGTCCCTGTCCATTGGCCTTTGCTTCTTGGCAAAGACCTTGACGTTGGACAGGTTTTGAAGGCTTTCGCTTTTGGCCAAGTGATCTGCCAGCTTCTTGGGCTTGGGGTTAAGAACCGACTGGACGTATTCAACTACCTGTCCGACGGTGGCAACCGAGTGAACGACAGGATCCGGGAGGTAATGGCCGCTCAGCTGAGAGAACCGCTTCAGGAACTATAGAATGGCTAAGTTAACAACCGCACAACGCAACTAACTAGGATAGACGGAAGCACTTACAGCGAACTTCGTAGCAGGGTCGTCTAATGGGAGAGACAGGAAGCCCTTGTCCCGAACATCGGCGTATCCGAAGAAAGGAACGTTCGCACCATTCACCTCCTGAACGAAGTCTTCCCACTTCGACTCATCAACGGCCTCCTCAACCTCCTCCGCTGTCTCTTCCGCAACGGCGGGCTCAGGCTGACCGCCGATCTGCTCGAAGATATAAACGAGAGCCTTCTCAGCCTCCTTGCTAGGGTAGACCACGGCCTGGTTCCACTCGCCAGGCTGGATTTTGCACTTCCAGAGCATCTTGAAAACCGATTTATCGTGCTCGGCGACATCGCAGACCTTCGACAAAGGCTTGTTCAGGGTGTGCATCAGGCAAACTTCGACTGCTGCTTGGTGGGCGGCTAAGGACAGATGGCCCTTCTTGGTTACTTTCTTCTTCAGCATAAACCTACATGACAGGTAGTCAGCATCTGCCTCCGTTCCTTCCCCATTGACCGCATAAACAGCTTGACTCGGTCATGACCCCAAGGTCCGCAAAAATGACAAAGAAACGTACGATTCATAAGCGTCGGCCTCGGAGGGAGGCAAGTCGGACCACCTGCCCAAGTGGCCAACACGTGGAAGCCCCTCCCATGAGGTTGCAGGCTCATACGCCTCAGCGGAAGCGAGGTCCGCTTCATTCTCGACCTGAGTTTGTTCTGAAGCCTGGGCGAGATTCTCTGGCTCCTCCTCCTGTCTAGCAGGCTGGTCTTTCCTAAATTTCCGTTCCAGAACACCTTCTCCACCATAGGGATCCTTCAGACCAGGCGGATTGTCTGTACCCCAGATCTTGCGGCGCACTCGTTCGGTGATCGGGGTTGCGTTGGACGCATTGCGCAGGAATTGTCGGGCGACCAATGGGCGTGGGCGTGCTTCTTGTCTGCAGACTGAGCAGACGTAGAGAGTTCGAGATCCCTGGAGGGACGATACCTCCAGGTTTAACAACCGCAATGAGGGACGCATGGCTGCGGTGTGACACGAATTTGCGGACTTCAGCCAACTCTCGAAAAGTTTCATGATTCCCGTTCGGAGGTTCTTCCAGGCACCACATCACGTGATATGGAGTCCGAGGGCTTGGCATTTACTGGCCAGCATTCAACCTTAGGAAATATTACACGAAAAATAGAGAAATATAACTACTGAGTGAAAAATTACGCAGTATATTGGTATGGGTACTTTGATATAAACCTTGAAATTGTCATTTTATATGTACATGCATATACGCTCGCTCATAGGATATTAAAGTTGGCCATTAATCTTTACAAGTTTACTCCCGAACAAACATACCAGCCATTCCCATACCTGTTCCAATGCACATGCTGACAACACCGACTTCCTGGCCGGTACGCTCCATCTCTGGCAGGAGAGTTGCGAGCTGTCTAGCTCCAGTGGCACCGAGCGGGTGACCGATGGCAATAGCACCACCCTTAGGGTTGACCTTTGCCTCGTCAATACCCAACTTACGGATAGAGTAGAGCGCTTGGGAGGCAAAAGCCTCGTTGATTTCCCAGATGTTTACATCCGAAACGCTCATGTCGAGCTGCTGAAGGAGCTTGGGAATAGCAACAGCAGGTCCAACACCCATCTCATCGGGTGCACAACCAGCCACGGCGGTGCCGACCCAGCGGCCCTTGATGGAGGATGTCAGTCCGAGTTCGGTCGCAGTGGAACGACGCATGAGCAGTGCAGCGGCAGCACCGTCGCTGACCTGCGAGCTGTTTCCGGCGGTGCTGGCACCGGTCGGGGAGAAGGCTGGCTTCAGACTGGCCATCTTCTCGACGGAGATGTTGGGGCGGACACCGTCATCCTTTGCGACGGTAATTTCCTTCGGGGGGGCATCGGGGTTTTCGGGGTCAAAGGAGAGGGTCTTCACAGGCACAATTTCGGAGTCGAACAGGCCAGCGTTCTGCGCAGCGGTAGCCTTCTTGTGCGACTCCGCGGCGAATACATCTTGGTCCTCCCTCGAGATGCCGTAACGAGAAGCAACGTTTTCGGAGGTGATACCCATAGGCATAATACAATCCCGAGAGTCCTTCGACGGCGACTCCTTAAGCTCAGGCCAGAGCACGGTGGGGATAGCGCGAGATCCGTAATTCCGGGTCATGGACTCCATTCCTCCACCGACACCGATGTTGAGGGCGCCGGCCCGGATTCCGTTACCGATCGCGGTAATAGCAGCTAGACCGGACGAACATTGTCTGTTGATTGTATGGAATGGAACCGTGTGGGGGAAACCTGCGTGGATCTGAGCCATACGGCCAGCCTTCGCACCACCGAGCTCTTGGAGAACGGAACCGATTGCGACTTCCTCGATCAGGGCTGGGTCGAGTTTGGGGTTCGCTTCGAGGGTCGCCTTGAGGACATTGGCGAGGAGTTCTTCGGGGTAGGCATCTTTAAAACCGCCTTTCTTCGCGCGAGTGACGGGGGTACGCAGTGAGGACAGGATCACAATGTCATTGGGGGACTTCTGGAGGACCTGACGGAGGCCCCGGGGAATTGGAGATGCCATATTGATATACGGTAGTGGGTTTCAACGCGCACAAAAAGCTGAATTCCGGGGAAACAGGAAGTAGAAGAACATTTATATTAAAGAAGAATGGGTTGCCGGACAAGATTCCGTGAGCGGGCCCTCTAAGAGTGGACATGGCCCTTGAGAGCTTGCCATCAACTGCCGGCAACGAAGATCGGCTAAAGCTTCTGCCGCCGAGGTTGGGGAAAAAGAGTGGAGAGATCCGATCTTATCATTTGGAGTCGGTCACCTTAATGCTAATGAGAATCTCCCTGGTAACACGGCCCTTGTACACAATGTCTGTCCACCGTCGGACCATTTGTAAATGCGTGGGAAACACAGTATTTACCAGTTCGACCAAAACTGATTATCATGCATGTGCTACACAGCAAGTCGGAGTAGTTGATTGAGAGGATGCCTCAGTTCCGTAGGTCGGATAGAGTCGCTTATGTCAGCCGCATCGGAACGACTTGTCGGAAGATGGGTATTCCACTTAACTGGCCTGGCCTCTCTGACCCAGAATACACGCACATCTAGATTTCAGTTTTTTTCCATTTGAAATAAACTTCGCTATACACAGGTCCATTGCAACCTTAATAGTAGATTGGACAAAATCAACCCCAAATTCCCGAACGCCTCGAAAACGACATCATGTATAATGGATCTTAGTGCCCACTCGATAACTCCGTTCCAATCCTTGGTATCTACAATGTAATAATGTACAGGTGACGGTGACCATGATAAACGCGGTGAATCGTAAAGACATCTTAAGCATGAATGATATGACTATAGTGGCCTGGCACCTTGCACCGGCATTTTTCGCAGTCGGCTCGGTAGCCCATTGAGATCGTGATTTTCTTCTTGTTTGACACACTCTTTGACTTGGGTTCCGGTAGTGTATCTTTCGCACTGTCCATTGACGGCATTGTCTCCTGCGTGTTGGGCGAGCTCCGCTCCGTCCCCAACCATATAGAGGGAGAGAATGAGGCAGGGCGAGACGGGTTGTAGGTCATATCCACGTCACTCGCGGTGTCTTTGGTGCTTGCCATTGCATCTTCACCGTCACTAACTGGGCTGGGGAGGCGCTGGGTATCAAAGCAAGACGGGGTTGCGCCGTGAGAAGTCGGGTGACATGTAGACAACGTAGAATCATGATTACTCGTCGTTGGGGGGAAATATCCGTACGCGGAAGTTGCAGCATGTGGCTCACTGATGGTCAGATACTGGTTAACTAGACTGTGAGGGATTGGCGATGGCTGGATATCCTCATTGCCACCTGCACTGGTTGGCCATAGGTACTGGGTACGATCACCCATCGGCGGCAGCATATCTCTATCGTGGTCTATATCCATTGCCGTATTGGAAGCGTGACAATGGGCTGTCTGGTGGGGCAGCTCCCCCTTACTATGTGTCAAGCCGGCACGCACGTGTTTTCTATGGCCGTCGTTACCATCGTCATCATCTGAGGACTCCACTGGCGTCAACGTAGATAAACCGAACTCAGAGATAGCTTGGGTAGCTTCGGTAAAGGTGGGCTTCTGGGAGCAGTGCGGGGACGTGCGGAGAGCTAGGGAACGGTGCTTCTACAGGCTCAACTGTCAGTGGCAGGGCCATGGAAGTGAGAGCAAGGCTTGCTAGATACACAAACCTTTCTCTCAGGGATGGCGCTACTGTCAAGATCGGCAAGCTCGTCATGACCCCTTGGACGTTTGGACGAGAAACCGAACATGTCCCTTCAGCAATCTAGCCTGTAGCAGATGGGAAAATGTAAAGGTGCTGACGGCGTTGAAGGCAGGACCATTCAGCTCCGATGGCCAAAGACAAAGGGGACGGCGGCCTGAAGGAGACTCTAACGAATAGAGTCTCCAGAAACAATGGCGGTATTTCTCAAGAAATAGAAATTACTGAATCATACCCGATATCTCACTAAGTGGTAAGACCAACAACCCATGGGGAACGATCGGTAGTAGTATGTAGTGGAGGGTGAGAATGGTTGCCGTCTGACGATAAGTCAGTTACACCTGCATCGGACCCGAACGTTTTAGCGTTGACGGGTAGTCCCTAATTAGGGAAAGCGGCCCACCCCATATTTAGCCATGATTCTCCTCAAGTTAATAACTAGGTACGTAGTGGGGGGAACAGCATGTGGAGTGCTTGATTATCGTCTTCACTGTTATTTGCTGTAACTTTGTTTTCTCTTCTCTCTCCTGGCTGAATTTATGAGAAATTGTTCATCATTCAACAGATAATGCAAGGGGCTGGCTTTTCTTTACTCCGACTTACTTTGAAGAAAATACTCCATATATATCCAACATGCATGCACGATGAATGATACTAGCGATGGAGGCGCTTACCCAACAGGGTTACCAGGAAATCAGGCACCCAATGAGTACGAGTGGCTGGACCAGCTTGCTAATGCTAGGATTTTGATTAGTCTCGACTTCGTACTGTGGGTGTACAGGACTGCACCAGACCCGAAGGAATGAGTACTAGTAGGCTGTTTACTCTACGGTGTACCCCCAGAAGTAATTCTTAGGTATGTACTACTCGTGAAACCCGGACTATGGGAAAAGACAGCGGTGTAGAAGTAACTATCTTCCGCTATGGTCAGCATACTTTGTCTATGTGTGCACTAGACTTGATCGGTGGTATCTATATATTTATTGAACCGCTTAGAGAGCTGTTGTTCGGGAAAAGGAGAAGAACAGTTCCAAGGATAGAGGATAGGAGAATGACTTCTGACTGCTAAGCACCAACCATGTCAAATACAGGGGGCATCTATGTTGTTCTAAGCGATTTTGTCAAGCCCTAGGTGGTACTTCGCTTGGTGTACGTCTCTAGGTGGTAGATGCATCATAAACTGTGTATGCCACTCGGGAGTGACAGATTTTTTAGCCAATTGCAGGTATTAAAGAGAAGATGGAACTCCGATCCCTTGGCTTTGAAGGGATTACCCCAGAATACTTTCTATATATCACTAGGATCCAAGTGAGATGGAGGCAAATCTGACTGTATTTGCATACTGTGTACAGAACCGTATATACAACCTATTTCAGGCATACTACGTCGTTTGCCCGGTTCCAGTGGTTCTGGGAGAAAAAACGGGTGTGGGCGTATTGGTATTTATCAGACCGACCGGACTGGCCGGTATTGCAAGGCTGTGAGTGGTCAACTTAAAATTTTTCAGTGTGTGTGAATCATTGGCAGCCCCACTCGGTACGCAATTTTACTATTCACGGCGATCACCATCGTCAATTTTGATCGCAACTTCTGCATGCAATTGATCTTCCAACTATCAATCACTCATCTTCGGAGTACTCTGACTATAAAGGTGCTACCAATCCTCTTAATACCTTAGTCGGTTGTTACCTTCTTAATACTCTGTCAACTGCTACTGTACTACCATATACGCTCCCCCCTCCTCTTCTATTCTTTTGAGACTTTACCTCCCCCGCTACAAACACAATGCCCCTCGTTAACACAACAGAGTTCAATGAGGACACTCGTGGTAAGTAATCATCACTCCTCCGAAGTTCACCTTCTCTCGAATGATATGATTCTCATCTCGACTAGTCCTCGGATACGATCCTTTGCTGTCCCCTCAGTACCTTCAGTCCGAGATCCCAGCTGTGAGTCACCCCACTTCCCTGCCGAGGCACACACACCTTCACTAGGGCTGAAGACACTTCTTGCTCGGAGAAGGTCGATGGCACGGTATAGAGAATTTTCTTTCTCAGGCTAATAATAATGCGACCAAACTTAGCCTGCCGACGCAACCGCCACTGTTCGCTCGGGCCGTAACCAAGCCGTTGAGATTATCGAGCAGCGCGATGACCGTCTTCTGGTGATGGTCGGCCCCTGCTCCATCCATGATCCTGCCACCGCTCTGGAATATGCCACCCGTCTCAAGGAGCTCGCTGGGAAGCTCTCGTCCGACCTGTGCATCATCATGCGCGCCTACCTGGAGAAGCCCCGCACCACTGTCGGATGGAAGGGTCTGATTAACGACCCGGATATTGACGAATCCTACAACATCAACAAGGGTCTGCGCATCTCACGTAAGCTTTACGCCGATCTGACCAGCATGGGCATGCCTATTGCCAGCGAGATGCTCGACACTATCTCTCCTCAGTACCTTGCGGATCTCATCTCACTCGGCGCTATCGGTGCCCGTACAACCGAGTCCCAATTGCACCGTGAGCTGGCCTCCGGTCTGAGTTTCCCCATTGGCTACAAAAACGGCACCGACGGAAACCTTACCGTCGCCATTGACGCTATTGGCGCTGCCGCTCACCCCCACCGTTTCCTCGGTGTCACCAAGCAGGGTCTCGCGGCCATCACCAAGACCTCAGGTAACGAGCACGGTTTCGTGATTCTGCGTGGAGGTAGCAAAGGTACCAACTACGACCGGGAGAGCATCCGTCAGGCTCGTGAAGCCCTGCGCGGCAAGAAGCAGCGTGAGGTGCTCATGGTCGACTGCTCCCACGGTAACTCCAACAAGAACCACCGTAACCAGCCCCTGGTCGCCAAGGAAGTCGCCGACCAGATGCGCGAAGGTCAGGACGCTATTGTTGGTGTCATGATCGAGTCCAATATTCACGAGGGCAACCAGAAGGTCCCCGCCGAGGGCCCCAAGGGCCTCAAGAAGGGTGTCAGCATCACGGATGCCTGCATTGACTGGGAGACCACCGTCACCGTGTTGGAGGATCTCGCCGATGCCGTCCGCGCTAGACGGGCTGCCAAGGCATCCAACGCTTGATTCACGTTAGGTTGAGTAGTGTTGGTCAAAGAAGCATTGCCCTTATTTGTCTTTGAAGACGGTTTCGTTTAAGATACCAGAGCTGTAGTGCTTTTTTTCCTCTTCTTCTTTCGGCTTCTTGGTGGCTTTCCGGCATTTTAACAATCTTTCTTGGACCGTCGATGCGAGCGATCTGGAACACAGTCAAGATATGTGTGTAAAAGTTTTATCCCATTCTGTTATGTTGAATGAATCTTGGGTTTCGAGCGGCATCTGGAGTAGTTCCCGTCCGAACAGAGACAATCAATGTTGTGATCCAATCTTATTCACACTCGCACCTGTAGATTCGCACCCCATGCTCTAAGTTTTTTTTTTCATATCTTGGGCCGAAACCTATAACCAAGATAATGACGGAAAGTATATGTACACAATATGACGAGAGGACCCAGTATTACATCGGCTCAAAACACACCTAACAGACGCCGTAAGCCCAAATCGGTGGAATACAAGGAGAAGGGAAAAGAGACCAAATGCCATGCAACAGCAACACAAAGGAAACGAGAAAGAGAAAAAGCTCAATCGGAACATCATCGAGAACGACCCCACCTCATCCCCCCCCATCATCAATACTTTACAATCTCACCTCTCACATCCTTACCGGCCGGTGAGCCAGCTCTTCCAGCTCCTCGAGGTCTGCTTCGCAGCGGTCTCCGCATTCTCCGCCAGGGCATCCAACTGACCCGGTTGCTGCACAGCAGCAGGGACAGCAGCAGTAGCCTTCGCCTCCTCCGCAGCCTTCGCATTCAGCGCCTCCAGAACCCCAGGCTTGTTATTCTCCGCCGCACCCTCGACCTTCGAGGCAGCCTCCTCCGAGCTCAACCCGTCAAACAGATAGCGCTTGAACTTATTCCAGGGCCGTTGCGCCTTCTCCTCCTGTTTCTTCTGCTCGTAGATCTCACCGATCCTCTCGTTCTTGAGCAATTCCAACTGTTCCGATGTGGCGGTTCCGCTGGCATACGCCGTCTTGGCATCCTGCAACGTCTGCAATTCCTTTTCGATCCACAGCGCCCGTTGACGACGGTTATATAGCGTAAGAGACACCATCGAGTAGACCGTTAACGCTCCGCAAATACCTACACCAAAGCGACCCATTAGCCACGTCCATCCTACTCGAAGGACAACACTGCCTTGCCATGACCTGGCATGACAACATAACAAAGAAGGGAATCAAAAGAGGGAAAGACAACTACTAACCCGAAGCAGCAATAAGCGTATAAACCATTGTCTTGTGCGCCTTGTTGGCGAACCGTCTCCCGAAATCGATCATGGTATCCACGCGCGACGTCGACTGCGCCATCCGCGCCGCCCTAGCCTGGGCCCGCAACCGCTCGACCTTCTCCTTCGGTGTCTCCGGACGACCACCGTTGCCGGATCCCTGGGACTGAGCGTTCGCCATGAAGCCGGGGAGCTTGTAGGGGGCGGCACCGGGCTTGGAATGCGCGTAGGGACCTGTGGCCGTGAAGCGGGTTGCGTCTGCGGCGGATCGGGACATGGCGTGATGTTTTTGTTGTTTATTTTTATCTTTTTTTTTTTACTGGTGTGTCGAAGGGAGAGGAGAGGCGGAGGTGTGTATGGTGGGGGTGTTTGAGAGTCGGGACACACCGAGTTGGTTGGGAGGGAGAGTTAGAGCATTCAATTCAATTAGGTGTGATTGTTGGTGATGCGTGAGGATCTTCCGGGAAATTTTCATCCGTTGTTGGACTGGCTTAAAGGAGTCTAGGCGGGAAGGACGGGCGGCCAATCGGTGTGGAGTGATTGTACTTGCGGGATATCTGACATCTTAGCTTCATTACTACTACAACAACTACTACTACTGCTATACTACTTTTCTATGCTAGAACGATCTACTGGGATTTGACTGCAGAGGTAGTAATCTCGTCCTGAGAATAAGCAACAATAAAGAGGAGAGGAAATATGTCCCACAACACCCCCGACCTCTCCTCCGTCCTCGCAACCCTCTCAGCATTATCTCAATCATCACAAGGTCAAGCTCAAACTCAAGTTCACCCACCACCATATACCTCCAACAAGAACACCCAAAATGGCCCAGAAGATGACACAGACCCCTACGAACCCTCTGAAACCATCATCCCCCTAACTCCATCCCCAAACATCCCCCACCCCAAACCCCAAGCACAACCCCAGCACCAAAAACCACCCGCCTTCCACCTCCCAAACACCTCCACAATCACTACCTGGCCGCCGGCCTTGAAAAGCATCATGCGTACCCTCTCTACCAACGAGGATCTGCAGCGGAAAATCCGCTTCCTGATTCAGCGCCAGCATGATCATGAGCGGCAGTGGTGGACGGGGAGGGAGGCCCTGGTGAGAAAGCAGAAGGCTAGGGTGGAGAAGAAGAAGGAGTTGGATGCTGTTTTGTGAGTTTTACTTATCTCTTCCTTGTCGTTCTGTGTTTCTTGGTTTGGCTTTTGTGTATTGTGTTTGTTTGTCTTGGTTTTATTGGGTTATTGGTGGCTAATGGTTTTTGTAGACGGTCTGTGGGTGCACCGGTTGATGAGAAGGAGGTTTCTGTAAGTTTAGTTTCTCTCTCAATTCCCCCCCCCCCCCCCCCCGGGGATAGATGGAGAGGGGTTGTTGAATATGCTTTAGCTTAGTCTGAGGAAAGGACTAATGAGTCTAGACGGCCGAAGAAGATCACGCTGAGTTGACCAATTACGATCTGAAGGTCTACAAGGCGTCGAAGCAGATGGCCGATGCCATGATGGGGGAGCTGCGGGCGTTGCAGATTCCCTTTTTCAGCATTAAACCGAGTCTGGTCTTGGACTCGGCGGGGTCAACTCATCTTCCTGGGATCGGGAGGGATGAACTGGCGGTTCTACGACGGAGGATGTTGGAATTGCTGCAGGATTTCTGTAAGGAGTGATTGGCATGTCCCGGGTCCTTGGGAGAAAGAGGAATAGGTCATGCTCTGGATTTATGATTAGGGATATGATTATATACACCGATTCTCTCTATCCTCGGCCCCCGGCCAAACCGTCTATTCCGTTCGCCTAAGGATCATGCTCAGCTCCTGAAACTTTCAAGCCATACACATATATGCAAGTAGCAAATCCCATGAGCACACAAAATGCGTCGATCACGCCGTGTTACGAAAGACACAACAAAACAAGCCAGATGCCCGAACCCCGAAGCCAACCCAAACGCGCAGAAACGAGGTGGAAGAAATATGAGACCATAACACCGGATAATGCAAAATGAACGCCGTTTGAAGCCCGACAGACCATCCGCAACACACATACACCGACAAATAGATGACTGCGGTATCTTATTTCGCTGGAGGAGATTGAAAAAAAAAAAAAAAAAAGCGATTATGTCTCCCCGGCATTTCACGTGGATGCCTTCTCAGCCACAGCGACCGCAACGGCAACCGCAGCACCAAGGATTCCACTCTCAGACGCGGGGTCGAGGCGGACGGATGGGCTGGGAGTCGCTTCCAAAGTGCCCTTCGAAGCATTCGTCTCCTGTAACAGCTGATTGATATAGCCTTGGCAGCGATCCCGGAAGCCAGGGTACTTGTTGATGACACTGCCATCGCATGCAATAGTCAAGCTCTGGGGATGCTCGCTCTCGACCACAGTCACCTCTTGCGTCTCCTTGATCGACGATGTTGCAGAGGCGGTCACTTCGGGGAACTCAGCTTCGTTGCGCAAACACCACATACTGTGGATGGCCGTTGCCAGGTACCCCGCGGAGCGGTTCGAAACAATCTCACAGACACGGCGTAAGAACTTGAGGTCATCCACAGTTGGAGCACGGTGGAAGGTGTGCTCCTTCTGGAGGAGAGCCGCTGACGAAGCAAACGATGTTGACGTATCGGCTTCAATGGCCGCGACGATGCTCGTGTCGAAGGAATAGGCATCGCGCATCGAGCGAGGGAGTTCACCTCCAAACAATTGTGCGGTGTCCACGGCTTCCACGATGATCAGTCGAATAATTTCGCCCAAGTAGCGCCCTGTGATCATGTATTCTAACGGTTGATAGTCGGGTCGAAGATGCGTACGGTTGATCACATCGTCCCATCGACTCATCGGTAAAACCTTGCCACCAAACATGCTCAGCTCGCTATTGATAATGACGTGCTTGGCGTAGTCGAACCAGCCTACGGGTCTGGTGCCAAATTTGGTCAATCCGATCGCATGCACGGGGAAATGAATGGCCATGTTGGTTCCCGTTCCGAGAATCAGAGACATGCGGGTCTGGGGGTCCACGTAGGCACGAGAAAGAAGAGTAGCAGAGCTGTCGTTTACAATGGCACCCATTTGGAGGTTCAAACTACGTTTGCGACATGATTGGACAATCAGATCTCCCAGCTCCTGTCCCACAGTACCATTCGAACACCGAAAACCCTTGCCCATCTGAATCACTAAACCGCTGTTGATGGACGTCTGTTCCACCGGGAAGGACCACGACAAGCCCATGGACAATGGTGCGAGTTCTCGACCGTACTGCGCGCCGACCTCGGAGAGCATCGAATCGATCTTCTCCGCCATCCAGTCAAAGAATAGGGTTCCCTCCAAAAGCTTCACCTGCTCGTCGATTGGGGACGAGTTGACCCGCAGAATCTCCATGTCGCCGTTTCCACGAAGTTCAATCAACGCCACACGGAAGGTGGAACCTCCGACATCGAGGGCTAGGAAGGTTCCCTTCTCCGTTCCTGATGGCAGCGCATGGTTGTAGGACGGCAACATGCTTACCGGACTAGACTGTAGACAAATTCGGAGCTGTTCACGGATCCTTTCGGACATCATGGCCATGTTCTGCATTGATAGTGGGGCTGTGAACACATGGTCGACTTCGTCAGCAAGGTCACCGAGAGTGCGGCGGCGCCATGATGCCCTGTGGAATGACTTCCTCTTGCCGGAGGCATCCCGGAAGAGTGATGGAAACAACAGCATCGCTTCTAGTGCGGCGACAACGTTTGAAAAAAGCTCCTGCATCCTATGCAGGACCTTGGTAAGGGAGGCCGACATGATCCGTTCAAGTAGGTCGTTGAGCGACCGCCTTGTCCAAGTGGCAAAAGATTAACGGTGACAAGTGAATTCAGATATAATAAAGAGAGATGTGCGGGGCTTAAATAGTTGAGTGAAGACCAAGATGAAATGAGCTTATAGGTGTATTGTATGCATCTGCCGCAAGAAGGGACCACTTGCGGAAACGAGGGTAATTATAGTGGGAACTATGCACTCTCGTACGGACTCCAGGAGAGTAGCAATTCACTGGAGATAGTGAATGAAAGACCTCAACGATGGTGATGGAACCGAGTTGCAATGTATGAGACGTGAGGTAACACCAGTGAGAAAAATAAAAAAGCAACAATCCCTCGTCAAGCTGAAGTGGAGACCGTTTGGAAAGTAAGAGAGAGGGAGACCCAGTCAGAGGGGTTAAATCAATAAATAAAAAAAAATAAATAAATAAATAAAAGGCGAAAAGAGCTATTCAGTTTTAGAAATAATGAGAAAGGGTTGTTGAAAATAGTGGTGCCAGACGAGACAGCAATTCCTAAAATCTCTCCACCGAGCTAGTTCAATGGGGTAAAAAGTAAGACACTTATGCTGTAGTTGCACGGAGTGTTAAGGTGGTGGTGGTGGTGCTTGTTTTTGTTTTCCTCTCCCGTTGTAGTAGTGGTAGTAGTAGTAGTATCGTCAGTAAGTAGTAGTATTAAGTAGAGTGGTAATGGTCAACGGAGGGTGACGGGACCATAACCCATAGACACTCCAAGCATGGATCAACGCGTGTCCATTCCTGGAAGGATCCAACAGAATGAATGGGTCACTAACCCTTCAAGGAATGATGGATGGAGCAAAAAAAAAAAAAAGAGAGAGAGAGACAAAGGAAAAGGGTTTATGAGAATTTCAGACACCGTCGAAAGATAAACAACAACGGGGTGAATAAGGAGGAGAGTCAACCACCCGAATTGACTATAAGAGGGGGAAACAGGGAGATTGAATGATTCTTGATTGATGGATGCAGAAAGGAAAAGAGATGCGCCGGAGAGACAGACTGACTCCGTACCGATTGGGGTGGAGGTAATGTACGGTACGGTAGCGGTGGGAAAATCTTCCAACCAGGGGGGATGTATTGCTGGTTCGGTATCGTCATAACCGTATGGGATTCCCACCCTAACCATTTATGACCATGAGTGGGGATCGAGGGCGACTGCTACCTTGAAGGACATCGTTAACGAGTAATTCACGACGCAAAGGGAAACCGACAAAGGGACATCCAATGCTATGACTCGGTGACCCATTGGAGAAGAACGTTGCGTGGCACCTTTTTCACCATGCGAGAAGGGGTCGAGGAACATTGCCTCTGGAATCATGACATCAATCAACAGGTAAATAATCCTACGATCCGCTACCAGGATATAAAAACGTGATACGTCGTTCGGTCTCTCAAACAGATTTAGCTTGATTACTGATTCTTATCTTTGTCCTGTACTGTACCTCGGATAACAATCTGCGGGGAATAAATCCTACTACGTACTATCCTATTCTTTCGTTTGTCGGGATGATCTTCCTCCCAGTTGTATACTTAAGCATAAACGGATGTTGACAACTGCCGGTTTCCTCATCCCGCAGACGAAACAATTAGATGAGCCATCGAATAAAATCTTGGAACCACTCTACCCGCATGGGCCTACCATATTGTGCCGCGGTCAGAGTTACATTCAAGTTTCAGCACCCATAATCGAATAGATTTCCACTGCGCGAATGTGTAACCGTACGGGTAAGAGACGGTACACCGTTACGGCAATACCGGTTCTACCCTAATGTGCAATCCATCCAACCTGCATGGAATCATCTGCTAGTTTAATTCGTGTCACTCCTAGTAGGAGTATTTGTCTGTACTATAATTATCGGATGACGACTTTGGGATGCCTGAGTGTAGAAAATCTGTCAGTGCACCAACATTCCAGAGCAAACATCCAAAATTCCCCCGAGTGGCTTGTCCTGGAATTAAGCAACAGAATGATGACGACAAGATAAATCTACAGGAAAGAGAAAAGGGGTAAAAATGAATTAAATCTGGAATTTTTTTAATACTAATAATAATTAAAAAAAAAAAAAAAAATACAAAATAACAAATCGTCCAAAAAGTTGCCAGTAGGGTTGGTGTGGTATGTGACACCCATGTTGAGTGCAACGGTGGTAGTCGGTCTAATGAGAGTGGCCGAGACTGTTACACTGAACTGGAGACGGAACGGAAAACTCCCCAAACCCCATCGAGCATCTTCTTCAGCCATTGCATTCTGATCACGAGTTCGGATCCATTCTTGTATATATACTCGGAGAGGTAGCCCTATTTTGTCATGATTATATCAATCTATGAGTGACGTGATCACCTCAACTCGCTTCAGATGATCGACTTTCGCTAGAGTTTGTTGGTCTACCCGGATACTGTGTATAAGGTTACGCCATTTTAGGTCGTAGGAAGTCCGTGTGTCCTCCATCTGCCTGTGAACCGATCGTAGTAGTATTGACGACATAGTATGTACTAGACCTCTATGTATGTATGTATGTATGTATGTACACTGCCCTCGTAGGTACCCTCTGGACATACCTCTAGGACACTGAGTCAGTCATGAGGCATAATCGATACTAGTTGTTATCGCCTGCATTCCAGAAGCCCTGCCAAGAAACTGGAGGCTGCAACACGCGTACACCTTCTGATCCCCCTAGTCCTAATGCCGTTAGCCGACACGAGACACTACGAGAGTACTAGTATCAATGCTACGGTCAGTTCGGTACTCCCGCGTAAGCGTCGCCCAATACTAGTTGCTCGGTACCTCGCCCAACGATCCGAATCTATAGGTGAAGAATTATATCCCCGTGGGATATTACACCCGTCAGCAAGGGGTCAATCAGAACCACTAAATGGGGAGAATGACGGAGTAAGGTGCTTTACCGAGTACGTCCTGTTAGGTAAACCTATCCTGTCTTTCCGTTTCCGGACGGTTCAATGTGAGATCTCAGATCCAGTCCAGGCAAAACTTCGGTTGAATGCGGCAAAAACAATGTTTGGCTCCCACACGGCTGTCAATCATTATCACAACAATGCTCATTGTCCAGTTTACTCGCATACCACTCAGCCATTGGTTATGTGAGTTCATCGGACAAGTGGGTAGGTACTGTACAACTACTCCTAGGAGTCGTTGTCGCCTCAATCTACAACATCGTTTATCTTTCATTATCGTACGGGTTGACAGGACATCACCACGTGTTTCAAAAAAGTTTCCAAGGTGACATCTTTCTTTGTTCCCTCGGAGGTCCAGGCAGCAGACAAAACAGACATGTTGCCTGCTTATCAGTATGTGTACTATTCAACTGTAACCTGAACACCCAAGAAATGGGGCTGAGTAAGTCACACTCACACAATGAATGCATGACGCTGAGGTGACCCCATCGGAGAATTTAAACTAACTCTATGCATTGGCTGCAGACTCTCTAGACCAATCGCGTCATCTTGTCGTGGATGATGATTGTGCTTCAGACTAAAGCTGCCTGGCCTTATCGACATGTCATTGATGGAGTGGAGATTGGGAGTCTGGGCTGGCGCCACTCTTTCGCCGGTGCAACCGTCCGCCGGTTCCTGAGAACTACTGATCGATGCTCTACCGATGTTGCAACCTTGTAAGACACGACAGTATATCTATTACCTATAAGTGCCTGGTTCATCGCCCACCCCCCGATCATCCTGTAGATCATTGATCAAATGCTCCTAGGCGGATGAGCATCCCAATCACATGGTTGACTTGTCAAAGGTAATGCAAGATTCCCATGCAGTTGTTCTGGCACGGTATCAGGATGGTCGACTTGTAATGCCACGAAATCATGCATGCAATGGCATGGCTCAATGACACGGTCTGAGACGGTGGTATCGCTCTTGCCGATGGGATTTCTGCTTCAGACCAACGGAATGATCGTCCTGGGCTGGATATCTGCCTACGCTGATATGGCATTTGATTTTCGACATGACTGACTTGGCCATTCCTCAGACACCTCTCTTTTCTCCTTGTGTGGTTGAAATGGAGAGCGGATTTTCTCATTATGACATCGCCGCCCTACTGGTGTCATATCATGATCCCAGCGTAGACTCCTCGTTAAATCAAAGTTCTCTTTTGGGTCTGGACAACCCATAGAATAGACCTCAAATCACTCACTGTGACCCTTGAAGAGTTCGAGACGAGAAAGGCGAGCCCATCAATGAAGGCAACATCTACACCCAATACAGTGGCGGTACCCATGCAGGAGAGGTATCTCGCCCCTGTTCAACTACCCATCTGTGTACCTTCGTAGGCACAAAGAATCATAACAGACGAATCCAGAGCCAGCCCACAAATTCTTTCAAGGCGAGTGTCCAATGCAGCTAATCAAGGCCAACGTAGATACCCTGTCTTTGTAATTGTCACCAAAGATCAGGATGGGCACCGCGTAGCACATAGCTCGAGCACATCAGAGAAGATATATAACGCAAATGCTACATAGAGACTTTCATGCTTACAACATACAAGAATGTCGCCTTTATCAGCTATCATGATAACTGTGATCTAGGCATAGCCAAGCACCAACGTGTCCATATACTGTCGAAGTGCGCCAATCTTGGAGCGAGCAGAGGAAAGTAGCTTGGATAGAATAGAAACACATGAAGGGAAGATACGAGGGGAGGAAATCAGAAGGCGAACTGATTGGTTTCCCAAATACAGAGATACCTAGTTTCTTAAGTAAGCTTATGAGTGATTGGTCCGCAGTACATCAATTGGATTTGAGCAGGGGTCCCATCTAAGAAACTACATAAAATATATGAAGTCGTTACTACATGCAATTCTCTAACCACTCCACTGTGTCTTTCTTTCTTTCTTTTTCCCACCGTGACCTCTTTAAGTTTTTATCCCTTTTTCTTTCTTCACTTCTGAACCATTCGATATTGTATGCTGTGTCTTACCTATTTTTCATACCAGTTCCAACTCCCTTGGAAACACGCTCACCATCTTCAGTCTGATATGTTTCCTCGATATATATCATAGACCCTGCAACTGCATCATCAAGGACGTTGATATGATGGTCATGACGGGAAGTAGCCATCCGATTTATCAAAGGAGATCGATACATAAACGAGACCTATTTAAGCCGAAGATCGAACGTGCCGAATTGAGTCGTAGTCACTATCATGGATCTCTTAGGCTTATTCCATAACACAACATCCCAAGACCGCTCAACGCCCCTAGTAGAACTTAAAAGTAAAGTACAACACTTTTCGCTCATCGTAAAATATCATAACCATCATCGTCCGTCGCAAGTCAGACCACCGACATTAAACATTCCTCTTCTCCCGAATCGACACCCGCCCTACTAGTCTCGGAACAGGTCTTCTCCTCGCTTTCACGACCCAGACTGTAAAGAAAAGAATCCCTAGGATCACGAGTGCTGTGATAAGATCAACTATCACCTCTTCAGCCCGGGGATAGTCGGTCAACAATTCAGATTTCCCGGTAGGACGATGTTCATTGGGTGTGTGTGGTGGACTGCGCTGGTCGTCCCTGTGGATTATTGATACAGTGCAAGGCGACACAGAAGAGTGAAGATGACGTACAGCAGTAGCTGCGGATCTGAGACATGCTTCATGGAGGAAGGATATTCGACAACGGGGTCTGAACCGTACTGCGGCTTTTCGCTAATTTGGATATCTGGCTTACGGTCGCGCATCCAGCGCTCGTAGTCGGTTTCGGGTCTCGGGAGTGCAGGCATTATGATTGAGGTTGAGGTACCAATCACACGATGGTCTGGTTGCTGTGGATGGTTCCGATGGGTGGAGAGTGGTATGTCTAATTGACATGGTTATTGGTGTTGTTGTGTAGACCCGGGGAAGGATCTTGATTTGAACAGCGACACATCTGTTCGTAGGCCGAGTGCGGCGCTGGCTCTTGCGGAGAACTGTTGGATGTCAGCTGGATACACATTTCGCAGTTTGTCAAACAGAACCGGGGTTTAAGTTCTTCAATTCATTGGCCAGTGACATATAAAATGGATAATATATTCATCTGAGGCTGTTTTTGCAGGGAGAATACATGTCATGTTGATAGAGTAGGATGAGTTATATGTAGATATATGTGTATTTCATCTTTTAATTACTGTGCTTTCAGTAGTAGTACACTGTGTCACCCTAATAAGAGCTTGCTTTCTACTAGTGGGAGAGAAAATCAATGAAAGAGAAAAGAAGCACCAATTATTCTGCAATCTGTGGCGCTAATTTCTCTACTGTAGAATGATTGGTCTACCGCTGAAACCAATCAAGGCGTTGACAAGCTAACCCGATTGATCTATTAGTTAGACTTTCCACCACCACCACCACCACCCATCCATAGGTTGATGTTAACACGGAGCTGACACTCTCGTATAAGCAGCAGGCAACAGAATTCCCATGATCAATATTATACCTCCGTCTCTATCACTCATGATCAATTTCAAAATATATCCAACAACCGTACGAAGACACTGACTGTCAATATCAAACACCGCCGTAGAGAATGACTAAAAAGAGTGCCATCAGCAGCAGTCTTTCCGGTCCTGCCACTCCCTCTATTTCCCGTTCATCCATCAACCACTGCAGCTTTAACAGCCTCACCCCCGCCGACTCCATCCATCGAAGCGAGCTCGACTCAGTCAATGTGTTTCGCAAAACGTTCCCAGAAAGCAGCAGGGTAACTCCTATATCGCCCGCCAACACCACCATTCGGCGTAGTAAGATCAGCCATACTGTCATCGCTAACTCGTACGTCCGTCGGTGCAAGCTCGCTAACTGTGAGCTTGTCGATGTGTGCTCCGCTAAATCCTTGGAGGCCAATGACTCCAAGTTCGACAATGTGCGCTCGATCCGCGGCCACACCTCGGTGCGAAATAGCACCATTACGGGCCAGAGTACTTTGAACCGGAGCAAAGTCAACGGATCATCCGTCACGGACGAGAGTTGTCTGCGACGCAGTCATCTTGAGAATGTTCGGATTGCTCGAAGTCGTGTGAAGAGATCGGCGCTGCGGAACTGCGACGTAAGTGATTGCGTGATTATTAAGACAGATTTCACTGGCATGACTTTACGCCATGGAGTTTGGAAGAATGGCAAATTGGTTGGAAGAGTTGGAGATAATGAGGTCGTAATGATGACCCAGGATGGTCAGGTGAGTTGCTCTATCACTGTGTAGATTATCCTTCGTTTTCTTGGACACATATAATAACCAGAGATAGAACATCGGTCATGTTTCATCGGAGAAGCTCGTCACCCAAGACGCCAAGGTATGGGCGGACGATGAGCCCGACTCAGATAGCTCGGACAAGGAAAGCTTGGACTCAGATGACCTTCCGCCTCCTTATAAGCCTTGATTGTAGTCCAGATTTCCGTGATGTTTTACGTCTGATGATATGTATTTGTCATATTCTTTTTTCTGATCTCCCTGTTATAACCTCACCAAGTTTGATCCCTCATGTTTCTTTAAAACACATTATGCGCCGCCCATGGTCAGTTTTGTTTAGTAGTCTACCAGCCTGCTTCATAGCCATGTTTCAAACATGGTCCAACAGCCGACGGTTCCTCCAGGGTGGACTTACATGTAAGCCGAGCTTACCGTCACTAGTCGCAGGCTTTTAAGGAGCACCAAAAGCTAGAGCTTCATGGAAGAGCACTAGGGCTCAATTTTGTTAAGCCAACTGATCCCGTATCCACATGTGTCGCTGTTGTTGATCAATAAAACTGACGGGACACGAAATTGCATCATATGGCAGTGCAGTTGTGACGAAATCATGGACCGATTTCCTCAATATATAAGGTGGCGGTCATCTGTGGGCTAGTGTCGTACTACGGGGTGCTTGTATTAAGTTCTCAAGAATATGGATGTCGGTATAAGGGCAGCGAAAGCTAGAGGAGCTAAGTAAAAACCGCAAAACCCGTACATCTGGACATTTGGCTCTTCTTGGCCCTCTTTCCAGAAGTATTCTAACTGGTGGACATATGGAGAATAGGTGTCAAGGCTGAGTGAGATAGAGACCGGGCTTCCCGGGCTTCCTCGCGCAAGCCGATAAGATATGCGAGAGAGCCAACACCGTGGACAGATGGCCAATATCGGGGCTACATCCCATACATCATCTGAGCCCTGAATATCACCCATACTTAGCAAAGCGTTACAGGCAGACATGGCTAGCGGATGAGCCAACCCGTCAAAGGATTTATTTTTGACCAAACCTCAGAATATCCCGCTTCTTGAGACTTGCACAGCCATGTTAGGGAGATTACTGATCTTGGCACATTGGCTCTATAATACAATCCACTCGGGTCAACTGGGATAACGCAGCATATCCTATTTATCTGTGTTGGAATTATAATCAGCGTGAAGGTCTGTATAAGAACCCCACACAGCCAGTGCTGCCCTTATGAATCTTACTCAACCACGGCTATTTTATACAAAAGTATGGTACGGCGAACGCCTGTTGACTGGGCAGTCCAGACCTGCATTTTAGGTTTGAGTATGCTGTCACTCGCCTCTGTATCTCCATATGTACCAGACGGATCTTTTACCGGGATCATTTCGTACGACGGATTCAGTTTGCTTAATGAGATATCACAGTTGACTCCTCGCGATGAAAAGCCTTTCACCCTCCGCATCATGCCCCTAGGTGCATCCATCACCTACGGATACCAGTCAACTGATGGTAATGGCTATAGACGATGGCTTCGTCAGCAACTTCGTCACGCTGGATGGTGGGTGAACATGGTTGGCAGTAACCCAAATGATACCAGCACCATGAATAACAACGTAAGACACTACTAATACTTTGTAGTTGAACTATTAGGTCAGAGATACTAACGCTTATTATTTGACAGGAGGTTGAGGCCACATCAGGGTTTAGAGTCGATCAGTTCACCCAAGAGGCTGAGAAAACCATCCCGCCACAGCCAAACCTTATTTTAGTACAGTAGTACTATCTCTGTTCATAGTACTGTGAACTAACTGACATTATATGCACTGTGCTGGCGCGAATAACGCAAATTAGTATAATGACAACAATTGATGTGTACAAGACGGGCGAGCGGCTGGATGCTCTTCTGACACGTCTGTTCGACGCAATTCCCGGCACTACTATCATCCTTTCTACTCTGCTCCCCATAGTTGCCGAGCGTGAAGTCGTCCATTTCGCCAAATATATTAGTGATCAGTATCGGCAAATTATTGCCGCGTGCCGTCAACAAGGCCAACGCATTATCCTTACTGAGATGACTAACTTCATCAAAATCGAGGACTTGATCGATGGAACACACTTAACTGACTTTGGTTATAAGAAAATGGCCTTGGCTTGGTGGGAAGTCATCCAAGACACTGAGCTGCAAAGGCTGCTCCAGTCACCAAACAATACAGGTGTCAGTGGCACTGGTAGAACGACTTGCAAAAAGGAATACGGCAGTGGAAATAAGAGAGGTCGGGTCCAAACCCAGCGTGGGAGTGGGGCCGATGACGGAAATTATGTCCATAGCTCCAAGGACATGGGGCGCATCTTCAGTCCGGCTACTACGAAGGAAGAGAAGGACTTTGCCCTTGGTATCAACTATGCTCAGTTAGTGAATAAATTTGGCGCCCACCGGGAAAGCGCATTGGATGAGCTAGTTTGGACAAAGGGTGGGAATGGTACGTATATGTTCATTCATAATAATGATGGGAAGTTTGGAAGTGTAGTGAGGATTGAAGTCAATGATGGATGCCTCGCGAGAGGTATGTATATCTATGCATATATGTTGGTAACCTGTCTTACGTACTAATATCACCTGCAGGTGTTCGATGGGGAGATGTGAGTGGGGACGGCCTTGATGATTTCATCTGCATCAGCAGGGAGGGGCACATGTATGTCTCGATTAATGAAGATAAGGACCCCAACGTTCCCACTTTCCGAAGCATTGGACTAGTCAAGGATCGCCTCGGCGATATCGGTGGGGACGGAAGGATAGACTAGTAAGTTCGAACTTTGCCAATTTTTTAGTCAGGCTAACTCGCATGCAGCTGTCTGATACATAAAAATGGCGATATTCGGTGCTGGCACAATGGTGGCCAGAAGGATGCACCCACAAAAGAGTACGGCGGGTATTGGCAAGATCTCGGTATCGTGTTCAAAGGTAAAGGAATGGGGGATATCACCGGTGTGCCTCTCGTTGATATCAATCGAGACTTCCGCAGCGATTGGCTTTGGCTAGACGCAAAGGGAAAAGTAAGTGATCTTCTTCTCCTAGTATGTCGAATACGTACTGTGGTGACATCGTTCCAGCGCATTTCATGAGCCCATCTGACTCATGTTCTTATGCAGTCTGATTTGTGGGCCGTGAAACGAGATACAGGAGAAGCTGAGGTTTGGTTAAATAAGTGGAGCTCTAATGCCCAGGGTGACTATTTCCAGTTTAAGGGAGTTCTTACGGGTAATGCGAGGTGTACTCAGGGATGGGGTGTAGGCCTTTATGACTTGGGCCTTCGGTTTGCAGATCTTGAGTAAGTTCATATACTAAGGAACTTGATTAGATGCTAATCATGATAGTGGAGACGGTCGGGCAAACTACCTCTGTATGGAGTGAGTACTCTTCCAGTATAAAGCCTCATACATGACGCGATATACTAATGAACTTTGTCTATAGTCCGGATGGCCGTACAGATGGCTGGTTGAACAAGGGAGACAATAGTTTCGAATCCATCGGGCAAGTCAAACGAAGTGAGCATTACGACCGTGCAAGTAAGTCCTTTTCGGCGCATATAAGCGTGATCTAAAAAATTCTGGCCTGATACAGACCATCGGTGGGCGGACGTAAACGGTATGTGGTCCTTAATCAAGTGACAGGATAGAGCTTATTCTCATAAGATGGTCGGATGGCTGATTTCCTCTGGATTGACAAATTCAACGGTGATACCACGGTAGCAATCTAACTTGCCGGATGGAATCAACCAAGGCGCTGTTCCTACCATGGACTCGAAGTGGAAATGGGAGCCCTAGGATGGTCCGGTATATGGGGGCCGACCGGGGAGTGAGTACTTCCACCAACATGATCACCTTTCGAGCGCTAATTGTGGAAGGCGAACATGCATTTCCCTAACCTTGGTGAGCTGGGGCGGGCGGATTATCACCAAGTTATTCCCCGTACCAGCGTTGTACGTTTCGACTCCTTTATGAGCAAGGTGCATTTGCATACCGACGTTCGTTAGGCTTATACCTGGTTCAACGAGTGTCCCAGTGAGGTTTTGGATGATGATTATAGTACTAAACATCCTAAATTGCCTCAGTACCCTGCACCACCGCAGCCTGCTTCTATAAATAATCACGGAGCTAGTGATGCCATGTAACATTGTCGCGCCTACCTGGTTAGGCAGAAAGTAGAATGACATCTATCTGTATGTTTACAAATTCCTCTATCCTGGGTGCAGATCTAAACCTGGCCTATGTAGGGAATGCCCACTGGCCATGTGTGTCGTGTTTTTGCTGTTTCCTCCTGCCGTCAAAGTACTTATGACCATTTAGCAAAAAGGAAACCCGTCTTCCATCAACCAGAACCGCTTAGTTCAAAAGGCCACAGACTATGTTCCAAATATAGCTCCCTGAGTGAGCTACCCGTCCAAGGACCAAAAGTACTATGCAGCATTTTGTGATTGCTCTTCATCGGGCCGAGTAGCATGGATACCATCCAGCAAACCGGATGTGCGCGATATACCTCGATCGGCAAATCACAGCAGAACTACGGAGTAAATAAGCAATGCGAAAGCACCTGTAGTAAGGGACTGATAGTGATCTCCATGATTCTGCCAGAACGCTTGGCATGCTGGTATCTGGTTCAATGTAAGATACTGAATACGCTGAATGCTCTCGTCGTCGGATTTTTGGAGCTAATATCGAGCATGTTCATAACATTCCGAACATATTACTGCATAGCTCAGTGAGTGACTGGTCAACGTATGCATGTCTATCTCGGGGTAGCATTCCCGATCTGCTCGTGGTTAAAGACTTCGACTTCCTCTATGGATGATGAGTGGATCGTCTTGACAGTGGGGGACTTCCGTCAGCTCAAGGTCCCCATGTCATGTTGTTATTAAACTTAACAAGGCCGCTAAACCGGGTTGAATGGACCATGTTTCCTCGGCCTTCCGGTTTAAATACAAGAGACACAGGGAATACCTGGGTTAGGCAGGAGATGAGTCTTCTTAGACGATGAATGCATGGTCCAGCTTGACGCTGGAATCCAGTCATAATGAGCTTATGGCATCGGAGCCATGACATTCCATGCTCAACGAATCGGAGCTCTCTCGCCCCCAATGATTCAAGGCTAGAAACCCGGCTTCCGGGTTAACCGAATTCATGGCAAGAAGACGTTTCTCGGTCATAAATTTCCGGTATTGACAAGGTCCTCGAATATTAGTCGGGATTCTGCTCTAATTTTAGGGCAAGTCACATGCTCTACGGTCCAAGCAGATCATAAGGTTGCCTTGAATTGAATCCCCACCGGATACAACGGGACGCAACTACAACCCCAGAGGTCTGTGCTCTCTCTCTCTTTCTCTCTCTCTCTGTGCCGGAAACCCGGCTCGGAGATAAGCAACATAAAAGCATGCGGGTAAGGCAGACAAGTTCTAAGTTATGCCCTGGCAAATCACGAAACCTGATTTATTCATTGAAGGTTTGCTCCAAGTGGATCTTCCCCCAAAAGAACGTACGGAGCGGCGGTGAGTGCGGAGTCGTGATCTCTATGAATATGAATGTAAGGTCATACATACATAATATTAAGCACTCACAAACAAGAGATCTATTACTCGGGTCGTAAGGGAAACTACGGCCAATGTGACGTGGCACCGCAAGATTGCTACCAGCCTACTACCAGCCTACCACTTCCAGTACATACTGTACATACATGTGCATGTGCCGCATTGAGAATGCGGCTAGAGCAGTACGTATGTCTTAGTGCTAGTACTAATAACAGGCGCATAAGCGAGCAGGCCAACAGCACTAATTAATGCATGGGGGGACAATTATTGCAGGTGGTAAGAGTAAGGAATTCCGCCACTAAACGGTCGAGTGGGGTTCCCCTAATTTAATCAATATCAAACCCAGCCCTACTAAAGTCTTGTCGAAACCTTAGCCGAAGCTTGGTTCTTGAACGTTATGTCTTCACCGTCGTCCCCTCCTGCGCCTAACTAGCGACATATTTGTCGCTTGCGAAAAAAAAAAATGAGCTCTTTTTCTTTTGCCTGCTGCACGGGTGGGGGACGCTTCCTCAGTTTGCCAGGCAATGCATGCCCTATGCGAGTACTAGATTTCATTCTGGACCAGTAACAAATCGTAACAGCCCTATTGGGCGCCGTAGGAGCTGGTCTCCTGACAAGCCACTCAGATTGGTTCCACTTAGTCATATCTCCTCATGGAGTAGCCGGTATGGTGCCCCTTTTAGGAAATGGTTATATCAGATTACTCGTCCAACTCCAGCATCCCCCTCATGAGGGGTTTTTCTTTTAGTTTTGACTGTGGTAGCAATATCGCCTTGGAATGAGGGGATCTTCATGTAGCACCCTGCAAGTTCCAGGGATATAAAGCCAGTCAAAGCATCCGTCCTGCTCTTCCATCAACAGCGCCTCTCAACCCTCGACTGGCAATACTTTGGCTTTTCAATATGAAATCCTTCCTTTACTATACCGGCTGCTTCATTGCTATCCTTGGTACCGTCCATGGTGCCCCTGCTGCTAGGGACTCCATCCGGGACTCCGGGAATCCCCCATTGAGAGGCTCTGAGAATCTTCTGGGTTATTCTTCTGACAATAAATTATCCGACCATTCCACGGAAGAGGTCAAGTACACCCTTCTTCCTGCGCAGAAGGAGGATCCGAAGATAGGGTCATATCTGGACTTCGAGAAGGTCGACAATCCGCAGCCCATTCGCGGCGATCTTGGAGCGTCCGACCCTGGCCCTCGTGAGTCATGTAGCTTCCATCTCTGAATCTTCCTTGCACTAACTAGTCAGGCAACTACAACTATGACCGAATTAATAGCGATAAGCTAGCTCCCCCGGGTACAGATAAGGGACAGACAATCAATGCTCAATGGCCAATGGGTAAGCTATAGCACTATCCCTATTCGCAAACCCTGCTAATAGTTGGTAGGTCTCAGCCGTAACAGGTACGTCCAAGGGCTCTACATATGATGTAAGGTAATGAGGCTCACTAAGAGACAGATACGGCTCGGAGAACTCGGGATGGGCTCGTCAAGAAAACACCGTCGTCATGCCCGACGCTACCAAGATGGCCGGTGTCGACATGCGCTTGGAAGCTGGGGCGTATCGTGAACTGCACTGGCACGTTGCCGGCGAGTGGTCTTTGGTGCTTAATGGGTCATGTCGCATTCAGGTATTTTGCTCTCGTTTAGACTTATGCTCTCGCTTGCTAACTTGCCTTAGGCGGTTAATGAGAACGGCGAAACCTTTGTCGACGACGTGACAGAAGGTGATGTGTGGTTCTTCCCTCCGTAGGTCCAGACTATCCTCACAAGCCTTCAATGACAACTACTAATCATAACAGTGGTGTCCCTCATTCCATCCAAGCCCTAGATGCAGGAGTAGAGTTCCTCCTCGTCTTCGACGACGGAGATTTCTCCGAAGACAACACCTTCCTCGCGTCCCAAGTCTTCAGTCACAACCCTGTACAACTACCCAATGCCCCAGAAAGACAATCTCAAGGCTAACAAAAGAACCTCAGAGATCCGTCCTGGCGAAGAACTTCGACCTCCCCATCTCCGCCTTTAACGACATCCCAGAGGATGAACTGTACATCTTCCCCGGCACAAAAGCCCCGAAGGACATCGAGGAGCAAAACGTAACAACAGCCGCCGGCATCGTGCCGCTAAGCCAAAGCTACTCATACCACTTCTCCGAACAACCAGCCCATGAAGTCGCCGGCGGTTCCGTGAAAATCGTCGACCCCGTCACCTTCCCCATCGCCACCAACTTCGCCGCCGCCATTGTGACCGTGAAACCCGGCGGCATGCGTGAGATCCACTGGCACCCGACCAGTGACGAGTGGACGTTTTTCATCAAGGGCAAGGCTCGCGCGACGTTGTTCACAGCGCCCACAACAGCGACCACGTTCGATTACCGCGCTGGTGACGTGGGCTACTTCCCGCAGTCAAATAGTCATTATATCGAGAATACGGGTGATGAGGATTTGATGTTTTTGGAAGTTTTGCAGACGGATAAGTTTACTGGTAATCCTACCTTTTTCTTTATTGAGTTTTCATGAGGGAACACAACGATACTGACATTTATACAGATATTGCTCTCGGTCAATGGATCGGATCCACTCCGAAGCAAATCGTGGCTGATACATTGAAGCTGCCTGAGAGTGCTCTGAGTAAGCTGAAGACGGAGAAACAGTATGTCGTTGCCGGATCGAATGTGACGGCTGTTGCAAACAGATGATTTCTTGGGGGGCCTATTGAAGCCCCATTCTTCCAGGGTGACGTTTCAATATGCTTATAGAGATGATCACCTCAACTGAAGCCTGAATCTGACATCACGGGTATCTCAAGCTGTGCATACACATTTAACACATGTACATACTATCATTAAGCATCTACCTCATCTACGACAAAGAAATATCATGGTTATGCTTATTGTCATGCCGTTCCACAATCATCTCCGGTCTAACCCTCTAGCATACATACATATCTTGAACCCTGTAGGGAAAAAAAAAAAAAAAAAAAAAAAAGGTAGGATTTCCATTGAGTATCATCCCCAAATCCTTCCTCACGTCGGTCTACGACCAGCCAAGAACCATATTTTTGCATTATTGCAGATCAACCGTTACCCATGCTACGTCAGTTGAGATGTTACTCTATTGGCCGATGAGACGGTTAACGAAACAGCCTCCGATGCGGGCGTTTTAGGCCCTACTGTTACCTAGGTAAATGGGAAATGACCCGTCATGGCATCCCGTTGATGGACTCGCATTACCTATGTAGTTTAGTTATTTTAATATAAAAGCAATAAATTTAAATTAAAAGCTAGGGGCGATTGTTTACCTGCAAAATAAGAAAGGAAGACGAGCCCTTGTACTGTCTCCTAGAGTCAAAGATTAGTAGGGTACAATGTGCTTGACTCAGGATAGATCGTTATGAAACAAATGCTAGCTTTAATATATACTACTATTATAAGTGTCTATGTATATCGTTGAGTACACTGTATCTATACAACCATATAACTCCAGGCCAATGAATCCACGAAAGCAGTTAATATATAGTCATGCCTCATATCTCATGTCAACAGGGTATTACTGCACGCCCTTCGGCACCCGACACACGGCACGGGCATCATCTGGCATCGTCGTCCAGAGAACCTGTCGTACCTCCTTTCCCACCTGCTCGATGACGTCCATGGCCCATAAGACATCGAGATGCTCATACTCCTCGATAACCTTCTCGTGAACAACACGCACATGGGGTTCGCGTCCATTGCGGAACCGCCGAAGCAATTTTCTGCCATCAACCAGATTGTCGGCTCCCGCGACCCATAGAGCCATCGGGGGAACCTGGGGTCCGTACCATGCGGTATCACTCCTCGAGGCCCCACCATCGATACCCTTTTCAAAGCGATGATCCTCTTCCGCCTCAAGAATGCCGACCTCGCGTGAGGCCAAGATACATTTTTGTGTGGCGAAGCATTCACGGCCCAACCACCATCGCATTGTCTCGGCACTGACGTAGACTGGAGAGAACTGGAACATACGATCCCGAAGACCACGGTCCCAACGGGTGTCGCTCCAGCCGAAGAGGTACGAGAACACGTAGTAACCTAATGTACCGTAGATCTTCGGATGGAGATATTGGTGGACCGTCATCATGAAGGGAATAAAAGCATGGATGCCGAATACGATGCGAAAGACGTTAGGGGAGATAATCCGCATGAAGCGGAAGTAACTCCTTTTGATCAATGGTCCGGCATACGCAGCTGGAGCCAGAGCACAAAAGACCGATATACGCTCCCCTAGTTCGGGGCGTTGATCTTTCGCCAGTGCCACGAACGTTTGTGTTGTTCCTTGCGAATGACACACAAGACCTAGCTTCTCGAAACTGGTCTCATACAGGACGCGCGACACAAGGGCCGAAAGGTCCAGCACGCCCATGTGCTGGATATTCCACGTCCACATCCGCGGATCCGACGGAGACAACGTTGTGTGCTCCGGAGTAAGTCCACAGCGGTTATTACCCAGCCAGACATCGTACCCAGACTTGCAAAGGTAAAAGGCAAGACTATCCTCGTCGTTGGTGCAGTACGCACCGGCACACTGCAGTAACCCGTGCATGAGAAGAATGGGATATTTGCGATTCGACCGTGAAGAGAGCTCGGGGTCCTTCTTCCCCGTAAACACCCCAGGTCCACGAGGTGCCCTTGCATCAGCAGACAAGGGCATATACTCCTGAGGGTTATAAACATGCCATAGAGTGATTATGAATCCATCCTCCGTCTGTACCCGGAACGTCTCCACGTCAAGTCCGACCCTTCTGGCGTAGTACGCCACGTCGCATATGATCGGATCCTTCCCGCCTTCCAGAGGCGGACACTCATCAGGAACTTCCTCGTCGACTTCCTTCTTCTCCTGCCGACGCTTCCACCTCTGCAAGTTTTTCTGCCTCTCCAGCTCCCGTGTCCGTTCCTCTTCGTAGAAAGCCCGTTGCTCATTGGGATCTTGACCTTGGAGACGGGCCTTGACGTGGGAAACAGCGAGTCGGGTCCTGCATACAAGTGCTCCGACAATCACAGCACCCAAAAATAGCAGCGATAGCAGAAATGACACGCATTGTAGCACCAGACACTTTATGGTAAACACGAAGGAAGGGGCTCCGTACGAAGGTAGCGGCGGGAATAGCGGGTGATCCTGGGAGGGAAAGACGTAGCTCTTGGGCTGTTTCTGTGATACGCCCTGTTCGATAGTGTGCTTTTCATCGTAGGGACTATCGGTCACATTTGGGTCGCTGGTCTTCTTTTCGTTCCCGTCACATGTCCTGTTGAGCTCTTGTAGCTCTAGCCCCGGTTGGACATTCCTGTCTTCTATCGGAGAGATATCGGGATTTATACTGGTAATCGTAGCCGATACAGACATCTTTTCGGAAGGTACTGGACTGTCCGTCGGCTCGCAAGATAGGAGCGGCACTTTGTATACGGAGTCCGGGTCATGCTCTGGAACCGAGCGAATCAGCATGATTGTAGTCGGGAAGTGGTCGTAGCGAGGGAAGACAATGACCACCTCATCGTATCTCCCAGGTGAAACATGAACAGGGGGGGAAAGAAGGATAAGGGGAGAGAGAAGAGAAGAAGTTGATCATTTCCCCCAGTCGGTTGCCCCCATGTTGCCCTTCCTCATCGGGAAAGTCCTAAAAAAAGGGTTCGACACGTGAACGTGGGGAAAGGCGACGTAAGCATTCATGCCTCAGGCAGATATCCAGGTTCCAGTTCTCGGGGTTGTTAAGGGTACGGGAAGGGCCGATGGTAGACACGGTCAACTCCACAGTCCAGCTAGTCAGGGTTCTCTTTTAATTTTTTTTTTTTTTTTTTACACTAACGGTACCCTATAAAACTATGACCGTTAAGCTGTAGCCCCTACGATTTATGACAGGTGACCAAGTAGTGATGGTGGAAAAATAATCTTTGGTTATAAGAGCAGTGCTAGAAGAATATTATACAATTCAAGATATTGGTCGTGATCCGATCATCATACCACGTCTCTCATCACCAAGATAATGATGCAAATAGCCACTCGCTAGGTATAAAGGCAGTATAGATAGTATGGAAGTGAAGAAATAAGGAAAGAAAAAAAAAAAAAAGAAGACGAACACCGAACTAAAACAGGAAAACCCAATTGACAAACGCCAGCTAATACTCTAGGCCTTCTCAACATGCTCCATGTTGCGCTTCATCTGGGCGTCGGCCTCCAAATCAGTGAGGTTGCCAGACAGTTTGCCGGCAGCAACGTCACGAACGTCAGCGTAGCTAACGGATGGGACAAATTCCTTGGAGCGCCAGGCAACAGGAATCTTGGCGTAAAGCTCATCAACCTGCTCCAAGGAAAGACCCTTGGTCTCGTAGATGCAGGTGTAGACGAAAACACCGGCAATGAAGCAGAATCCACCCCAGATGAAGAACACCTTGGACTGCAGGTTGGCGTTGCCCGGGCCGGAGTTGACCATGTAAGGGGTGGCGTATGCGATAGCCCAGTTGAGGAGCCAGTTGGTGGCAGTCGTGATCGAGAGACACTTGGCACGAGCCTTGAGAGGGAAGAGCTCACCGGTCACCACCCATGCGGTGCAACCCCATGAGGAAGCGAAGAAGAAGATGTAGACACAGACGAAGGCGATCAGCACCTTGTTTGCGACATCGGAAGTGGTGGCGGTGCCAACGATGGCGACGATAAGCTGAGACACACACATGCCGACAGCACCGAATAGGAGAAGAGGACGACGACCCCATTTCTCAACCATATAGAGACCGGGGAAGGTGGAGACAACGTTAACAATGTTGGTGATCAAAGTAATGATAAATCCATCCTTGATACCGGAGTGTTCGAAGAAGGTAGTTCCGTAGTAGACTGGGAGATGTTAGTTGGCCTCAAGAGTGGATTGGGTGGGGTGGTAGAAGACATACAGATGAAGTTGACTCCAGCCAGCTGCTGCAGACCCTGAACGGCACAGCCAGTGGCCAGTCGCTTGCCGATACTTCCACGAAGAATGGAGAGGTAGCTCGCATTGCCCACACTGAGTTCATATTCGTGATTGGCCTGGATCTCAGCCAGCTCCTCCACAATAGCGGGATCATTGACATCGATGCGGCGAAGGCGCGCGAGAGCCTTGGCAGCAGCTTCATGCTTGTCCTTTTTAATCAGGAAGCGAGGCGTCTCGGGGAGTAGGATCATGCCGACAACCAGGATGATAGCCCAGGCGAACTGAACAGCGACAGGGATACGGTAGGAGCCAGTATCGTTACGGCCCTTAGTGGAATTGTTCACGATGGCAGCAAGCAGCAATCCAATGGTGATAGCCAGCTGATAGGCACCGACGATGGTACCACGGATCCACTTAGGAGCGGTTTCGGACTGGTACAGAGGGACTGAAGCCTGTTAGCATACTATACTTTTAAGACTTGCTAGGTGGGTCGGTTCATGACATACTGGTTGCAGAGAGCAATCCCACACCTAGGCCCGCAAAAAACCTTCCCGCAACAAATAATGGGATAGCAGTAGCAGCGGTCTGGAGGATGACACCAAAGCAGAAAACAAACGTGTTGATGATCATAGCAAGCCGACGACCGAAGTAATCAGCAATGGGTGCTGCACCCAGAGCACCGAAGAAAGTCCCTGCAGACAGGAGGGAGACAATCATGGAGGACTGAGAGGAGGTCACGTCGGGATAGTTGTCTGACGGGTTAATGTAGCCCGTGGAAAATAGCTTGCGCCAGTAAGGCATGGCAAGGATGCCACTGATGGTACCGGTATCATAACTGTCGGATCCAATCGTTAGTATCTTAGTCTACGAGATGCTTCGATGATGGTACAGAGGGCCAGCTTACCCAAACAGAACACCACCAAAGGCAACAAACAAGCCAATCATGATGGCAGGGGCAGCAGAGCCCGTGGCATCATCCGGCTTCTTCAACATGAGACCCATGGTGAATGTAGACACGGACTGGGGTCAATGTATGGAAAGATTCTTCAGCTGTAGATCAACACGCAAAGGGAAGAACGGAGGGATGACAGGTGGAGAGAAAAATGAGATACACGAATCTCCATGGGGAAGGGGCCATGGCAGAGTTTTTGTACTGCTTCAGACAGGAGGTCGCGATGGCCAATCTTGACCATATCCGGTCAACATGGGGAAAAACTACATGAAGGAGCCGGCCGAAACCAGCGTTATCCCGCATTTACAGCCAATTGAGGGCACGGGATCACCCTAGGATGCGCTGGCGTAGACCGCATGAGGGATTATTTGGTAATTTCGGCCCTAGACCTGGGATATGTGTCTCTCTCCGCGCCACAGCCCCGAGTCTGGAGAAGAGGAACGTTTGACGGCGTGAAAAGTGGAGGAGGCTTGCACGAGGCTAGGGGCCCATGGATACGAATGATTGGTTCAAGGAAAGTAAGCACATGGCCGAGACCCAAGTAAACCACGGACATCGAACGATTCTGGAACTTGGCACGCAGAGTGGATGTCCAAATACGATGGACGGGTTTTTTCCCTCCCCTTCTACGGGATCCTTTCGCCGCACCGTGACGGCAATCCGAGTCACGGGACAAGAAAAGCAGTGGCAATCGAGATAAAAATAAAGAAAGAAAGAAAGAAATCCTTGAGGCGGAGAGAAGCCGAGAACGGGAAGAAGTTGTCATGAAAAAGAAATGCAAAGAATTCGGGGGATGCCGAACGCGGCCAACCCGACCCAGCCCTCGTGACAATCCCGAAATCACACACTTTTCTCGTAATAAGAATATCAATTTGCTTCGGTAACCTATTCAACATCCCGGATTATCTTCTGGTGCATCTGTAACCATACATATGCCAGTGTCTGGACATCTTACTAGATCTTGTCTAAAAGGGAATCATGCACGACCCCATGGCACTCCTGCTCAACTGGAGACCTCCACGACTCCATCCGGGGAAATGGATCTAAAATTCTAAACATGGAGGAGGATAGCCAAGTTGACGAGAATCCGGAGTCTCACCGGTGCCATTTCGGGCAGAGACTGTCGTCTCAACGCACAATGACATTATGTCGGGAGGGAGAGGATGTTAATGTTACATGGTTTAAGCAAATTAGGGCTTTTGCCACTCAGACACTTGCAGCACTAGTCTAGGCTCTAATTGGGGGGCTATTGTAGATCTAGTCGTAGAATCCCCGAGATTTGCCCGCTTCTCGTCGTATAAGTTGCATTTTCTATGGTGAGCCAGCGTTTCGACGATCAGCCCTTAACCCTATACAGTTGGAACCAACGCTTAGGAACAAAACTAAAATCGGGTTTGAGTTTTTTTTGGCTAATATTGACTATCGGGCTGAGCCATGGTTGCTCCTCAAAGGTAAAACATGAACTCCCCTCTCTCACTCCCCACCATAGGAGAAGCACTGAAAGGGTAAAAAAAAAAAAAAGTTAAAAAGAAAAAGGGAAAGTAAAAATATTGTCCACCATGATTCTGGGAAACCTTCTTCAGTTTAGGGCGAACCGTACAAGAGGGACACCAGGTTTATATCTTTAGCGACATGAAAGGGAGGGAAATCACAAAATCCTGCCCCATATTCGACATGCAAGAATGTCAAATCTGAGACCAAAATGATGTATGTTCTCTATATAGGTCTAGACTCCCGATGTTCACCACCCCCTCTACTCCGGTCTTTACCATCGCCAGATCAAGAAGAAATACCATGCAAAGACAATCGTAGCGACATATTTGACAGAGTCTAGAAATTCTCCCCAGATTCCCCAGATTCCCCGGGAAGCAGGGACCCTAGGTTTCCACTTCGCGTTGTCCACGTCATCGTGACCTGAACCGGGGTAAGTATCATCGTACACTTTGGGGTAGCGAGGAGGTGCATTGACGGCACGACTGGCCAAGCCACCCGGTGAGGAAAATGTGGAGCTAGACGTACTAGAACTTGGGGCCTTAGCTGTGTGGACGTGGAGGGTAGGGCGAAATGCAGAGAGGGGAAGAAGTGGTGCGGATGAGTCCACTGCGGGGAAGTAAACCACAAGAATGGCGGCTCGTGCGAGAAGAGCAGCAAGGGTAAGGCCGAATAGCAGGCCGTAGCGGATGAAGATAGATAATTGGTCGGGGAGGAGACATAAGTGGTTTTGCAAAGTAGCGCCAGTACTCATTGAATGAGTCGGCTTCCCGGTGGCAGGGTCAACAGGGTTCCAGAGACTGGTAAGCAGAAAGCCCGGCCGCCGGACCCCCATAGCCCAGGAGAGACTTTTCACCGTGATTTCTTTGGGAGAGCCACTAAATTCGCGATGGGTAACCTCGCAGTAGTCGTGGTCATCCCCGGAGTAGACATGGACAAGATTGGGGCCCGCCTTCGTGACCAAGTCCTTGGAGATAGTTTGCGTGAGAACATTCTGATACTGGTATCCAGCAGCAATTGAGAGGGCATTCCGTTCATCTTCTTCCGGTTCACCATCTGATGGTGGGTAGTGTTCTCGCAGAGGCCCGCAAGGCGTGGCCGGTTTGCGATACAGGGGAACATGAGTCAGGAGAATGGCAGGGAACCCCACAACTTCCGGTTGGAGTCTTTGATGGAGTGTAGGCTGTGAGATATCCACGACCTTGTGGTCAAACACATGGCCTTCACTTTGGTTCTTCATCAGGCGTAATTCTTCCATCTCCGCCTTGCCACGATGAACGTTCATATTATTCAGGAAATCCTCTGCTTCTTTCCAAATACGCTCGTTTGGCGGGTGTCCGTCCCCAGACCCTGTGCTTCCGGTCTCTGGGTCAGGCTGATCCATGGCGCTCAATGATACCGTATCAATCGAAACAAAAGTGTGGTTTCCAATAACATCGACGCGATTACTCTGGCCAAAGTATGTCTGGAACCGATCACGGACGGGTAGTTGAACCCCGGTGCCGAATCCCAAATCGTGATTCCCAGGTAGACTAGCGATCATCCTCCGGCCTCGGGGGTTGCCTGAGTGCGGATCACCCTCGTTCCACTGGTCCGAGAATATCCTCACGAACCGATGATACTCATTCTTCCAGAACGAATCCTTGTATTTCTGATAGCGCTTCTCGGGACTGGAGCTGTGTGAGGTCGCCCACTCTCTTCCCCCATCAAACAAGTCACCGAGAAACAACACCGAGTCCGGGCCTAGATTCCTCTGAATCGATGAAAAGGACCGCCGAAGATATTGATCGGTGAACTTCACAGTCAATGTGGACAGGGGCCATGGCCGACCGGGATAGGTATGAGGATCGACCAACTGAGGGTCTGCGACAAAAGCAACGTGATGTGGTGTTGCATCTCGAGGCTAAGAATAACGCCATCGTATTAGCATCAGATCATCACCACTAGATTGATTGATTATTAGGATACATACCCATTTTTCCCAATTCTCCCAGGCGCACCTCTCCAAACTATCCTGGAACACCGCCCGTTCGCCCCACCAGAGCGTAAAGAACCAGAGAACAGCCAGAGCATTCGTGACTGTGAATATGTGTCTGAATATCCTCCACGCCCGTGCTCTTAGCGCATTACTACCCTGCGAGTTCCCTGTGACGCTGAACCTCGGCGCAATCCAATGAGCTTGTATTTCAGCGACCCATTGTCGTAGCCACGGGGGCAACGTGTCGCGAAGACGGCTGTGGTCATTGGATGAGTCGGCATAATAGTCACGACGGCCTGGACGATAGGCATCCGCGTTCGTGCTATTTGGATATGGATAACTCATGCTTGCTGTGTCAACCCGAACGTGGCCAAAGCGAAGCTGTCTGCGGCATTGCTCCGCCTTTACACGGAAGTGGTGAAAGGTTATCGGCAAGCGGCGTCGGTGGTTCTCATTGGGAGAACAATGACACTCAACGTTTCAAATTTTGAACACAGAGCATCATGGTCAACCGAGGGTGAATTGAACAACACAGGGGGTCTCCTGGCCTGGAGATCTCCACGGACCCGCGGAGGTGGGTCACGTGAAGGCACCGGTGGTTAAGGTTAGAACAAGTCGTGGGTCTAGAAGGCTATTAATAGTATTTTGTTGTCTAGATCTACACAAGCCCGACGAAGTACAGATACTTGGTAATAATATTCCTCGACGGCCAACCTATGATGATATAGCTGGAGACAAAGATAAACACTCGAAGTCGAGCTGGTATGGATACTCCGTACATGATCGACATAAGAATATCAGCAAATCCCCCGAAGCGCAGTATACAGTATTAGGTTATAAAAACAATTACCCCACCCATGACCCAAATGATTTTCCTCGAGACACCAACCCTCCGATCTAGGTATGAAACACGGAAAAGAAAAGGGGGTATGAATAGTACTAAACATGCTTTTTGATCATAAAAGGGAAAGTAACGGGACGGATGATACGATGCCTGGTTAGGTTGAGGTCTTGGGACAACACTCTCCACCTCGCGTACAACCATCACCGCATTCCAAGAGACACGCTCGCGAGTCTTCTTCCCGCAGACTGGAGGGACCGTTACTAGAATAGGATGAAGCAGCTTGGTTGTCTTCAACGTCACTTCCCGGTGCGAATTCGGGCTGAATCGTGGTTGAATGAATGCCGTAGGCATGGAGGCATCTTCGCACTTGTCGCGCCAAGCGCATATACCTCTCTGAACCCTCCCCTTTGATCTCCGTATCCACTTGAATGTGAATCGAGGCAACATGCTTCGTGTCGCTCAGTTGCCAAACGTGTAAATCGTGGGAGCTGATGATACCAGGAAGTCTCTCGATGTCTTCCTTAATATGGTCAATGCTCATGCCGGGGGGAACAGCCTGTAAGAGAATTCTCGATGCGGCTTTGCAAAGCGGAATGGCCGAGGCGAGAATGATCACCGTAATCACCAACGAAATGCCAGGGTCAACGTAAAACCTCCACTCATAGTCGGTCAACCAAATAACCAGGGCAGAAGCTATGACACCAACGTTGCCCAGAGCATCGCCCATGACATGGAGAAAGACGCCCCGCATGTTGAGATCATGTCCATGTCCATGGCCGTGACCATGGCCGTGACCGTGCTTGGAGTCCTTCGACTTGGGCTGCGCATGGTTATGGAATTTATGAATGTCGTCGTCCACCGTAGCATTTGGTAGAAGGGATGTATTTGCTTCGTCGGTGTACTTGCCCGCTCGGTCTTTGTGGCTAAGGAGTGCAGATCGCTCCGAGGTTTCAGCGACGTTTGTTTGGTCGCTGTCCGACTCAGACTGCTCCTCATCAACATAGCGGCTGCGACCGATAATTTCCTGTCTCATAGTAGCCGGGTGTACCTGGATGTCTTCCACGTTATTGCTGTATCTAGGAGACCCGCGATGTTGGCTATCAAGAGTTCGGCGTCTTCGAGCATCGGGAGAAGAGAGTGTGCACTCGTCCTGCATTGATTAGGTTAAGGGCTTATCATTGATGGCACGGTTGCGCAGGATTGTACGTACTGTGATCGCCCGCACGGGGTCACTCTCGCCATGGGAAACATAGCCTTGCTCAGCGGCATCCACATCCTCAACACCATGGACTTCACCATGACTATGGCCGTGGCCGTGGCCGTGGGAGTGATCGTGAAACAACAGAAGTCCCAAGATGTTGGACAAAAGACCAAAGCAACCGACAATGCAAACGAGCTTCGGGTTTTGCACCTCCTGGGGTTCCACCAGGCGTTGTATAGCTTCTAGGAAGATCGACATGCATAAAGCAACAAGGAAGACACCGTTGACCAAGGCTCCGAGGGTTTCTGCACGTTGCCACTATAGTACAAAGGTCATGGTCAGCTTGTACTCCGCCCCCACCCGCAAGAACAAAGAGACATGGGAGCCTACCCCGTAAGTGTACATCTTGGAAGTGGTAGAATTGGTCTCCTGGTTGGCGACTTTAACCGCCCATAAACCAACACACAAGGACAGGACATCATTAAGCTTTACAGACGCAGTTAGCCTTTAGCCAGTGTCGGTCATTCAATCTCCAGGCGGTACATACCATATGAAACGAATCAGCAACAAGGGCGAGCGAGTGGACGGCATAGCCTGCGTGGTGTGAGATAGAGAACGAGACAAGCCCGGTCCATAGATACTAACCAACTATCAACTCTAAGAGAAAGAATGCAGAGTCAATGACCAACAGGATCATAATCCTGTTGGTTTTGGAGAGGCCCATGATGGAGAGATTGGCGGCGCGCTTGGTGGCGCGGGTCCGCGAAAAGAGAAGGACGACAAACCGATCCCTAGGGGCGCAAACAAAACGGATTCCAAGTGTTTTGTCTAGAGAATATGCACAAGGGGCAAGAAGAAGAGATTTATATGAGCGACAGGCAAGCGAGATGAAAGGGTGGGAACGCAGGGAAAAAACAGAAAGAAAAAAGGACTATATCAGTAGCATCATCGCTAGTAGTGACTACCCCGTCTAGTTCATAACTGGTGTCTGGAAAAACCGCATCCAGGCGGTTTTCTCCGATTCCGGGCCGATAAGTGGCGTCATGCTCACTGATCGTGGCCTCAGGCAGCATCAGAACACCCGTGCAGCTCTCATCGTAAACAAACAAGATCGTGATCAACCCCCTCCATCACTATTCTTGAGGTATATCAACATGGGTTTTTAACCCGTGATGGGAGTGAATATTATTTCTAATTCCGGCTAGATCCATCGACAGGACGGAACGATGCTATCCCATCCGAGCATCCACTTCATGACAGCGATGATCCGTGTTGAACCCCACCTCCGGTAGGGCGAACCGGCAAATATCTCAGCCTTCATTTACCGGAGAACTGAATTGGAGCTGTGGGGGAGTTATCGAGGGAATGCCCCAAGCTGGCCATACGTGAACGTAGATCAGAGCTATTTGGGAGGGAATCTCCAAGTCATTGCAAGATGACAATACGTCTCTAGTGCTAGCTGATAAGCACATGGGTTACTACTATAGGTATGTATATGTCTCGATCAGACACGTCCAACCGGCGAAAATCTGGCATTGCAGCTCTGGCACTAATGCAAGCTTAAGGCCAACGTCGTCACATGATCGGTAATATCCTAGTAAGTATCCCGTAGCGAGATGAAGCACTAACCGAACGGAGGTCTCACCAATATTGACTAGTAGCCTTAGTGTTATGCAGATTTTGGATTCTCCTCGGCACTCGTACTTCGAGATACTAGTATCCGAAACAGCACAGTGAAACCCTATGTAAAAGGGTCACATGATGTGTCGGCGAGCAAATAACACTATGTGACATGTATGTTTGAGCCCGCGATCTTGCAAAAGCTCTGCCTCTCGATAAGAACGCGCGTATACTGCTTTAGATGGCATTGGTTTCAACCACGGATGGTGAAGAATGTGATATTCCTGCTCGAGATAGACAGAGAAAGAAAGAAAGAAAGAAACTAAAAAAGTGGTACAATAAAGAGGTGAGAGTATGATCTAAACTGCAGCCATACACAGATAACCCTTCAGCATATTCGACTCTGCCAACATTCCTGACCCCGATGACTACGAGCCTTCCATTTCTTTCCGGCCGTAAACCAAATAGTACCGGGAGTAGATATGTAGCTTCCGATCTAATAGTTCTCGTCGAACCCCTACTAAAAGCATCTGAATCTGATCAACGCTCCATCCCAGGAATCGAGTGAACAGCGCCAATGAGTACGCGTCGAGAGCCTCCAGCATATTCGCTTGCTGGTACCGCCCCAGCTCCTTCAGCTTGGGGTCTTTGGCCCATGGCGAAAAAGGCACCTGGAGAAGTCAGCGATACTCAACCCCCCCCCTGTCATCAACAAGCGACCAACCTTGAATATCTCCTCTGTCACCTCTGTGAAGCCAGCCTCAATCATCCATTGCTTGTACTTTTTCGCCGCTCCCATCTCCTTGCCAAACTTTCCACTCGCCTCTATCAACATGTCCCGCCATTCAGAGAGATTCGGCGCTTTCGAAATACTATCGTCATCGGAAAAGATGTCGACGGTGGGTTCCATCATTTCAAACCAGCCACCGGGAACGAGGTTCTGATGCGCTTGGCGAAAGAGATGCGGGAAATTCTTGACGGATCCCTCAACGCTCCGAGCATGGATGAAATCAAATGGTTGGGTGAAGTTCCACGGGAGTTCGAAGTCGTCGATCTCAAAGACACAATTCGGTGGCACCCTGATGCAATTATACTCAACGGCCCATCCCAATTTCTATATTAGATGTCAATCAAGGTCATACCATGAAGGTTGAATCGGGCTCAGGTCCGTCCCTAGTACCAATCAGCGGCGAAGATAGATGGTGGGTGTTAGCTGTTCTAACCGATGACCTGCGCCTCCGGGTACTGGCTGTATATTGTCAGTGGCGTACTTTAAACATGTTTAGCGTCCGTCGTACTCAGCCATGTCAATCGCCCACAAGCCCGTCCCCGTTCCTAAATCTAGGATTCTTCTTGGGTGATCTGATATTGGAGATTGATATAATGCGCCTCCCAGCACGAGACTACATATGTGGTGACCCTTGGAGAAGTGAGAGAAGTAACTGGCAGAGGGAGACGAAGTATGGAAATACCAGATCTAATCGATCTTGTTCTCGTTCATCATTTGGCTGTGCGATTTCAATCAGCCATGGCCAGTCAATTGATAATAGTGGGAGTTTACAATGACATATTCTCCTTGTCGATATGCATGATACCGCCGTCCATTCTATCGGGCTATGTTAGTTGTTAAAGATGACTGACGGCCATTAAGAATCAGACCTCGTATCTGAAGGAGGAAGCGTCAGATTTAACTTTAAGAGCCTAAACCAAAGTACCCACTGATAATTTAAGATACTGGACGATAACGATGTCGTCGAACTGCCGGTTCTGATGAGTTAAATTCGGTTAGTGAGACGAGTCAGCGACCACGGAAACCCTAAGCGATACGTACGCGCTAGAGTAATCCTCATCGCTATAGAGATCCGAGTCGGCCTGAACGCAGAATCAAAATCACTTCAATAGAGTCCTAAGATTTACCTTCTCCAATCTTTGGAACACTAACCTCTGGATCGATGGGTGGATCGGCATTCGGTTGTGAGGAGCACATGGTGTGTGTTTAATGGAATCAATATGACGGATCACAAATGGACCAAGAGGGTCCCTGATCGCTTATAAGCCATGTGGACTATTCCGTGACAAAAGGCAAACACATGGGACACAAGGATTCAGCAAAGGAAAAACCACTGGCGAAGCCCCTGTCCCGAGATATAATACCGCCAACTATCGGTTGCATGATTGGATTCTTGGGGGGAAGGTGACGGATCATAGCGCTGCACTAATGAGCCAAGAGCCACCTTTCAACGGCAAGTGTTTCAATAAATGGAGCGTTCTCCGAGGGATCGGCTGCTCCGACAGGTCAGCCATTATTTAGACGGTGGAGATACCTGCAGTACCGTTTTAATATGGGGGCGGGGGTGAAATACTATCGGTGGATGGTGCATCCTTCGGTATTGATGGAAGATAAAGAAAAAGAGAGATCTGTGCAAGTAATAAAGTAGCCCTGGACATGTCTCCGATCGTCCAATTTTTGCTTTTTTTTTTCCCTTTCTCTCTTTTTGTCCTTCGCGCTGACGTCGTGCGAGATCGAAACATGTTTCAGTTCCTTTTTCAACCCTGGATCATCGCCTTAGCAGGGATAGGCTATTTGGTTTCTCTGGCTGTGTATCGATTATGGCTGTCCCCATTGGCCAAGTTCCCTGGCCCTAAGCTGGCTGCGCTTACATTATGGTATGAATTGTACTACGATATTTACTGCGAAGGACAGTATACATTTCAAATCATTCGGATGCATGAAAAATATGGTACTACTCATAGCAAGCCATCGGTTCGACAAAATGTAAAGACACAAGGCTAATGGAATCTTAATCCTAGGTCCCATCGTGCGCATCAGCCCCTGGGAACTCCATATCAGCGACCCCGAGTATTACGAAGTGTTATATTCTCGAGACAGCCCGCGGAATAAATATGAATACTATACCCGGCAATTTGGGCTTACCAAGACGGCAATGGCGACAGTGGACCATTATCACCACCGCCTCCTGCGCTCCAACATGAACCCTTATTTTGCGATGACCCGGATACGAAAGCTCGAACCTCTGATCCAGGCGTTGGTGGACAAGCTATGCGACCGCCTAAGGGAATTCAGGGGCACGGGAACCCCAGTATCGCTTCAGTACCCATTTACCTGTTTCGCAACTGATGTTGTGACTGATTATACTATGGGCGCTGGGTTTCACTACCTCGATGAACCGGACTTCGTTCCCCGATGGAGCAGGACGTTGAGTGGAGTTGCGAAATCGGGTGTCTATATCAAGCCCTTCCCGTGGCTTATTAAGGTATTCAATGCTCTCCCCGAACGTTGGTTGTCCTGGTTAAATCCCGAGATGGACTTGACATTCCATTTTCAACGTCGATGCCGTGAGGTCATAACGTCCATTATGGAGGAGCAAGATGCCAACGGATATGACAAGGTTAAGAGTCAATTTAGTCATCCTACTTTCTTTCACGACGTGTTGAATAGCAATCTTCCTCCAGAAGAGAAATCTCCGGAGCGTTTATGGCAGGAAGTTCAGGTAGTGGTCGGCGCAGGTGCTGAGACTACCGGCAAAGCTTTGACTTGGACGATGTTCTACCTTCTTCACAACCCAGACAAGCTGCAGAAACTGAGAGATGAGCTTAACCAGCTGGATCCTGATCGGAGGGCGACTCTATTGGACTTTGAAAAAATGCCTTATCTGGTATGCCCTAGTTCAAGTATCTGAGTTGGGGATTGCAGTCGATTAACCATCTGACACGTAGACATCAGTCATCCTTGAAGGATTGAGGTATGTCTCCTTTGTTGTCGCAGATGCCAGAGATGTGTGTTTATTTACTAATACATCAATACAGGCTTTCGTACGGCCTCAGTACACGATTGCAAAGAGTTGCTCCCGATAGAGCCCTACAGTTTAGAGAATGGTCTATACCCGCCGGGGTAAGTTGGTAGATCGCTATGTTAACTTGCTGGACAACTTCATGCTTACCAAACAGACTCCCGTTGGAATGTCAAGCACGTTGATGCACCACGATGAGCGCATATTCCCCGACTCACATAAATTCATTCCCGAGCGTTGGCTGGACCTGGAACAGCGGAAATATTTGGAAAGGTATATGGTGGCGTTCACCAAAGGATCAAGACAATGCATTGGCATGAAGTAAGCTTCCTTTCACTCACGGTTCATTCTTCATACTAATGCTTAAATAGTCTCGCGCGGTCCGAAATTCTCCTCGCCCTTCCGAAAGTCCTCCGAGAACTAGATTTCGAGTTGTATGAAACTACACTGGAGGATGTGACGCTTGCACATGATATGTTCCTACCCTTCCCGAAGATGGATAGCAAGGGAGTGCGCGTCTTAGTAAAATAGTGGGTGTATAAAGGATTTTTAAAAAGATGTATATATCATTGTACGTTCGTGTCAACAGCTTAAAATTAGGGTGCGGGTTGGTTTCCAGGGAGATTAGAGTCTGCGGTGACGCCGGATCATAATCAACCAGAACCCGTTTTGAGGATGATGGTTTTCTTTGATGTTTTGAAAAGGACTGGTTATACCAGGGATATAATCATTTGTCTATTTGGAGGATTGTGCAACGTTGAATTTGTGAGCACGCGTTCTTCCATAGCAAATATATATATATATTTTCAATACATATTCTAAAGTTTGGTAGGGAAAGTTCAGTGATGAGAGTTTATCCTATAATTTTAGTGAGATATATTTTTTATAGTTCTATTAGTCTCAATTAATGTCTGTCCGATAACTTGTGCAGGCCTAAAGGCACCAAAGTGAAAAAGTTGGCCCCTATAACATTTCAATTTAGACTTGGGATGGCAAATGCATTGCTAGCAACTTGACCTGCAAACTTGTTGATTGATATATTAAGAAAATGAACAGTCCTTCAACAAATCCTCGATGGTCTAACGGTCATGATTTCCGCTTGTCATCTCAAACGAGAACAAGCGCGGGAGACCTGGGTTCGACTCCCAGTCGGGGAGATTTCTTTTTTATTAAATTTTTATTTGCCTAGATCACACATTTCTCGTATCGCTCCTATTTTTCGTTCTTCGCTCTTTTTCTCTTCTTCCTTAATAACCTACACAAGTATTTAACTAAAATCGAAGTGTTGGGCATGAAACACTCCCACATCTCGCAAAAGCATAGCTATACAAGATCTCAAGTAAATCAAAGTCCTGTCAGGGTCACTCACACGTACTACGATCCACCAAGTGCCTTTGTTACCTGTAGATACAGTATGATCTATTTGACGAAGCAGCTCGGACATTGGTGCCGAAGACTTTAGGGCCCGAGCTAACGGGTCATCCTCTTCGGACCCTCTATAGATCTTTTCAATCCCACTTGGTAGAGTAGACCAACGATAACACCCGACGGTCATCAATGTTGGTGGTGCCCATTATGTTTATGGTGTGGGAGAGTACAAGCTCATTCACCAAGCATCTGGTGTAGCCGGACCGTGGAAGCAGATCGGAAGTGTCCTGGACAACGACAGCAGTCCTTAGGAAGGAATGGCTTTTGTTCTAGACGAGCTGTGGCTACGAATGAACGGCTGTTGCGACATAGGAAGACACCGTTGCTGGTAAACCCTAATGAATGAGATTTGAGTGAGCAAACGTAATATGTTGCTGCTTTTAAAGGTTGAAAAACTTCAACAGAAACAGATATACAATGTTTTGTAAGGAAAGGGACTGCTTCACCTGCAACCTGCAATACTTCTTTTAAACCTGAAACAAATCCAAACAGGGTACGTATATCTGAGTCCACTGGTTTTTCTGAAGAAGGCCTGTTGCACCCAAACTATCCCTACAAGAATCTATGCGAATCTCCTCAACTTATGCCGTCATACAAGGCGTCTTTAGTCTCAACTCCTGCCTCTTGCGTACTTTAACTCCGATACTAGTAGGCAGACCGAAAATGAAGATATCGGAGAATGATAGCTGCTAAGTTAGAGAGCTAAAGAGACTTTCTGCTGCACCCAACACACCAATGGGATTAATGATCTTCTTTACTACTATGCTCATAGTAAGTTCAGCGTGCAGTCAGGGTGGCGTTTTTTCTCGAGCATAAGAGCTACGCCGCCCCGTCATTGATCTGAACTTGATCCTTGCACTGTATAGTACCTTGTGGATTTCTTTTTCATTTGTTGTATGTCCTTCTAGTAGATAAAGGCTGTCACAATGCCTCTACCAACGTTCAGCAGTATCCTTCTGGGGCTGGCCCTTTTGTATTTTGCAAAGTTAGTGCTACTTCGCAAGAGGGCGTCTGCACCACTTCCTCCAGGCCCGAAGCCAAAGCCGATACTTGGAAGCCTGCGGGATCTGCCACGACCTGGACAGCAGGAGTGGATTCACTGGTTGAAGTTCAAGGAGTTCTATAGTATGTTATCATTGTGGCTTAGGGCACGGTCGTAATCTGGTAAATGTTATCGCCAGGTCCGATCAGTTCGATCTCATGGAAAAGCGCTCCGCTATATACTCATCTCGACCTAGAATGGTCTTTGCTGGGGAGATGTGAATATACACCAAGTTACACATAGTCTAGATAACTATAGATATAGTAACATAAGGTAGGGTGGGCCGGGAAAATGTGTTAATTATGCAGGGATACTCCGATCGCTTCCGCTCCCATCGCAAAGCGATGCATCGCGCTCTGGGTACTAAGCGTACAAGCTAATAGACACTGGACTGTATCATCGTTATAGTGCTTCTTCTTAGCAATGGAATTATACCCCGCAGTCCAGCGCAAAGCCCCAGAGGGGATCGATCGTGTCCTCGACCCGAACAAGCTTCCTAAATTCGACGATCGTAACAAACTCCCATATATTGATGCCATGGTCAAGGAAACCCTTAGATGGCATCCCATTGGCCCGATGGGCGTTCCGCACTTGGTCACCGAGGATGATATTTATGAAGGATATCTCATCCTTAAGGGCGCGTTAATCCTGCCAAACATCTGGTACATTGAGCTTTCCCAGGACGCCGAGTTTCACCCATTCCAATACATATTTAACCATCATAGGCGGTTTACCCATGACCCCAATGCCTATTGCGACCCCGAGGCATCCATACCTGAGCGCTTTCTGGGCGACAATCCTGAGCTCGATCCGCATACCATTGCGTTCGGTTTTGGCAGACGCATCTGTTCGGGCCGACTCCTAGCAGATTCTACCGTCTTCCTGCGCATCGCGTAGTCCCTGACAGTATTTAATTTCTCCAAACCCGAGGGGGAAGACGACCTACACGCTGAGTTTCTCCCGGTGTTCTTAGCCACCCGGTACCATATCGTCTCAATGTCTCCCCGCGGAGCGCTGCCCACGAAACACTGATCCATTCAGTGGAGGTGGAACACCCGTGGGAAGAGAGCCACACCAAAGAGCTCGAGAAGGTCGAATTTTAGTGTTAAGACAATGTGCTTTTCGAATGGCATTTATATGTGTCTGATGAGTCTCATAATGACTGGTAAAGTTCCAGGTAAAGGAAAATTTTATAGACCTTCCACATATTATACTGAAGTGGTCCGAGTACGCCGAATTATTGAAACTGGCCAAAATCACATCAGTTTCATTAACATCCTGCTTAGCATGGAACATGGACTGGCCCTTGGTCACCTCACGGGTGCACCATGCAGAGACTTGTTGGCTTCGATGGACTATTTTTACAGCGAAATTAATGGCGTATCTTGGTATAGAGAAAGAGAGTAAGGAACTAAAATGTAACATAGGCGTGCACTGGAAAGATTTCCGGAAAACACGTTTGTACCACTCCATACATCGTACTTATACAAGGCTATGACTTAACCTCAAGAAACAGCCAAATGGTAAATCAATTATTATTGCCAAAACCACAGAAGAGATCTTGGAAAGTGTAGTGTGAGACTGGACCATTAGATCCAAGACATACTGGAGTATAGATTTCACCACAAGGCTGTAAAACAGATAGGGAGATGGTGATTCCGATTCCTCTACATCGTTTTCATTCCGCATACAATCGGTATACTATCGTGCTTCAGATAGTCTCGCCGATAACCGCACTACATGATCCAATTTAACGTCCGAGTCAGCATGTAGTTGATATTTTGAAGATTGGGGTCGATGCTATACCGACAAAATAGGAATGAGAATCGAATCACAAATCCCTGTATTTTAAATCGGGTGTTCGTTGTTGCTAAAAGGCATAGTGTGGGGTGGTTCCCACGAGTAGTCGGATTTTACACCATACGCCTGCCTTCCCATTTCCTAGTAGTCGTCGGTCTTCCCACCCGTATTCCAATGGCTTCTAGCCCGTGGTCGGGAGGTATGTAGAGTATTCTGACGGGGATAATCTAACGAAACAAAGCAGCCCATCCCAATATGAATTCGCCGAGAATGAGCGGAGCAAATCCAATATGGAGACTTGTAGTACACGATGCGATTTTACCAGCGGGGATCTATAAAACACTGAGTAGGTGTCAAGTCGGGGTTTTTCAGATACTCCGGCTTCAATAACAAAAGTCGGTAATGGATAGACTCCTGTGAGAAGCTCATCAGCTGGGCTCACAGTGGTGACCATAGCTAAGGGAGGTCCTGAAGTGAAGATGGCTACGTTGGCAGCAGCTTCTGTTATATCTGGTTGTGACAGGCATCTTCGCGTTTGTATAGAGCGTTATTGACAAGGAATGCATCGACTTGGCCCCGAAAGATTTGCTGACGTGTCGTGATATCTGTAGAGAGAACTCGCTCTGATATTGATCTTCCACGGGTAATGAACCGTCTGCTGGCGAATGTGACGCATCCGGTAACTGACAGGGCCTGGAATGTGTGATAGCATTAAATGCTGGTCAGATAGGAGTGCTATCATTAAGTTTATCACCGAAAGATGTCTGTGTAAAAGGATATTTACAATTTGGCAATTCGCGAAAGCTGGATATTTCACTCGTAGTGCGCTTCTTCTGATACCGAAGGTCAACCTTGTATTGTTCACACATAAGCGACACGTACTCTTCGGAGTCCGGTATTTTGTATATAGAAATTGGGATTAAGGTGCAAGCAGAGAGCAACTATCACAAGAGAGATGGAGGAACCGGAGTAAGCTCAATGCGGCCATCCATTACGCTAAGTCGCAGACTCGGTAGCATCAGTTTGTGAATCCTGTGGCCTATTTGGTTTGGGCCGGTTTGAAGACTGATTTGTTGCCCTCGATGTCTTCCACAGTGACCTCTATAACGGATTGACGTACTTTGGTGGACGATTGACGTTAGGAAATAGTATAATTCGGTCGATTGATGGATAGTCGGCGACTTGTGGAGACATCGGCAACAGGATTTTGTCACTGAAACCTCGGCGTCTGAAAGAGCCCGACTTTGATACCTACTACCACAATGCTAGTATCGTGTAGCCAGCACCTTTGAAGTTAACAGTTTGTACTTTAGCATCTCCGGTTACATTATTTAGTTTAGTAATTGACCCTAGTTCGTGTGTATGGACGCATAAAAAAACCGGGCACGAGATTGGATCTTTCCCAAGCTTCAGAAGCGACTCCGACCCCCCCCCCCCCCCCCCCCCCCCCCCCCCAGTCACCTGTATGTCTTAGTCTTATGATAGAGAGGAAATGCGGATCTGTACTCATCTAGCTTGGCTATTGTCGCTTCAATGTGCGGGGTTTTTTGATAGAGAGCCAATGAGGCTGGTAGCTGAGTGTCGTCGGCGAAATTGCGGGTCCCAGCTCGCTTTGTATAGCCTTTCTTCTCAGGGGCCCTCCTGCCGTGGCCACGTCTGCAAAATTGGGGTGGTTTATCTGTTGGTGCTTGTAGAACTTTAATACATTAACCATTAAAGAACTAGCAAAGGAAATAGTTAGTAAAGAAAGAGTTGAGATACCGGCACAGCGACCCGGTCAGGGTACAGGCTAGCGAAATTAGATGACAATTACCAGCCCTTTATATTCGCACGTAATAGTGAATTATACATTGCTCTGTTCTAATCTGTGCATGTGGACTATTCCCTGCTACTGAATGAATGGAAATGTTAGGTATCCTAGTCATATTATTAGAATGAACCCCGTGGGAGGGAATACGCAGGAAAACCCTCTAGATTCAATGAGACTCATTATACGCAGAAGATTACAACTACAGGTATACTTGGAAGTTCTGTGCCTAATGGTCTAGTAGGACCAATGCACCAATAGGGTGTATGTGATGAGAGATACGCCTGAAGAAAACAAGGAGACAATATGCTATGGTATTGTAAAACCGACAACTATCTTAGAAACTAGACGTAGACTGGCATCTTGTGCCATAGAAGGCAGGGCATGATAGCTTATGAGCCAGCATAAAGCATTCAAGTATCGACCTCGAAATAGCACTATGTTTTAGATTGCCCCTCGACTCTAGATTCAAGTGTCACTGATCGAACAGCATGGTATATGGGCATCGGAATTTCTTGAATCGGATCCGCCCAGGTGTCTCCCTGCCAACCGGTACAGGTATTTTGGGAATAAGATGCAGTGGACCAGAAGATAATGTCAAGCTCATGACGGCCGTAGCCAATTATCAAATCTTTTCACCTCTTTTCGTAGTTTGCGGGCCTCGTGAGGAGTGCGCAAGTTGCGTCCGAGCATATGCAATAGCAACCAGGATAATGAAGATCAACAGCAAGATAATAGTCGATGAGTTAGAGCCCTCCTTGGGAGAAGATCCAAGCTCCTTTTCTGTGGGCGAAAACCGAATTTGAGGTTCGGCGAAGGGTATGCGAGGCCTGTCGGTCCTGTGGCTACTATTAGAGTTCTCCATTTAAGAGACTCAATTCGGACTTACTTGGGTGTGTGAAAAGGGGGATATTTCCCAGAGCGACTGCCATGATGAGGTCCGTATTGTGGACTGGTTTGAAATTCAGTGTCTGGATTGTGATGCTGAAGCCAGCGCTCGTAGTCGGTATTTGGTCTTCCAGTAGCCGGCATTTTGGGTATCTGATCATAGGGTAAACATCAAGAGACTAAAATATTGTAGTAGATATTCATAACTAAAGTACAACAAGCGAGTCATGAGCGGAAGTAATAGTATGCACACAAAGAGGAAACCCTTTGAAATATGGCTGCCTGCCCTAACTGTGGTGAGCTTATTTAACATAAACTGGAGACACAAGCTTCGGCCAAAAATAGCTTAGCCCCCGCACTTAAGCAGACCTTATCTAGGCAGATGATCGTAGCGTGTCTCGGACAATGCTCCGTTAGACCCCAAACCACCCTGTGGTCCCATGGGATGACTTTTCATGGTAGCCTCCCCAAAATTTACCAACACTCGATGCAAATTATAGAAATTGCCCTCTAATGATACCTCTACTAGGATGAACATATAGCTATGCAAGCATCAAACATCAAAATAAACCCACAAATAGGCAGAACAATTCGGGTTTATCAATTAAAGTTACATCGGTGGGTTGCCTTGGCCTCTCCACCACGGACGTAATTAGACTATCATCACACGAAGATTACCTAATTATTATTGGTCAAGCCTGTCTTACGTATGGTCTATGTCTACCGCTACACCTTACTTGGTAGTAGACTCAGGGTCCTACAAGGAATGCCAGCGACGTATTGGACCGTGTTATCCCGTGTTGTGCCATGGGTATACGAGCCAAGACTTTCTCGAAGAAAACCAAACGTCAGCACTGAGCTAAAATAAGGGTCCATGTCTTAAAATTTTTGAGCGACAATGTTCCGTCCAATTGAACCGAGTGTGCCTACCAGCACTTTTTCCCGTTCTCGACGGAAAAGGCCAACGAAATAAATTCGGCTTGGTCCCCCAAATCATATCGAGGTGGGGGATCTACTGTCGAGACCGGTTATGAGTGACTATAAGGAATAATAAATAGGTGACTTCCCTACGGACTCTTTGCGTAGCATCACAGTGAGCTGATTATTGGAAGGCTTAAGATTGTCTATTTGGTGACTTGTACTGATGGTAGGATTCCAATAACGTGACGAGACACGTAGCCTGAAGCACTATGATACAAACCTTATAAGGAGGTACATGTAGGGATGTGCCTCTGGACAACCGACATTAAAACTTGGCAAGCAACAAGACGGTGAAAGCGAGAGCGAGCTAGAGGGGAATCATCGACAAATGCTTTAGACATTTTAGGCTGTTTCAAGAGGTCATATCGGGGGAGACCTTCTACGTGGAGAGTGACGCGGGGATACAAATAGGTTATCCAAGAGACCGTGCTTCAGGTCACCTGGCATGAGATCACGCAAGCCCGATACATTGCAATCGGGGAAGAAATCCTTCGGTATTCTGTCGACTGAGACACGTTAGGGTTATTGGGTCATGTGCCATGGTGGAGCGCAGTAGGATGGCAAAAGTTTCTCCTTGGCACCAAGCAATTAATTGCATATAGTAGATACTTGAAGAGGCCTTCAGGAAAAAATAATACTAGGCATTCGAACACACTGGTATATGTTATCTTGTTATTCTTGATTGTGCAGGCAATGTCCAACGTCGGGATATAGTCTACCAAGAGATAACCCGAGATCTGTGGCTAAATCAGTGGTGGCCAAAGAGTGGCACACATTTAGAACTATATTCTGATCGGGATTTGACTGGGGTACTTGATATTCACGAGATCAGAGGCCCGTAAGGAGTGAGTGGAGCCCGGCACACGAGGTTGTGGACGACACAAGTGAAAGGTGTCAAGTGAATATCATGATAGTAGAATGCATTGACGGAGATATCTCCAACTGTGCATGTCCTTGTACCCAGACAATATGCACTTGGTATCTCCCAGAAAGCTTGAAAATTCATGTTGTATATTCCTGCCGTAGTGCTCCACCTTCGAGTAGTTTCCCTATCACGCAAACACATACAATGCATTCCAAGGAATCACGAGTGCCAAGTAACTCAAGAAAATACAAGCCCTCTGCTATAGGCTTTTGATTCCAGGACTGTCAGACTGGGGCTCTTTTTAGTATCGAGAATGCCAAAGACCAACATGACTTTGAGTCCTGTGTATTAGACCAAAGATGATACTAGCTTTGCCGTTGGTCGCCGCCGATCGCGTACCTATTTCAACAAAAACACCATGGGCCCAAGCATGCGGCTTCAGGACAGCCCTCTGAAGAAAGTATTCTTCTAGTAGTAGCAGGGATCGGCAGTGCTTTTTGGCCCCGCAATGGTGCCATGGTAAACGGCTAGTATGCTCAGAGTTTATCGGTAATTAGTCAGATCAATTATTCGTATACTGGACTCTTCCAGGTATATAAATCAGCGGGTGCAATTGCCGTGTTAGTTGGTATCCCGAGATGTTAGTACTGTTGAGTTGAATTATGGCTTTTAAAGATATGCCAATCTGTTCGTGGTCTCTGTGGATTATACCCAACCACAAGGCAGAGTCCTCTCACTTATAGAAGAGTTAACTTCTATCTAGGAGCCATTGGTCCACATTCTATGCAATGCTATGATCTAACTACTGAAAGCTTTGTAGGTACATATAATCAAACCAGGTTGTATTCTGTAACTTGACACATAGAGCTCTGGAGTTAGTTACTTTTAGTCTTAGCTTAGTTGGGTTTCGGCCCCACGCATCAGAAACTTCATCACCTACTCCGTGCTCAAGTATTCAGCTTTCTACCTTGTGATACCAGCCTCAAGTTAGTCCAGGGATACTTACTGGCGGTAAACTAGTGTCATGATTCTGTACACATCCCTATTCAGGGTAGTGGATGGCCATAGGTTGGGGAGCCCCCTGATACCAGCGTCTGTTTTATTGTGAGAGAATGAATATCCACCTCCTCGAACCGTTAAATCCACCGTTACTATATAATTTTCTTTTGTCTCTTATTGTAAATTCTACGAGTGCTTGTACATTTACAACAAGCCACCACTCGTAAGCGAGCTGCGCCATTGCCATGAATCATGATAGACCCTACCCACCATGGGTCCATTAGTCGGCAGTTATTCTCAAGTTAGCAGTGATTTCCCATCTGATTGGGTAGCTTTGCCTGGGACACCGTTTGACATAGATTAACTCGCCGTTAGTTCGTGGTAGAAACGAACTCCGGTGGAGCTCGGCTACCGTCTCGGCTACAGAATACAGGCAGTACTCCGGAGTCGTTTTGCGTGCGCGAACCATGGCCCACTGCCGATCCTCATGCTTACAGGATAGCACTTAAATCAGGGGGTGTTTGAAGGATGCTTCAAGGTGATAGATAAGATGCGATGAGCCTCTTATTACGATGTTCACTGTCTCATACTCTTTTTTTTTACTTCTGTATTTAATTTTGTAGTTAGCATTGCCTAACTATTGTCCTCTCTTTTATCTTTTCAAATGAAGATTGACATTTGATCTCTTACATTCTGATAACTACGTACATTCGCTCTTTGATATCTCTTTCTCTCTTGTTTTACCTTCACTTATAGATGCTCCAATATGCGTTCTGTATCATTCCTTCTATGGGGTCTGGCACCTCTCCTTGCATCCGCCCAACTCACTGGCAGAGTCGGGCCCCTCAAGTCAGCGGCTGAGAAAGCCGCCTACAAAACATGTAATGTCCTTGACTACGGAGCAGTTGCCGACTTATCAACCGATATCGGTGAGCCATTACTCGACGCTTTTGCAGATTGCAATGGCGGTGGTCTGGTGTATGTTCCCGAAGGCGAGTATGCCTTGTCTACCTGGGCGCTCTTCGATAAAGGAAAGTCCTGGGCTCTGCAACTCGACGGAGTAATTTACCGCAATGGAACCGATGGCGGCAATATGATAACGTTTGAGCATACAAGCGATTTTGAGATGTTCAGCAGTAACGGAAAGGGTGCGATTCAGGGACTCGGGTATGAGTTCCGTAATACGGGAAAATCCACGAATACCAGGATTATGAGGTTGCAGAAGGTCTCCTCCTTTGCTGTTCATGATATTATCCTTGTTGATTCTCCAGCTTTCCATATGTCGCTTGACACTGTGTCAGATGGTGAGGTATACAACGTTGTGGTTCGCGGAGGCAATTCTGGTGGGCTAGATGGTATCGATGTGTGGGGTGAGAATGTCTGGGTCCATGATGTGAGTCCACTGACTATGAATGCCTGAGAGGAACCCATCGACTGACAGTACGTAGGTTGAAATCACCAACAAAGATGAATGTGTGACCGTGAAGGTATGATGGTACTCAAACTTGCTTCATAGCTGGCTTGCTTACTATATCCATCACAGAATCCATCCCATAACCTGTTAATCGAGAACGTCTACTGCAACTGGAGTGGAGGTTGTGCAATTGGATCCATTACCGCAGGCACTAATATCACGGACATCGTCTACCGCAACGTGTACACTCATTCGTCCAACCAGATGTTTATGATCAAGAGTAACGGAGGTGATGGATACGTGAGGAATCTCGCTCTGGAGAACTTTATCGGTAAGTTCGCTCTCCCCTCCCTTGCTGCATCCTATGTCAGGAATTGTTGCTAAGAAAAGGTCAATGAGCAGGCCACAACAATGCCTATTCCCTTGACATCGACAGCGCCTGGAGCAATATTGACACGGCTGATGGAGATGGCGTTGAGTTTTCAAACATTACCGTATCCAACTGGAAGGGCACAGAAGCGGATGGTGCGCAACGTGGTCCGATCAAGATCCTCTGCCCTGATGACAATCCTTGCTATGATATCACAATCAAGGACTTTGTCATGTGGACAGAAACCGGAGACAGCCAGACATATTTCTGCCAGAGCGCTTATGGAGACGGACACTGTCTCCAAGACGGTGATGATCTGAAAGCGTATACTACAACATTGACTGCTACTAGCGCACCGACCGGCTACGCAGCACCTACAATGAAGGAGGATCTTTCCGAAGGGATGGCCTTGAACACATCTATTGCGATTCCTACTATCCCTGCTTCCTTTTTCCCTGGTGTGACGCCATACAGCCGCATCGCAAGCGGCAGCTCAGGTGTTGTAACTCCCAGCTCCAGTCTGGCATCCCCCTCGGCTTCTGCAACGCCCAGCTCGGGCTTTATCACATGGAGTTCTTCCGTTCGTGCCTCATCATCGTCGAGGCCTGTCAGCTCCCCTTCCTTCACTAAAGTGAGCCCTTCTTCCTCTTGGACAAGGACTACAGGAACGGCCACTTCAGCTGCTACAACTGACGCGCAGCCCACCATCCCTGTCGAAAAGCAGCCGTCCCTTGACACTGAAGTGATTGGAAAGTGTGGTTTTGCCCCACCTCCTAAGCAGGGAGGCCACCACCAGGTACACCATCATTCCCCTCACCACCATTGAGCTCGACAACCAGAGAAATATTGTATATAGACGGTCAACTGTAATATAGAGAGTTCTTCTCACAAAAGGCAAAAGGCTCGACTTGTTAATACCTAGTAGTACCAAGCACATTGACAAGCTATGATATTCAAGTGCCTACGACGAATATAAAGAGTTACGCTCAAAGGATTCCAGGTACATTTCAGACTGGCCATTTCGGATTACCATGGTAGCAACTTGAACCATAATTGATACAACGACAGTGTTACTCTAGCGAGTTGAGCTGGTGCTATAACCGTAGTTTCTAGTCCTTCATTTAATTATTCCAACACCATAAAATCATGTCCCTTCTGGCAAGACAGTGCTAACTATTCCCTCAAAACGTGACGCATACAAATTATGGTTCCTTCTTTAGATGATTCGCTTGATATCCAATGGCCTACCCCACGATCTTAAAGTCTAGAACTATATTGAACTATATAAAAACTAGCTCCATCGAGGCTTGTAGCTGGTTCGATCGATGCATGAAATATGAGGCGGTGGTGAAAATGTTAAAAAGATAGGTCCTAGCCGGATTCGAACCGGCGTTACCGGAAGATTTGACTTCGTTTACATGTATGTTTGCATATATTGTTCATCAAAATCCGGTGGGATAACCACTACCCCATAGGACCGATGGATGGCGAATTCCTGACCTCAGGGCAATTTTCATAGACTCAAAGCTCCATGCCCTTGCTGTATATTGAATCCCGATTCTAACATTTGGCAAGCTTATATATTAGCATTAATCTAAAGCGTATCTGAAGAATCAGAGATAAATATCATTATGAAGGTATTCAGTAAATATTAATTCAGTAGAGATGGCTAGTATTAGGGCTCTGATCGCTGTTAGGTGCTAGGGGCATGCATACCCGTAATGTATTGACAACAGGTGGGAATGCCTCAACGATATGCCCGAGTCGCATTGCTAGGGAGATCCCTTTTTTTACTTCCTATATAATGTCGAGTTTTACGAAGCGTACAGTTTGGCGAGGCCTATTTTGTATGTTACTCCACTATTCTGAGTTGACCTCTTGAGGGCAGCGGAGCTTCGGCAGACTTGTAGACGAACGAGTTCCCCGGAAGGATAAGTTCTCCGGACGATGGGGAAAGCCCGGATCGACCACATTTTTAGCAAGTACGTATATGCTTCTATAAACACGTTGAATAGATTAGATCACTTGCATACTGTCAGCTTTTACTGAGTAGTAGTAAACTCTAATCTAAAGTCCAGCAGAAGCTAAAAGCGTAAGCTGTCTAATCTAAAGGGAAACAATAGGCCTCTGTTGGACTGATCGGAGATTATGTTTAACTACCAAAGTTTAAAAAGAAGGGGTTTTAAGTCAATAATTCAGAGTATGCTTCACGTCGTATCCTTCTCAAGATACCCATATAAAACTCTTGTACCTAGTATCTTGCGACAGAGAAATGGCCAAAGCGCTGTGGTTTGTTTCTAGATACATAACCGCATTAGGGCTCACTCTTCAACTGGGAGGATTTTGCTTACCCCATACGTTCACTGTTAAACATTGTTTGGGTTCATCCCTAATCTTATACTTTCTATGATTTCCCTTGGGGTTCTTTCTTTCTTCCTTTAGTTCCCCTCCACATCTAAGGAAAGACCAATATTCAGGAAGCCTTGTACCATACTGAGACATATGTCCGATTATAGTAGACCTATGATATCACACTTCTTCCCAATTCCCCCGCATCTCCAGTGGAGGAAAATATGGGATCTGGGAGTTCTCCGGTGGAGGACTCCACTGCCAAGACCAACCGTCGCGCAAAATGTCCGCGAATCATGAAGCCATTCACAGGAGAACCGCACGACTAGATACATTAGCCAAGGTCTGCGTAATTTATAAAGGGTTAGGTATCTTGTCCAATTCACCAGGGTCTGTCTTGCTGGGTTAGCCGGAAATCGCAGTCTTTCATCTTCAAACTATATCTATCTTTAACAGACGAATTCGTCGCCGCAACAACATGCGTATCTTCTCTTCCATCTTCGCTGTGGCCAATCTCCTTACCCTCTCAACGGGTAGAGTTATACCTCGCCAAGATGGGAACTCTTACGTTGGCTATCTCCTCTCCACCTTTACCGACGCGAATCCTCAAGTATTTTGGTATCTCTCTGAAGGTTCCGATCCGTTAGCATTCAAAGCCCTTAATGGAGGAAGTCCAGTATTGGGATCGACTGTTGGCACGCGCGCAGTAAGAGATATATTTCTCGCTTCAAACGCTGCCAGGTCTGAGTATTTCATGATTGCGACAGGTACTGAACCCATGCCGTGACTTGAATACAAATTTACTAACGAATGCATTACCAATTAGATTTGGATATTAACGCTGAGGGATTTTCCTGGGATGAAGCGACAAGACGCGGCAGCCGTGGCCTCACTATCTGGAAGTCAAGTAATCTTGTAGATTGGTCTGAACCTACGTTGACGACGTACGTAGGCCAATAAGCCCGATCGAATGTAATTGATTCTGATTATCTGTGAACAGGATTGAGGAAGACACCGCCGGTATGGCCTGGGCACCTTCTGCTGTTTGGAACGATGATGAGCAGCAATACTATCTCTTCTGGGCATCCCGTCTTTATGATACTGCCGACTCGGAGCATACTGGCACTGCTGGGTTGGATCGGATCCGCTATTCAACCACCAAAGACTTTGTGACATTCAGCTCTCCCGCTGATTACGTCGCTCTGGATGAGACTCCCCTAATTGACCAAGAATTCCTGGAGCTCGGCACACCCGGAGCTTATGCTCGTTTCATCAAGAACGAAACTGTCAACCAAGTTTATCAGGAAACCACCACAGGTGGACTTTTCGGAGAATGGACCCGCATCCCTGGATATATTGGCGATAACCCGTTGTCTGAAGGGCCAGCTTCGTTCCCCGATATCGAAAGCCCTGGAGTTTACCATCTGTTGCTTGACAACTATGAGGAATATGTTCCGTTCCAGACAAGTGACATCAATGCGGGCTCGTGGGAGAAATCAAGTTCGTCTTCTTACCCCACAGGGTTGAAACATGGTTCTGTTTTGCGGTTAACGCAGGCGGAATACGATGCTATTACTTCTAAGTTTGCATAGAGTTAGGCTGCATATCCTCAGGATTGGCTGTCTTGGCTGAGATCAATTCGGAGAATTCTGGTAGTCAATTATTATAATATAATTGGGCCACTGTACATAATTGTTGTTCCATTGGAGGATCCTGTAACAGAATTAAAACCAGTGCTTGAATCCTACGAACCCTTATATCGACGAGGAAACGATAGCGCGCAATATTAATTCCAATTGACAAACCTTGGTGATCTAGATAATGACTGAACAAAATTGAACAATGCAATCGTCAGCACGGACAAGCGTATAACTAAAGATTTGCATAAAGTTATATGTGGACCTAGCTAGTCCAGCAGCCCAGTTCTGGGTTGCCATGATTGTAACTGCCTATGGAATGAACTATTTTGATACTGACATTTGCGACATAAACCACGTCTATCCCATTCACACTAATGCAGGAGTGTTTCTAGCGTCTGCACAGTCCTTACAATAGCCTCATCACTACCCGTAAACATCAGATTTATGTCAAGAAAACGGTCAACCTCCTTCAATGCGACACAGACATTTTCCCTTGTCCATGAACAGAATCGGCTCACAAATTGACAGTGTACAGGGACACGGTGGTGGGACATTTCGAAAAAGTTTCGCTCACTGGAGGTTTCCCTGAGTTGCGTGATTGACGTTCCATTTGTCCGCGCCCTTTCTTTTTCGGCGAGGACGGATAGAAAACAGCGCTTATCCGATGCAAAGTCTAGGTATGCGTGAGTCTCTGGTATTCCCGGAGGTGCGGCTCCAGGCACATTTTCGAGTAGTTTTGGGAAGGTTGCAGTCTTCTGCAATGGTACGGCAAAGTTACAATCCCAGTCAATGATACTAGGGAAGGATTAGCACTGCATAAGGCATGATGTTAAATGAACGACCGCGGTTGGGTGTCAACGCCTGAACCTAAACGAACCCTTTCATGTTATATTCCTCATCAATTATATGTTATCGTTGTGGAGATCGACATGGACAAAAGCCCATGGGCTGTTCTCATACTCGGAAACAACATAGCGGGAAATCATTGACCGTTGAATCAGGTAGTCAATTGCAGTGGAATAGTCATGTCGACGAAGCGTACGACTATACCTCTGTCCACGCTCTCGGTGAGCCAGACGCTGGTTGATACCTGTACACCCTTTGGTGTCCCGTCGGGTACCCCTACTAAGGTGAGGGTGGCTCTATAGTATAATTGGAGGCAGACGTACCGTAGAACAGGGTTTGGTCATCCAACGGACATTCAAGAATCATGTTGAGTATTAGATCGGTGATTTGGTCTAAGACTTTCTGCCGATACGGGGAGGCAGGAGTTGATTGATCCCATGGTGTCATGGGGGAGCCTTCAATCCAATCTAGTAACATGTAACCAACTCCGACAGGGTTGTAGCCGCGAGAGCCGCAGTCAAAATACCCGTGTATTCGAGGGGCAGGACTATTTGGAGACCAGTGAGCGAGTTGAATTGGTCTAGTACAAATCTCCAAGAAGGAATCATCCTGGTTCAACGGTATCCTTGCAGCCCATCGCTCATCCTTCTCGTGAAAGCTGATTATGAAGATGACGTAACCTGGCCCAGTGATGGGTGAACTGTTATTATCTAGCTGACAGGCTGGAGTGCCAGCAAGTGAAGATACAACCTCAACCAGGGCTTGCTTGTTGAGCAGCTTAAAAACCTCATCCACGGATCCCATTATATTCAGCAGCTATCTAAATAGTGAAAAATGTGTAAAAGGTTCAGATAGAGTACGAAGCGCTCGAACTATGGAGTAGGTTGATCTTTGATAAAGGACAAAGGGCTGCCCTCCCTTATCTATTCGGTGTGACCTCCTGGCTAGACAGCATGCATGGGCACGTTACAAGGCATCTTCTGTAACAAATTTCTCGGCCAATGCGCACTTGACTGGGCGTATGACTGGTATGAAGATGAAAGTGAGAGAAATCTACGTTCTTTATATAGATTCCTTCGTATAATAGCTAAGCATACTGTGTAGTAACAGTACTTTTATAACAGGTTGACTAGCAGACGGATGATGAACCACCTAATAATTAGTTTATCTACTCCCAAACCAAAAAATGAATAGTGACATCGGTCAAAAGAATTTGCAAATCCAACATTTTCATTGTAATTGCGGCGAGGTTGACCTATTTCTGGATATTCAAAGCAGCTAACGCCCCTGCAGAACCCGTATTCGATCCACTAGGGGCTGTTGATGTTTACATCATGCACAGCCTACTGTGCCGAGACTCAATCAGCATTTAACTTCAATGTTGGTTATGTCGATCTATTCCTGTATAGTCGGCAAAAGCGCCGATCCCTCCAGCCAATTTCCCCATGGAACAAATCAGGCCAGCTGCAAGTGGGCTGGACAAAATCCTCCATATTAGTTATTCCAATTAAACGATATAATACGGCTACAGACCCCCCTGCACCGATGAGAATCAACAACACAGATTCTACATGTTCAGCACAATGACACCCTTATTATCGAAAATAGTCGCGCTATCGCTTTTCCTCGGTAGAGCCTTGGGCGAACCCTGGCAAGTTATCAACGCGGATTTTCCCGACCCTAGCGTCATCAAGACCGGCGATGGATATTACGCCTTTGCCACTACTGGACACGGCGTCAATACTCAAATGGCCCATTCCGCGGATTTCAAAACGTGGAACCGCTTGGATGGCCAAGACGCGCTTCCGGGTCCTTTCCCTAGCTGGGTGAATGGTAGTCATCCAAAGGTCTGGGCTCCAGATGTTATCCAACGGGTGAGTCTATGGGTCTTTTCCACGCGGAGTAGGAGCTCCAACTAAGAAATGACAGGATGACGGAACCTTCGTTATCTATTATTCCGCTGCTACCAGCGGAACTCACAGTAAACACTGCATTGGCGCCGCAACCTCTAAGTCAGTTACCGGTCCCTACTCGCCGGAGCAAGATGCACTTGCCTGTGATAAGAGCAAAGGCGGTGCCATCGATGCTGCAGGCTTCAAAGACGACGACGGCACATACTATGTTGTCTATAAGGTTGACGGCAACAGCCTTAACGGGGACAGCGGGTACCACCCCACGCCTATCATGCTGCAAAAGCTAAAGTCGGATGCTGTGACTCCTGAGGGAGACGCTGTGCAATTGATCGATCGCGACGATGCCGACGGGCCCCTGGTTGAAGCACCTAGTCTCGTGAAGCGTGGTGGCCAGTATTATCTGTCGTTCTCCTCAAATTGGTACAACTCCCTAAAGTATGACGTTAGCTATGCCGTCGCGCCGGCCGTAACTGGCCCGTACACCAAGGCATCAGCTCCAGATGCACCGCTGCTGGTTTCTGGGGACAGCAGTAACGTCGGACCATTGGGAGGCCCCGGTGGCTCTGATTTCCGCGAGGATGGAAGTGCCATTGTGTTCCATGCTTTCAACAATGGGAAGAATATGACCAAGGGTCGTGGGATGTGGGCAGCTAATGTCAAGATTGATGGAGGAAAGATCTCCATCCAGTGAGTGAGGCGGGTATGGGAATCAAGAGTCTTGTAATAAATATTATTGTTTGTACTAATGTCGTCTTTAATATACATATATGGTAACTCCTATAATTACAAATATCAGGGGTATATGCAATTCGCTAGTGAGCATGACCATTTTGGTGCTGAGAATGGTTCTTTTCCAGCTCACGCCATTTCCTAATTACAATGGCTCTCTCTTCCGGTGATGCGACACACATCTCCTGGATACCTTGTTCCAGTCGCGACCGTAGGATGTACTTCGTCTTATTCTTCGTGAGGGAATTGCGAAGGCTCTTGTGTAATCCGTCCAGCGGGAAGCCTGCGAGTCCCCAGATGCCTATTGAGATTGTAGGTTAGTCTGGGAATAGAGACGAAACACGGTCGAGAATGGCAGCATACCTGCAGCTGGTTTGAGAAACACCCCACCTACTCCCTTTCCAACCCCCTTCACCAAGCCTCTACCACCAGACTTCTGAAAGCCCCGAGCAGGCTGCGTAAGAAGGCCAGTAACGCCGTAGTAGAAACCTTCTGTGAATTCCTTCCAGCTGTCAGCATCTCTCAGCCTGAAGACCACCAACAGATAATCACCTACGGTGCCAGCTGCTCGAAAGCCACTTTTCACATTGCGTACTCTCGGAATCCTTTGTACTGTGGTGTCATGATACAACTTTGGTGCGTTATGGAAGCCCTTGGCTAAGCTAAGTGTCAAATCGGTGGGTAGCATGATCGCAAAATTAAGGACTTGCTTTGCGAACTTTGAGGTATGGTAGCCTGTTTCTGCTAGAATCTCTTGTGCCCCAGTTTTCTGTTCTTTAGCTCGTTTCCGGGTCAGCGTGCGTTCAAGATCGAGCTCATTCACAGCCTCATCGGAGTCATCAACGACTGTATCCGCGCTACTGCTGTCCGACTGATCTTCCTCGGCTGAAGCGTATTCACTGTCACTGCCGGACTCAACTTCGGATTCTGACACGGATGATCTATCATCGCTCTCGGATCGGTCTGGACGACTGGGGCCATTGCCATGCTCATTGGATGATCGCTCCCTTTCTTGCTCTTTTGCCTGCTCTAGGCCTGCCGTACAGTGTGACTTTACCCAATCTCGGCTACCGATATGGTGGCTGTGATGATGATGATGCTTCCTTTTGCGGTTTTCCTTCGACAGCATTCCGGCCAGGTCAGTAGGCACAGTGGCAAGGCCACTGATAAAATCACTGACAACACCGTAAAGCACCTCAGCACCGGCGGAAAGCGGTCCTCGCGGGTCACGGTTCGTGTCGTACTGCTTGGAGCGGTATCTAGAAAGTATGAGCATACAGCTACGCTTCGTTCCAGGGAAAAGGGCATCTCACAGTTCAAAGTGATGCGGATCCACGATCCCAGCCTCTACTAGAACCGCCGCTGCAAATGCACTTAACTTGATGTGCAGATGTTTATGCCACCATACCGCCGGACGGGTAGGACATATAGCGCACCGTAGGCTGCGCAAATCCAGATGTTGATGAAAGCTGCAGACGGCGTTTTGCACGCCCCTTTCTGTCCGCATGCCTTTGCCTATCTCCTCGGCCTTTTCTAGCGTAGATGGTTCCAGAGCTTTGTTGATTGCTTCTGCTAATTTCTCGGCGGTCAATTGTTTATATGGCACCGGGTGTGGCCCAGCCCCTGCGCGTGCCACGATCGACCCCCAGAATGGCTGATCGCCGAAAAAGGGTACAATTACCGTTGGACGACCCAGGACCAGCCCGGCGGCAGTGGTGCCTGCACCACCATGGTGAACAACACATGAAACATGCTGGAAGAGCCAGTCGTGCGGAACCTTCCCCAAAAGCATGACATCCTCGGGTACTTCAGCTCTTCCTTCTCCGATATTTCCCCACCCCTTCGACACGAGCGCTCTTTTCCCCGTTAGGCGGACAGCCTCGAATACAATTTCTGTTAACTTGGCGGGGTTGTCGACTACGATGGAACCAAAACCGATATACACCGGGGGGTCACCAGCTTTGAGAAATGCATCGAGATCATCGGGTGGCTGGTAGCTCGTGTCGCTCTCCAGGAACTGAAACCCGCAGACGTCGATGTTTTCGCCCCAGTCCTGAGGCTTGGGGAGGAGGGCCGGAGACCTATAGGGATTAGCTGCTGTGTGGAGGTTTGCAAGTGTGCAACATACCAAAGGTAGGTATATGGTATTTGCAACCGATGGGCGATACTCGGAGCCCGGATGGCATCCAAAGGATCTAAGCCCAGCTCCCTCTTTCGAAAGCGATTTATCAGGTCACCAAGCCCTTCCCATAGCATCACCTCGACGATAGCATATGACGCAAAGTTTGCAACGGATGGCTTGGTATTACGGGCTCGGATATTGGCCAATGGGTGTGGAAATGATTGTGTCGCCGACCATGGCATCCTACAATCTCAGCACACGGCAACTTCCACTCGAACAGGGGCAAACTCACGTAAACATCATATTTACCGGAATTCCCATTTTCTCTGCACAGCTCAGATGCGCGAAACTAGGCGGGTTTGCAATGATAACGTCGGCGACAAACGGCTGCGTGTTGCAATCTGGGGTGTCACTCCACGGATCCTCCTTGATATGATGCATGCCCGTCCCATCCCCAGTTTCAAAGCACGAGCGCCAGCAACCGGAAAAAATCGCCTTCATTTCACGACGGCGCTTGGGGATTGCGCCGCTGCGTATCGTCCGCATATCCGGCATCAACCCAGGATTATTTACCATAAAAGCCATCAACTCTGCGGGGTCGCCTCCAATGCTGAAAAATTCCAGCCCTGATTCATTGATATATTCACGAAAGGCAAGATGCGTAGCCAGTCGAACCCGATGCCCATGCTTCTGTAGCTCCTTCCCCAGCGCAACGAATGGTTGTACGTCGCCGCGAGAGCCCACCACGTGGATAACGATGTTCAAACGCAAGGGAAACTTGTCCTGTCCTTCCGTGGACATAACCGACGGTCTTCGGTCTTCGCGCAAAGGTTTCGGGTACCGTTCAAGATGCTTAATCAGATTCAGCAACCAGGGCTTATGTTCGCGAAACTTGATATCCAATCTTCCGTCGTCTATCGATCGTTAAAACACTGTGACATCATAACGATCTGGAGAAGGAGTGGAAATACAAACCCATCACCCGAACACCAGTATTCAAACCCTGCTCTCGAACATGTGCATGACCGCCGCCAACCGAGAGACGTCTGGGACTGAGATGCTCATCCGGCCAATCCCCCGCCGAAATGCCATGTTCATGCGGTCGGTCCAGTGAAGCTGCTGCTGCTGCCATTGTGCTGGTCTATACCAATCCTCTGTGAGTGCATTTGTCACACACACACCCTAAATGATGAGTATAATCTTAATAGCCAAAGAGAAAGAGGAACAAAGATCTGAAGACATCATCAAACCTGAATGATGATGAAAAGTTTCCAGGTAACCCACCGATGATGTCACAGTTCGATGAATTAACTTCGGCAGATCACCGGTTGACCCGAACCGCCGTTTTGCTTATTTCCATGCCGAACCGGTTGGGTTCCACTTGTGAGTTGTTCTGCTGTAATTATTCAGAAATTTATTGGAATTCAGGTTTCCTTACTGAGATTGCCTCATCCCCCTGGTTTATCGCTGTAGTGTTTGAGACGGTCGCTGTGTCCACTGTCTAGTCCCTGGTCAGCCCTATCGGGCCGATCCCGATTTTTGGTTCGTGTGTGATGCCGAGGTTCATACCCAAATTTGCCTCCTGGTCACGCCCTCTTTATCCTGAAAGTATGAATGCACACATTTAAACTCCTCGGAAATACTGCACATCCACCATTATTCATACCTCGCGTCCCAGGTTTACGTCTATCCATTGTCCGGGAGCAACTCGTCATTCCGCGGGATTTCACGGAAGCGCCCGGTCACGGCATGACCGTTCCTCGGCCCTGTCTGCCGTAAAAAGCCTTCTAAAGGCAACCTCCTTATAGGCAATGTTCCCGTTAGAAGTAATTGTTCGACCTTTAGGCGGCTGCGACGGTTTCCCAAAGAAATTTGCCTCAAAGCCCGATATAAGGAAATATCACCTGACCGCTTATCCTGCATGCAAAATTACCTATAAAATTATAAAAACTTAAACCGAGTCTTTTAATCAGTGTGTTCTTTACAGTAACCAGTTATATTCGTATTCAGTAAGGAAACTTTACCAATACTGACAGTCCAGGGAGCACAATAAAGATTATACGTTTCTTAGTGAACTCTGGTTCCACAGTAACAATACAATTTAATATAAAGAAAATTTAAGATGTATATACACGAACATCGAAATTACTTGAAATTTGCTGTTAGGTGTCATCGATAGTAGTGGATTTGGTATAGGAATACCTGATTATAAGCAATCTAAACCGCTTATCAATTAATTGCTTCTGAAGGGGTAGGACAGTAACGACTTCATATCGTCCTTCGTTAGACGTTTAACATGTGTGTGGTTATGTTATTTGTAACGTTAGAAAGAAAAAGGACATGAATTCTGAAGCCTGGTCGGGTTATTTCGACAGCTATCATGTAGCGGAGATGAGGTGTGGCTCTACGTATATTTGTCTCATCTATAGGGCGGGAGAAAGAGTGGATAAAGTAGCATCCTTCGCTATAGACATGGATCGGGGTTTGCGCCAACCGATTTTTAACAAGGGTAGCGTCGCACTCTGTCAGGGGACACCATCCTATAATATGCCTTCTAGCGTCCAACACACAATTAGAGAAATACCCATAATGACCCCTAAGAAACCGTTCTCGAGCGGGCCAGAAGACCAAGGTTAGCGAAAGGATGTGTGCAAAATCAGTTGTACCTGGAAAATGGAATCCCTGTCCGGCTTGTGACAGAGTATTCTTTCTCCCAAGAATATTTCCAGCTTAATGAATTGTAAGAGTAGTATTCCAGCCCTTCGGGTACCCATAAGACTCATAGTGCGATGCTACAAATTGTAACGGGAATGCTCTAGGTAGCGATGCCAATGGATAAAGACCCTCGCTGGGTTAGAAGGTCACAACCCGCACAATGAGCAAGTTTGAATCAGATAGTTGGCAGCCTATGGTCAGTATACTGACGTGGCTTCTGATGATCACGGCTATTCTTGTAGGTTTTGCTCGACTTGGAACCAAATATTGGATCATCCGACGGTGGACAGCGGATGACTACCTCTGCATTGTATCAATGGTAAGCTCACTAGCTCTCATTGTCAGCTTCATGACCGTGCAATAATGACTAAGAGATCTCCAGATTCTCTGTGTAGCGCAATCGATAGCTGTTTCCATGGCCACCGCGAATGGCTATGGCAACCATTATCAGTCACTTTCCGAGACGAGCGTGCAAAATATCATGAAGGTGAGCGCCTACAAGTATGGCTCTGTATAAGCTGTTCATAGTCCCTAGTCTCAATATGCAGCGACGATTCTCTTTATCTCCAGCATGTGTTTCTCTAAACTATCGGTCATCTACTTCATCCGAAACGTGACGCCGTCATTCAATCCCGATCGCCTCATCATTGCGGGCCTGGAGCTTTTGACTATCCTATGGGCTGGTATTGGTATTCTCACGGCTGCCTTCCAGTGTAAACTGCCTCGGACGTGGGACTATCTCCACAGTGAATGTATCCAACATGGAAGCTGGTGGAGCTATATGTGTGTGATGAATATTTTGACCGACGCCGGGGTGATGGCTCATGGAATATTTATCGTCACGCGGCTTCAGATGCGCTTGAAGAGAAAGCTCACATTGGCGATTATTTTCGGATTGCGCACCTGGTCAGCGGACAAACCTCTTCCCTCTGTCTTCTATTTATGGCTGATGAATTATCCAGCGTGATTGCCGCCAGCGCTTGTCAGGCTTTCTACGCCAATGAAACGGTTGAGTCCCCTGATCCGACTTCTGATACTTCGCCGTTTACCATATCGACTCAAGCCACCCAGTGTTTGAGTCTTATCACCTGCTGTTCGCCGCAATTCAAACCATTTATAGATAATCTCCGCTCGTTAGGGTTCTACATCGACGGAATGTCGCGGCACGGTGCTTCCGACGCGAAACACAAGGCACCGATGACACGGCCACATAAACAAGACGAACTTTCCTGCCAGCAGCATGAACTGGAGACCATTTCTCCCTTTGAAAGATCTTATCAAACAGCAGTCACTGAGGCATCATCGAAACAAGATTGGGATGAAGGCAGTCAGTGTAGCCAGACTCACATTATCCACGAAGTCCACACATAGACTGTTACCCCGTCTATATGAGACACTGCGCCAGTGTCTCCCTATAAAGTAAAGACCCTCTTTTGGTTTCTCTTCTGTCTTTGTTCTGCCTTAGTGGTTCGAATCCGTTGTTGATAATAGTGCAACTTATTTTTCGCTCAAAGCTTCCCATTCTAAATGCTCCTATTTCTTTGGTGCATGACCCTTCTTCTCTGTACCTCTGTTTCTCTCCTTTCTTTCTTGTTTCTCTCCCTCCTTTTTGCCCGCACCGTCCTGTCGCTATTTTTCCTAGTGATGTCTCTTTGTCCTTTTATAGTAGGAATAATTGCAGATCATTATAGTGTGTAGGAAACTAGACTGTTTATTCCCTGTCCGGCGGGAGGGAGTTTAATACCCGCCACGGGGACATGGATATCAACCCGTCAAAAGCGGATCCAGCCCACTGATCTCCACACCCGGTGCATTCGGACCCTCCTGCGACCCAGGCGACAAATAGAGTCTCGGACTTTAATTGGGCTTGTCATTCATTGAACCCTTGTCAGGTTGCGTCCTCCCCTCCACTGGTGCTCGGCCTTGGTCGATTAGCCTGTCAAACATACCTTTCATTCGCAGAATTTCCTCGACTGTTCAATAGGGTGAAATCTCTAGTTGTACAGCAGGGATCGTTGTCCCATCGACTGGCTACGTGCAGGCTAGGCCAGAGCTGCTGCAAATATTCTCGGTCTCGGCGTCTGCTTCCCCCGTTCTTTTCTCTTTCCCAGAGCTTTCCTCTGCTGCGGGTTCAGGTAGAGCCTTCCATAGCTCCATGATTTCTTGTCCAACTCTTCGTGTGTTCATGCGGCTGTGCTAATTGGGACTACACAGTCAAATCCTCAAAGATGTCTACGCACGAACTGAAGGACATGGCGCCTCCTGTGCTGAGCGAGGTGGAGGGACAACCGATTTACCGAGACAAGGACGACGTGTATTTGACTCGCATGGGGAAGCGCCCTGTGTTAAAAGTGAGGTGCCCCTGAATATCCCCACGATAGCAGAGGTACTAAGACCATCTTTCAAAAGAGAAACTTTGGGTTGATATCGATGGTGGGATTCAGCTGCACGCTGTTGGTGACATGGGAGGGCTACATCATGTAAGTCGTCCTCAAGCCTGCGCCGCGTCGACCTCATGGCTAAAATTGTGGCTCTTCCAACAGATTGTTTCTGCAATCCTTTCAAAAGTACTTTGCATCCGCTGCATCAACGCGTGTTGAATCGATTACTGACCTAGGCCCAGTGGCGGCCCGGCTGGTTCTGTCTATGGCTATCTTTTCGTTTGGGCTGGTATCGCCGCCACCTTTGTCGTGATATCGGAGCTTGTGTCGATGTAAGCTTTCATTAGAGGTGCGCATCAGAAAGAAGCTGATGAATGAGCGACAGGGCTCCTACGTCCGGTGGACAGTACCATTGGTGCTCGATGCTGGCCCCTCCATCAGCAATGAAGCTGGCCAGTTATATGACAGGTACGTCTTGGTTAGGAACTGCAAATGCCATTGAGAGTTGGATCGTTTACGATAATGACAGGTTGGCTTACCGTGATCGGATGGCAAGCCACATTCGCATCCGCAATGTACCTCAACGGGAACATGGTCCAAGCCCTAATTATCCTTACCAGATCGGATTATGTCCCTCACCCATGGCGAAAAGCTCTATATGCATGGGGACTCTCTGTACTTTCCGCCGTCATTAATATTGTCGGGGGCAAGTTTCTGCCCCGTTTTGAGGGCACCATTCTAATCTTCCATGTCTTGGGGTTTTTCGCCATCCTGGTCCCCTTGACCTATATGGCGGATCGCAAGTCGTCGGCCGAAGAAGTGTTTACCTATTTCATTAACGAAGGTAATTGGCCTTCAAAAGCGCTGTCAGTCTTTGTTGGTTTGACTGGCCCTGTTTTCGCTTTCGCCGGTGGTGATGCTGCGGTCCATGTATGTCAACTGTGGCCATGTCCTGGGAAACTGTCTGCTAACGTACCAATCATAGATGGTCGAAGAGATGACCAATGCAACAACCGCTGTGCCCCTGTCCTTGATGCTAACAGTGCTAATCAATGGGTCTATGGGATTTGGAATGATGATCGCCTTATACTTTTGTCTTGGGGACATCCAGACTGCGCTTAAATCCCCAACAGGCGTGCCTTTCTTTGCTATCTTCCTGCAGGCAACAGGATCCGTATCGGGCACAGCGATCGCAGGGGCCCTGGTAATGTCTATGGGCAGTTGCAATACAATTGGCACCTTAACAGCAGCATCACGTCAATTCTGGTCCTTCTCTCGCGACCGAGGAATTCCTGGGTGGCGGGTATGGAGTAAGGTAACGCTCGAAATAACTGCAAGGTTGGCCTATTCACCGAAACTAACATTTTCATAGGTGACTGAACGTACATCTATCCCGACATATGCAGTCCTTCTAACGGCAGTTGTTGGGTGTCTACTGAATCTCATCACTATCGGTTCAGATGTGGCATTCAACAGCTTGGTATCCATGTCAATTTCGGGTCTTTACCTATCATATATGACTGCTGGAGGTCTGTTGCTCTACCGCCGTTGTACCGGGGGAATTGGGAATGCGGCTGCTGGCGAGCAGACGATGATCAACACGGCAGGTGCTAGACTGGTCTGGGGACCATTTCGAGTTCCTGGTATTTTGGGTATAGCCATTAATATCTTCTCTTTGGCGTACATGGCAATCGCTACATTCTTTGGCTTCTGGCCTACGACTAAAGATGTCAATACACAGACAATGAACTATAGTATCGTGGGTACGATGGGGGTTATCATACTTAGCCTTGTCTACTACTTTGTTCGAGCGAGGAAGGTGTATACTGGGCCCCTTATAGAGATATCTTGATAGGCAGATTGGATAGCATAGTCAAAAGGTGCCACGGTTTCAACTTTGTTTATATAGCAGTCATCAACTAGGCCACGGGAAAGGCTGTCTGGGGACACGAGCCTGCACCAAAAAGAATTTCACTTCGAAGGGGAGTCAATGAATTTCAATATTTTCGCTATCTTAGTTCAATCGGTCTCACCGCGCAAATACTCGCCGTTAAAAAAAAAAAAAAGAAAACTCGAACTATGACGGTTCCTATTGATTGGTAATTAGTATATTGCCTATCTCTACAAAGCTCTAGCACTTTTGATAGCACTTTAGCTGTTAGGCAGCGAGGCCCCAGTGGGTATCTTTAGCATGGCTGCGTTTTGAAAGGGCTATGAATGAGTCCTGCGTGAAGTATATTCCACATCTGGTTCGACTTATAAAAATGGATGCTACACATATGATCTTTTCTCACTTTGTGTTAATACTAAAAGCTTTGCTAGTAGTATATTAGGGGCATTTGGAAATGTAAATGTACATGAAGATACACTTGAAGAGGCATGGTCGTCATTATTTGAATATCTGATAAAATGTAACCTAAGCGATGCTGATATTCGTTTCCCATTGATTAAGTATATTGCTCGATCTCTTCTGCATGTCGCAAAGGTCTGGCTCCGTTAGTTTGAGGATGAAACCAGAATGAACTAAATATGGAACTCCCCAGACTGATTATCAATAATAGTCATTCAGCTAACCATGAATGTAACCTTGTTATTCTCATGTCAAATCTATCTGCCTCCCGGGGCGGGTCCATCCACAAAATTGGATCGTCTATAAAGTCTAATCGTCCACAAAATGGATCAGCTCCACACTCGAACCAAGTCCATATCATTGTTTGAGTACCTGCTCAGGATGTTTCAGAGTCCTACTGTGTTGCATCTGGATATTTGTAGTGATACCATGTTGGAATATTTAATAGCCAAGCATCCATTGCAGTCGTTGTACTCGGTTTGTATACATCAATTCTTCCATCGAATCCACCAATATCTTTACCCTACCTCATTGTTCGTTGCTATCACATAGCTCTCGCCTTTTTGTTCATAATCACCCATCGAGAACGTACATATCCTGCCATCATGCAGCTCCACGCTACTCTCGCTGTCGGTCTCTCCCTCCTCGGGTTCACCCTTGCCGGTTCGTTCAAGTATCCAATTGAATGGAAGGCATCCGACTTCACTATCACCTGCGGCTCAGAAGACTGCAACTACAATTTCAACATCGTGAGCAATGCCACCGGGCCTTCAAAGTTCAAAACCTCCTGCTCTGGTGTTCCTGCCGAGGAGGACTATAGCCCGTGCCAAGACGAAAGCACCGAGGCCAAACTGCAGGTTGTGCCTGGGACGCGCCCGATGTGGAGCGTGCACGTACAACACACTTGGATGGAAGGAGAAGCGAGGTATACCGCACACGGTGACGCCAATGTCACCGACAGCGCGAAGAGCTTCACGGTTCCCGTCACGCGGGTTTCTGGGGTGATTTAAAGAGAATGAATGTTCTTGATTGACGGAGGGGTGTTCACGGTCCAGTACTTCTGTTTTGCCTTGGATAACAATTGTCGCCGTCAGAGCCATAGTCAAGGTCTACCTTAGTGTTACCAATATGTCTTTTTGCACATACCGATAGTCTTGCCGGTAGAGTAGAGGTTGTACTCCGTAGTATAAACACGAACACCTGGGTTTCCGCTCGGCCTGGGCAACCCGACCCGAACCGAACCCGATCAGCCCCCGAACGAACTGATCGACTGTTCAATACATTTTCATTCGTGGGCAGATGTTGACCCACACTTGAACTCCGTCTCCAGGGAGGCGGTGTGACCGATGCAAGCAACGCTCCAAGCACAGCGCGGGGTGTGAGACTTGATTTTAGCATGATTCAGACAGCCCAGAAGGCGGTCCTTGTTGGTCGTGACTTTAGATTCGAACTTGGCCCGGTAATGGACCCATTTAGCCGACTCCCGTGGTTCGTCCTTCGGAAGATACTATGTAGTATCCCCGATCTGCCGACGCTGTATAACCTCCACAATGCATCTCCAGGGATAGCAGCATTTCTCCACGAGAACAATGTTCTCTTCAGGATAATTGTTGACACAATTATCACCAAACCAATCCTGAGACGAGGTCTGCTACCGGAAGTTCTGCATTCTATAAAAGTCTTAATCGTCAGGTGGAACAAACAGCTGCGGTTCCAACAGAACATGGAGATCATAGAGCCGGACTCTGAGTTTGAGTCTCCGCAACAGCCATTTGAAAACTACATAGGCTTCCCAGACCTGGACTCACCCCTGTCAGTGTCTGAGACCAGACAAGGGATCATACCCAGATCAACACCGCCTGTCATTCTGTGTCGACTTCTTGCTCTCATGACTCGAATCCAACGTCCCGTGCATGCGTGTTTCCAGCCTTCGGTTGCTCGCTGTCTGACAGAAAGGAGGGTGCCTTCACCGTCGCACTTGCATACCCGTGCTATTAGATTTTTCAATACTAGACCCGTGGTGGGACCGCCCTCCAAGCAACCGAAAGGCGTGCCCGTCGGACCGCCGACATGGTTTGAGGAGCAACGCTTGGTGTCTGTCTTCCTCCATGTGGTCGTGTCCTATGAGTTTCGAGAAGCTTATAACGCGTCGAATTATCTTGCCCCCGCAATGCTAGACCCTAGCGAAGCGGGAATCAACTACGATATTGAGGGCTTCTGTGACCAGACATTGTGGTCTAGGTACGAGCAGTCGCAGCGGTTAGGAAAACTCCTCGAGTGGCTAGAAGAGCAAGCTGGGGGCAAGGAAAACATGCACACTTGGTTACGTTGGGTTATAGTTCCGGACAACTTGGGTCACTGTTGTTATTGGGATACGTCCATGACAAGGGAAGAGTAAAACAGTAGATGGTGAACTCGGCATAGTTGGTGCTTGTGGGGATATACCCCTATCTAAACTCTATTATCCGATCTCTAAACCACGTAGCCACATGGAGACAACTCTGATAGAAAATAGTCCTTGCATAGGGTAAACTAGTGGCTAGCTGTTATTGAAATACACCGCTTGATAGGATTACAGGCACCGGCTCACAATGCTAACCCATATCCCCAGGCTGGACCCGAAGAAAAGATGTATCACAACGCCTGCTCACCACATATGCTCACTGGCCAGTAAGGATAATAGTAATGGGGCTCTGAGTCGACTTGCAGTTCTGAACGTCGCCATTGGTCTCGCAGTCAACCAGGAACTCATCCTGGCCATATTGGCCAGCACTGTAGGTACCAGACCCACTGAGGCAATATTGATTAGCAGCCTCGTCTCGATATACATAAAGGGCCTCACAGGATCCAGGTACTTACTCAACATGAAACTCATGGAAAACGGCCAGTGCGTAGCCGGTATCTTCTCCGTGAAGCAAATTGAATAAATAATCGGAATCACCGCACCGAGTAAAATCGGCCACCTCATAACCCAGGGTGGGATTCTGAGCGCTGCAGGCCAGGCTTGTGGCGTTGTCACCGGAAAGTTTAAAGGAGACGTCTGTCACCTTTCCAAAGGCGGCCCTGGTAATCTCGAGGTCGGTGACTTTGACATACTCATTGATGTCACCGATATCGACCGGAGGGGCAGCCAAGGCGAAGGAAGCGCCTAAGATGGCGGAGGCGATGGCAGCAGAGAATCGCATATTGGTTTAGGTGATGAGTCAAAAGAAGACGGACGGCAGTTAAGACTGAGATTTAAGTTGAGATTGAATTCCTGAAACTTTCTGTGTTGTGTTCTGTTGAAGTAACGGAATGCAGGGACGAGGGTGTCTCTTTATAGGACTTCGGGACTGTAGGATATGAGAAGCACACTGCCGTACATCCGGCTTTGTGGAGACCATAATACCTTGGAAGTCATTTGGGTATTGCGTTTTGGAGATGCGAATAGGGAACCTTGAGAACCTTGAGGGTATATAGATTAAAATAATGTGGGTCTTTTGGTTGGAGTCATGGACATTACACGGAGATAGAATTTGGTTGAGGACCCCGTGTACCCCCATCTTCTCTTCTGCTGACATCCAGGCATATACTCTGCGGAAATATCGGCGGAGTTACTAATTAGCAGTGATTAGGAAATGAGACAACTGGTCTCGAATCTTTTTAGTATTTTGATGGGCTCGTTAAAGTACCGTCACAGCAACAGACAATGTTTACTCCAGGTCAGTCACTTGTACCAAGAAAATAAAATATAGATTTAGTGAGACTAACGCTCTATATATCACCGACAAACCATGGCCAGTCTTAGAGAAGACGGCATATATACTAGCTACATCATGATCTCCGTTATGCAGTTTAAACATAGATGCTAAGATAAATGATTTATGCACCGATAGTCTTTAGAAATTCCAAGACAAACCAAGACTATCCTAAGCTGGGTTTCTCCTAAGCCCTCGCGCCGAAGACCGGGAATGCGATTCTCAAATCAGATAACTAGTAGGAGTCACTTTCGGAATAGCTCAAAATGATTGAACGTTGGCATGCTTTCTGTCAATTACAATGATGATTATATCGGCCCAATATCACCAAATTGTGGTAGATCCGTCTATGGCCGAAGTGAAATTGAACTCTACTAGTTTCCTTGCTCTCGAAGTTGACTGCAGTGATGACGGTTCCAATGAAAGCAATATTCAATCGTTTGATTAATAAGCTAAAAATTTGGTAATCGGACCCTGGTGAATGGAAGGGTGGCTGATAACAGCCTCAAGGGAGTTAGCAACTTAGGGCATGGATTAAGAGCACGGGCAAGAAGGGCCTCCATCGCTCTCCTAAGATAGTTAAGGCTTTATCCTTCCCCTTATTAAGTTGGCCCTTCCATCGATGGAGTGTTTCATCGGACAGGGATCTGATAGCCCTAAGCGCCGCCAAGGCTCACTAGTATACAGGGCTGGTTCAGGGTCCACGAGGGTCCAATTGGCTATGTATCAGCGGCGTAGGCACTCTGCATACACCGTCGCTTTTGAAGTGGGACGCAGGGATGTCTCAAGGGCCATTCATCTTGAGCGCGCTTCTGATTTTGTCTGAACGGACGCGGGCATGTGGGCTCGCAAATTACAGTGTCTGGCCCCATTTTCCATCAGGCCGCAGGAGAAAGAGAACGATACCCTCGTTCGTAAACTCAGTCGCTCCCTTTGAAAGTAAATCAAGAGACCACCAATATGCAGCAGCGCAGGCGGGCCCTTTGGCTTGCCATTTCCGCCCTTATTTTATTAATAATCACGTACTTTTTTTATCTGTCTATGCAGCACGACCCTGCACTTTTACCCACCAACAGCGATCCAACGCCGCAAGAGCCCGATAGCCAGGAGCCAGAAGAGGCCCCCAAAGAAACCACGAGACACCATCCATCAGCACCATCGGTCGAGCGAAATGCGACGCGCACACTTGTGATTGCCAAACTACAGGAAGAGGATACCTTATGGGTCGACAGCCTTGTCCGGGATGACCCTGATCTTACCAGTGCTGTCTATGTGGTGGATAATAATACCAGTGCACCTTTCACTGTTCCCTTAAATAAAGGCCACGAGGTGATGGTCTATTTAACCTATATAATCGATCATTATTACAGTCTCAGCGACATCTCAATATTTATGCATGCTCACCAGATCACCTGGCATAATAACGACTTCCTCGATTCTGACTCGGCTAAGATGGTCCGCCGGTTAAGAAGTCAATATATACTTAAAAACGGTTATATGAATCTTCGCTGTCATCTTGAACCAGGATGCCCAGACCATATTCATCCATATATAGGAAAAGAATCTGATGATATTCTTAACGTTCCCGAAGCTGCAGTTATCGGTATGGCATGGGGTCAGCTATTCCCCGGTAGCCCAGTGCCATCCGTTCTTTCACAACCATGCTGTGCACAGTTCGCTGTTAGCGCGGATCAAATTCGAAAGATCTCTCTGAAACGCTACCTCGAATTCCGTCATTGGCTTCTCGTAACTGAACTCGATGATCGACTGTCTGGGAGAGTCTGGGAATATATATGGCATTGGCTCTTTACAGGACAACCTGAGTTCTGCCCGGTTGAGACAACCTGTTATTGCGAAGGCTATGGGATTTGTTTCGATCCTAACGAGTATCGGCTATACTTTCAGATTCGAGGCGAAGCGCGGAAGTTGGAAGGAGAGGTCCAGGAGTTGGAATCAGAAGCGACCGACGCAGACACCACTACTAGTGAAAGGATAACTGAGTTGAAAAGCAAGATTGATGAGCTGCATGGGGAAATGAATGCGATGAGAGCCCGGACGAAGGGTATAGGGCAGTGATTTTCCTGGTTTGATGCACGATCTGAGCGCACTAGCATTGTTGGGTTCTCTCTCTGGTGGCGCCGAGTATGTATATGCTACATTTGTCTAGGTACTAAGGTGTTTCCGTTTCCTCACGTTATCTGTTGTTAATATACCGTCAATACAATTGCCCGGGAATGTGAAGTAAGGGCATGCTTCTGGACTTATGGACCCCCTGCGCGGGAGTGACAACAAGTGTTGCAAGTTCATTGCCGAGCAAACTGGATTTCCGGTTCTAGACTCTGCCTCTAAACGTGCACTGGAATATACCTGCTGTAGCTCATGATGCCAAAGATGCTGTTCCATGGGTCTTTTGTACCCAGAAAAGCCTCAATACTTCGGAGCTAGGTATTACCCTGACAAACAAGACAAACAAAAATCAATGATAACAGTGCTGATATAATCTTGATAAGATAAGGTTGAGTTACATCGCGAATGCCAAATGTTCCAATCAACCCCGCTTCGTCTATGACAGAAGATCACATCCACATAATAAAATATAATCTAGGAGCCATGGCATCACCGAAGGATAAGATCAGTCAGTATCTTGACCAGTCGCACGAGCGCATCTTCGAGAACAATCGGAACTGGGTCTCTTCCAAGAAACAAGAAGATCCCGCGTTCTTCGAGAAGCTCGCAGCGGGGCAAGCCCCCGAATATCTGTAAGTACATACGTCCTCGTCATCAGGGTAACGTGGAGCAGATTAACAAAAACAGATACATAGGATGTAGTGACAGTCGAGTCCCCGCCAACGAGATCATGGGTCTCGAAGCAGGCGAGGTCTTCGTCCACCGGAACATCGCGAACTTGGTCCCCAACACGGACCTCAACGTCATGGCAGTGATCAACTACGCGGTGCGACATCTCGGCGTCAAGCACATTGTTGTGTGTGGCCACTACAACTGCGGAGGGGTGAAGGCGGCATTGACCCCATCTGACTTGGGCATACTGAATCCGTGGCTGCGAAATATTCGCGACGTCTATCGCCTACACGAAGCTGAACTTGACGGCATCCAGGACGAGCAGGCAAGATACATGCGCCTCATTGAGCTCAATGTGGTCGAGTCGTGCAGGAATATTGTTAAAACCGCTGCGGTTCAACAGAGCTACCAAAAACACGGGTATCCTGTGGTTCATGGATGGGTGTTTGACATACGTGATGGGCTACTTCGAGATCTTGATGTTGACTTTAAGAGCATGCTACAGGACATTAAGAAGATATATAGCCTTGGAGGATCGGCTGAATAACTGGTCTATCGGTGTCTGGTGTAATCTCGGCCCTGACTCGGTGAGAAGTCGGGGCCGACAATTATTGTTGATAGCCACAGATACTCCGGATAGATTGGATGCAAAAAATGATAGTATTCTGTCACGCTGTGAAGACCAGCCATTCCAAATTTCTCCGTGGTAATAATATGGGGGTTCAACAATAGAATGTTCTCTTCACCCGCCCTAGCCAATCTATCCAATGAAACTTTTCTAAAGTGCATCTAACCAGGGGTGTCGTAAGAGGTCCTCTGCCGAAACCCGCTCAGCGGGATTTGTCTTCATCATCGCGTGCAGGAAGGAGGCAAACGTATCTCTGGCCTCTTGGTCGAGGCCTGGCATGAAGGCGTCTGACGCCAGACCCGGCCGATTTATTGGCGGCGCATCCTTGATCCGGCCATCGTCACCAAAGAGGTTTTGGGTCAGGTTCTGACTCGCGCCAAAGTCTGATTAGGAAATGGCTCAAGCAATTTCACATTCTCCGCCAGGTGCTCCTTGAGCTCATAATGACCGTCTGGCGGGATTAGTCCACTAAACATGACTTCGAGCACGACGGCCCCCAGGTTCCAGAAGTCGGTGCTCGCGTCCCACGGCGCCTGGATCAGGACTTCTGGTGATCGGAGGGCACACGGGCTAGATTGTTTCGCTTAGATGTCGGTCCGCCCAGCTGGAGACGCCCCAGTCTCCCAGGGCAATATCGAACTCGTCAACACACCTACTATCAGCTTCATTGAAGAAGTAGCGGCGCAAGGGCGTCGACGGCACGACGGAGTATTGTCCCTCGGACTGATCCTGTTGAGGAATCGCAACATCGGCGAGGTACCCGGGTTTTATCAAGGAATGGTCCCTGAACTTGACGAAAATATTGTCTGGTTTGGTCTCTGACAGCGGATTGGAAAGATATTAGCATAGCGGTACATGACCAAACAAGAGTGTATAGGCAGCAGCCTCATACTAGTATGAATGACATCATGTTCGTGGGCAAGATCGATGACCAGCAAGAGTTGGATGGTGAACCTCCGCATCACTGAGGTCGCAAGCCTACTCTCGGCGAACCAGGCGCCAACGAAGCTCCGCAACGTCTCGCCCATTAGTTCATAGACAAGGGAGACGTGTGTTCCATTAGGTCCTCGATGCTCAAAGCCATCGAGCAGATAGCAGACGTAGTCGTACCCTAGCTGGTCTCGGTCTCCATCTCGGAGATGGGTCAAAATCACCCGTTCAAAAATCGGGGAGTCCGTGGCCTCGTAGCATTCGCCCTTAGCACTTTGAGAGCTCGGAACTGATTTTCAAGGCCAGACCTGTATCTCTATGTTAGCTATAATCTGTGTTCTTTCCTTCTGATTTATCAACTCGCCGTGCCGGTTCTAGGTCTCTAACCAGCCAGACTGCTGAATAGACGCCGTATCCGATCTTGATGAGTACTTTATACCGGTCTTTGAACACATCACCGAAGTACACCGGGTGAAACCCTCCCAGGCGATGTACCTGCGTGCCTTCCTGGATTTTGGTCATTGTCTCGTGTGGCATTTTGTAGATTGACTTGCGTCTTGTGAGGTTCGTGGTGAAGGCGATTGCTTAAAGTCTCGGCCTTAGTGGGTATCTCATCAGCAATGGCGGCATAGAGTAAATACCTGGAAATAACCTTGTCTCGACTCTCTAGTGCTGCGGGAAAGTTCTCAAACACATCGGCGCATGCGGAAGACTCTTCCAGTGGATCCATAATGATTGTATAGCAAGATGTCAAACAGAACGACGGGTTTGCATCGGCATTGCCCAGAGCGATTGAATGGATCATCAATCAGATAGCTTCTGAAATCTCGCAACAATCATACTTGGGCAACCTTTCATCCATATGACCAGTATAAAAATGGCGCGTTGAAGTCTTCTCTCCACCCCCTTGCAGAAAATCAATAAATATAATCTAGGGGCTGCAAAAGATCGACATACCGGCGCATCAGGGAAACACAAAGAAAGAATGGAGGAACGAAGTACCAATTATCGGCATACTAAATGGACCGGTCATTCCGTGCAGCTCTTCTTGTGCCGAGTTCCACGTCGCTATTGCTCCTCTTAACTATCGTTTAGCCTGTTTTAATTTTTCGTCGAATAACATCTTCCCGTCAAGTGTTCTTCTGCCTACAAGATCCTTGAGGATTAATCATGACTACCTCAAAACCTTTTCCGCTCTTAAGCCTGACAGGAAATTGGGTCATGGTTCGTGCTCTTCGGCTTTACCTTGGAAAGCTCACGGGGTCAGACTGAATAGATGGCCGTTATAGGAGAAAAGTCTATCAACAAACCTTGAACCCATGATGAAGCTGGTATGGTATCCCTTTAGTCATATGTCGCTCGATATGAAATGAGGGAACATTAGAGCTTACTTGAGGGGACATTCAGCAATGCCTCAACTGGATTATCCGTCGCGCTTTCCGACACGTAACAGTCACATTCACAATCACCGAGTACGCCAGCATCGGAGCAGATAGCTCACCGCTAGCGCTGCACATTGATGTCGTACATACTGTAACCGGCGGATTCAACGGTACAACTGAGAAGCGGACGCTCGACTGGAAGGCTTATGCCCAAAAAGATTACGTTTTCGGGACTCTTAGCGTCCGTAGCCGACTTATTGGAGGTGTGGAAGATGAGAATGGCCAAGTTCGACCAGCACTTGAGCTGGACATAACAAACTTAAATCAAAGGATGTACGACTTCCTGAGGGGGACAGTCTCTGCTGAGGGTGAGCACGAGGAAGGCTTTTTAGTCGAGGGGCCGCCGCAAAAAGAGATGGGAGGTAGTCGTGGAAGTTGGTTGCATACCGTCTCGCACAGTGAAGACCTAGGATGGACTATGGAGCAGGTAAGTGCTGGGAAATGCTTCTAGAACACTATATGGTCGTTGACAATGGATATTCAGGTATGGGGCTTCGAAGCCATTCGCGGCAAGCGTTACCACACACGGCGGGCTGTGGTTATTAACAAATTTGGTGATTGTGCCATGGGCCGGGTTGTATACAAGTGGCATAGTGATATTCGTGACAAATAGAGGGTTTTGGACTGTAAGTGCAGGTTATACTTGTCTAGGAAAGACTCTCTCGTCTTTCTTTACAGCGCGTGGGTTTGGCTTGTCTTTGGCTGGATCCTTTAATTTGCAGAGTAATACGTTGATTATTTATTTGAATCATAGGTGGGAAACACTCTATGCAAGCAGTATTGCAACTTTGACTAGAAAATTCATCATGACTCCAGCAGCCTATAGTTTCTAGCAATGTTCTTCGTCGCATCTCTTTTATCCCGTAAAACTGTATTGTGTTATCAATTGCTTTACCATTTACGCAATTTATAACTTGTCGTAGCACCCTGCATATATTGCGCTTATGGCCTGGTTGTAGTGAAAAACCTCTTGCTTGACAATGAACACACCCTTCTGTTGCAGGCGTTACATGCAATATCCCACCCTCACATGGGAGAAATATGGAGGGCCCTTTTGTGGAATTGTTACTACTCGACAGCAATGGAGGTGAAAGCCTTGCCTAGTCCTGTGTGTCGGGACATAATGGCAAGTTAATGAAAGGCCCGATATAAAGCAAGAAACAAAGCCACCAACGTGGCGGGGTTCAAGCCTTGTAATTCTTTCTCGGTTTTGTCTTAATAAAGACATGGTACCCAGGAGCTAGTTATCTCTTCAAATATATTGATTGTCATAGCTTGACAAGGAGTGCAATGTACAGTTTTATGTTTATGCAATCCTAAAGTCCACTGGGAAACACCAGGCTCAAGCCATATGGCTATCGCTCTCGCATAGCTGGCACCATGCCTCAATAGTTCGATTATTAAGTATGAGAAAAGCAAGGACGTGCCATAGATGAGACAATGCAGTCTAGTTATGTGATATTAAATAGGCTTCTACCTAACATGTATCACTCGAGTCATACCTTTCCTAGCCCGCCTCATACCAGACACATTTTTGTCCCCACGTCTAACTTCAAGATACACCCCACTTTTATACACTCTCATCTTCGGTTGACAATATGGAGCAAGGATCAGAGATGGGACCGCCACCCACTCCAACCACGGTTAATCCTCCGTCATATGCGGAATCCGTGGCCGAAGCCATTGACCTATTTTTCTTTCCAGATTGGCACTACAGAGGGGGATGCGACGACTCGATGCTCAAGACACTGGATGACGTCCTTAACAAGGATTTATCTTTCATGCACCCAGGGACGGACTTCTACGCGTTCTACTCCTTCCTTTTAAGGATGGGAGAGCAACGACTAGAGGTGTGGAGCCCCGAAGGAGTTTTCCAACCCATCGCCGTCATCGAACTTCGAGGCACATATCTACGCGAACTACGTGGCTGCGAGGGAAGGGCTCTTATTTATTTGATGCACCCAAAGAACGAGCCACACGTCAAAGAATGCCATTTCATCATCCAAGAAACTATCTCGCCTTTACAGCAGAGGACCGGGGTTGCAGGAAAGCTGGTGTCACTGTTTGACAAGTCGAAGCGAGTCGAGCGGAAATACTGGATTAAGGCTGCACTCCAAGGGGAACGTTATGTCTTTAGAGAAGTGGCCTCTGGTCAAGAACCAATGCCGGAAGAGTGTGTTGGTGTCAAGTCCGTTTGTTATCCAAGGTTCTGGCCGTGAAGAAGGCATCCATGGCATCGAGGGTTATATACGGGGGCTTGGGAGTTGTCATGGTGACGGACTAGCCGTCCCATTCACATCCATCTGTTGACATACATTATCAAATAGCTTTGCAGCCCTTTCTTTGTTATCATGTAATTCTAACAGTTTTTATCTGAGATTACAAGCCCTCCGCCACATCCAACGACTTCCCAAGACGCTTGAGGCCTTCTTCTAATGTATGCTTTCCCACCGTAAATGTAATCCGGAACCACCCGAACTCCTCTGCCGCATATATGCTGCCTGGAGCGATCATAAGACCATTGTGAGAGCATATATCTGCAAATCTCTGCTCGCGTTGTTTATATACGCTAGCGTCAGGAGACGTAACTCTCAGTTCGCTGTAGTCTGTCTGGTGGCGTGACGATTTCGGAATGAGCAGGTGTCGTAGATCAACCCAAATGAACAGCCCAGCATTCCTTGAAGGCGTTAGTCCTGTATGCAGTAAATACATGTAAAGCGGCTTACATCTCGTAGTAGCTGATACCCCGTTCCCGGAAGAATGACGTTGCGATATGATAGTTCTCTGCCATCAATTCGCCCTTCTTGACCATAAATCTTTCCAGCTGTTGTCTGTCCTCTAGCATGGCCGCCCAGACGTCCTGGAGGACATGGGGTGACCAAGAGAACATACTAACCGCAACATACGTTAGGAATAGACTCTGGGGAAATTATAGCTTCCAATACGAACCTAATGCTAGACATTGCGCCAATTAACCCCTCATTACTGGTACACACAATTCCTAGGCGCAATCCGTTCGCGCAAAAGTCTTTGCTTGCGCCGTAAAGTACGTGGATGAGGTTTGGCTCAATAGCCTCCTGGAGATCAAGGGCAAGAGTGGACACGAACGGTGTCTGGCTCGGCATGGCAGTGTTGGGGAAAACTGATTTCGCATAGATCTCATCAGAGATGAAATGAAGTTGATTCCTACCACAGAAAGCGGCGAATTCTAGAAGAGTCTCGGGAGGCTGGGAAATAGTTAGTATACATACGGTTCATAAATCAGGTTGGAGGGACTGAATACGGACATAGCATCTTCCCAGAGGGTTGTGTGGGCTTGAAATACTCTTGTTAGTAGATAGCCAATTACTATTTTAGTATCGGACAACTTACTTGGAGACTAGAAGAGCACGGATAGTTATCCCGTTCTTTTTAGCTTCACGAAGAGCGACTTCAAGAGCCCGCTTGTTCACATCAGGGCGGAACAAGTCGTCTAACCCGGAGAATCCCTCGATGCCCTCATATCTAACCCCGACTACCCGACCATTGCTCCGATTCAGGATATCGAAATCGAATCCGTTGTAATATGGTTGAGGGACTAGAATGCCGTCCCCGTCGTTGCAAATTACCCAGGTTAGAGCGTCAATGGCACTGGCCAGGCCAGGCGTGATGAATAGGTTGTCCGGGGTAATTGTTTTGCGAGAGTGGAATTCCTCGTTCAAGAATGCAGCTGCGGCACGCCGAAGACGACGTGATCCACGAGGGCCTGTACTATAGGTAAGGTGACTAAGGGGAAGTACATTGATCTGTGCCCACGGAAAATGAGAAATGCACGTAGAGAACTATGAGTCGGGGTTATCAACCTGGTCCTTTATAAATTGCCCCATCTCGTCATGCAAGAGGCTATTCTCCGCGAGGCGAAGTATGATGCTTGACTATCAGTCAGTATACATTCCTTTAAAAGATAGACCAAGTGTTAAGAGATGAACCTACGTCCCATCGGGGTTTTCTGGTGACCATGGATTTGCCATAGACTTTTCTCGTGGACCCCAGACATCACGGTGCTCGAAATTCTCTGCGGCTCTCCTCGACAAGTGATGCTGGGCTATCGCTGCATCGATATGCTCCTCCTGACGCATGGAGTCCATGCTGGCTAATCTGAAGTGACTCACTACACAATTATCTGTTATCCGCTATCTCTTTCGTTGGGTGAGTTAAAAGGTGAAGCAGGACGCTTTATCATGTTCAATCGTCTCCAGTCGGCGGAGTCAACCATATATGCTCCAGACTTGGCGCGCCCTCCGGCGACAAATCGGAGATCTTTCTGTGCAGTTTAACCCGAAGGTTCCATAAAGTATTCCTGGTGGGATGCTTTAGCCGGGGAAGCCAAGTGGGTCGAAACCATTTCAACCTCGGCGAGGTTATTCGAAGAATCGAAATCATGAAGACGAGGCTTTTACATTTGTGAGTCAACGATAGTACCCTCTAAGAGGCTAAGAGTCCTAAAGGCGTTTAATTCTCAAGTAATTTATTGATATCAACAGGACAGGCTATAATGTCCTATTTCTTACAATGACGTGGATAAAAGTTTCTACCTTACGTAAGGAGGACATAACAATTCATTGCATAAAATGTACCGGGTTAATAAGAGTAATAACTGGCAGGGTCATTGAACTATGGGCATACATGAAGAGGACAAGATATTCACTAGCCAGGATGCTATACCAGGCTGACCAGACTGTGGCTCTCGTAGAACTGACTGTGTGTTACTCGCCACCTTAAATGGGTTCAATATAAGCATTGTTACGTAATTGTATGATGTTCTCGGCATTTTAGTAGAGGGAAACTGTTCTTCTTAATCTCGGCTGTGTTGTCTATTTCTCCATATTTGCCTGGAAACACCGAGGCTTCTTCGTCGTCACTTTCGCTCTCTCTACCCCATATGGAGCCAAGGCCCTCTCACTCGCTTGACCATTGTTTTTTTAATTAGTCTCGTGCCCGATGAGCCTGAAATTCAAATAATGGTTGTAAATAAACCCCTGGGGCGGAGGATAAAATATAAACAACAGGTTCAAAAGTCTGAATCTATCAACTGAAGATATCCTCGCCATATGTCAAGATTCTTCTCTGACTATGGATACAATAACGGAGATGGCCGATGAAGCAAAGGTGTCCGGCGCGAACCATGAAGCCAACAAGCAACACAAATTGACCCTGGAGAAAGAAGGTCATGGATGCTCGAATCTATCACCGCCGCCGTCATCCGCAAGCGCCACATGTCACCATTCCAATTCTAGGAGCAGTTGGGGAAGCGAGCAATTTTCGCAGGACAAATGTGGACAGTATCCCGACGCTCGTGTGGAGGGAACCCTTCCAAGGGAAGACCACGGCCCATACGAGGTCTCGTTCGATGGTGATCAAGACCCGATGTGTCCTCGAAGCATGCCGTTGGTGAGGAAATGGGTGATCGTGTTGATTGTCTGTACCGGAACCTTATGTGTGTAGGTCCCTCTTTTATTGCCCCGATATTCATTATATTGGTTTCCCCTGATGTTTGCTGATCAGGCTGATATAGGACTTGCACAAGCTCGATCTACACAACTACCTATACACAGATGAATCCCGAGTTTCACACGTCAACGCTCATCTCGACTATAGGACTCTCGTCCTTTGTCTTAGGAATCGGGACCGGACCGTTGCTCACTGGCCCACTGAGCGAGCACTACGGACGAAGACCCATCTATCTGGTCGCGTGGACGATGTTCCTAGTTTGGACAATTCCGTCCGCCGTGGCGAAAAATATTCAGACAATCATTGTTTCTCGGTTCTTCAATGGCTTCACTGGAGGCACCTTCCTTTCCGTTGCGGGAGGAACTGCCGGAGACGTATTTTCACGGAATCAGATCCAAGCACCAATGGCGCTTGTTTCATCAGTCCCATTCATTGGACCCTCTTTGGGGCCTGTACTCGGGGGCTTTATCAACTCCCACTTGGATTGGAGGTGGACCTACTATATCATGATCATTTGGTCCGCCGTGCTGCTCATCTGCATGATATTCTTTGCGCCAGAGACATATCACCCCATCATACTACGTGCTAGGGCTCGAGCGCTCCGGCAAGAAACTGGAAACGAACGGTATAGAGCACCGATGGAGGATAACACCAAGACATGGAGGCAAATAATAATAGTCGCACTTCTGCGGCCATTCCAACTTCTCTTCCTAGAGCCCATGTGTTTATGCTTGGATATTTATTCGGCTATATTATTGGGGATTCTATACTTATTCTTCGGCACCTTTCCGATGGTGTTCCGAACAACATATGACATGAACCTTTGGCAGGGCGGACTGACATTCGTGGGAATTATAGTCGGGATGGTTATCGTCGCCGCTACTACCCCGATCTGGTCCAACATTCGTGAGCGTCTGTTGAACAATAATGCCAAAGAGCCTGGACGCAGTGAGCCGGAATACCGACTTCCTCCGGCTATTGTAGGTGGCATTCTTATTCCTCTTGGGCTTTTTTGGTTCGGTTGGACTACCTACTCGAGTATTCATTGGATAGTGCCCATCATTGGATCTGCTGTATTTGGGGGTGGGTGAGTATCTACCATAGTTTCCACTTATGCTGAGAGATTCGTCTTGTGCAATATTAGATGTTCCTGAGCTAATCTATTCTCACGGAGCAGGTTGTTGCTGGCATTCACCGGCATTTTTACATTCCTTGTATGTTCCTGTGCTCCCACTATGTCGATTGGAAGCCGAGAAGACACGTCGTGCTCACTATAAAATAGGTCGATGCTTACCCACAATACGCCGCATCTGCCCTGGCTGCTAATGGCTTTGCTAGGTGCACGTTCGCAGGTACGTCTTCGCGTTCACAGCAAACCCTGGTCAGCAAAGCTGTAACATAGTGGGTTGCTGACCATTCCTTCAATAGCTGCGTTTCCGCTGTTTGGTAGTCAGATGTACGACAAGCTCGGCTATCAGTGGGCAACTAGCCTTCTGGCATTTCTAACAGTTGCCATGATGCCATTCCCGTGGCTGTTCTTTAAGTACGGAAAAGCACTGAGAGCCAAGAGCAAATTCGCTCTACCGGACTGAACCGTCACAAAAGAGGTAACGGCTTCATTTTGAGGATAGCTGGATGTGTAAGAGAAGTTATGCGGTCATGTTAATGGGGAGGGGGTAGACTTAGACCGTGGCGGTGCAATGCCAATAAGTGTGCATCCCACCGAGCGACGACAGCAATACAGATAGTGCACGTTGGAAGAACGTTATGTTGGCTGAACCGATACATGTTGTAGAAACTGTTGCATATGGTTTTAGGCAAAACATCTCAGGGGGGTTGCCTATAGACTGAGTTTATATTATCAGGACATTAGTCCTGAGATCGTTATTTGGTAGGCCAACGGCGAACTAAAGACAGAAGACAAGATACTCAGTCCTACTGATGTCATGGTTAGCCTGTCTTAGGGCAGAGTGCCAAACGGTCCTAGTTCATGCCGTTTCCACCAGAGCTCCTGACGGCCGTACAAATGAAAACACATGGTCTCACACTGCGATCAGAGCACCACAAGATTTCAATTATATGTGTGGTATATGTCTCATATAAGAATACACGCAAATAAATGGCAAAAGCATCGTTGTCTAGAAATGTAGAGGATTCGCACCCTCAGCCGCATCCAAACCATCGAAGGGCTCAGCTAACGTTGGCCCTAACCCGTTATGCAGAAGTAGGTCGACGTCAAAAGTATTATCAAGATAGCTCGCCCAGAAAGAATTATATACAAAATGATCAGCTGCTTGTGGGAAACCTCCGGATGGATGAAGGTCTCGAAGCTGTGGTCCATTAATGTACCCGGTCCGGCTCGTCGTTTCATTTCGGTCGGAACTCTCCAATACGGTTTGTTTAGGACTATGGGCACGATGTAGCCCGGATGAGTTCGAACGGCCTGATAGTGGTATGTTGCTACGGTTGTTCGCAATGCTGGACGACACATTGATTATCGAGGCAGAGCCTTGCACTGTCAGCCTTCGCAACAAGTTTAAAAACGCTTTAGCAATCCAGATCTTGACTGGCCAGCTACCGGCCAGCTCGCTCAATGCCAATAGGCATTGTCGTGATTTGTTCTCGGCTAATTGTCGACGTATGGGGTCTTTCCGGCAGATGACGATGGTGTGGACCGAGAGTGCAGAGAACAGGGCTGGGACGCTATGGAAGGTTAGGAGAAAAGAGAAGCTGTGCAATGCAGGGGGAATTATGGTCATACAGATGGATTAGCCCTGCTTTGATCATCCCGGCACCAAGAAGATCCTCTGCAAGGCGGGTAATAGTGTCAGCCGCCATCCGTCCTCGGACATCATATTCGGCTTCTGCTGGAGATAGGTTTTCGATAGCCTTTGGTCGGAATAGAAGAATGAGACAATTTCTAAATTTGATTAGTGTATTGATGACATGTAATGAGGTATTGCACCCTTACTGGTAGCTAAATTGTAGCATGGACGCCCAGAACGATGCACCCAATGATCCATCTGGTGTCGTCTTCCGAAGATGATCCGGCAACTTTGATTCCCACTGGGCGAGTCTCCCTGCCAGTGCTTCTGTATCATATTTGTCCAGTGCAGCACGACGGGGGCTGAATTCCCCAATAAGTATATCGCCAACTAGAACGGTATTGTGAGTTATCTGGTATGGAGGGGGAAGTGGCAGCCAGTAAGTGGGTGGCGACTAACGTATTGTAGTTAATCTTATCATCTCAAGGGCGTAAGAGATATGAAAGTCTGTCTGGACGGGGATGAGGGTCTGGTCATAGTCATTGTCAAATTTGAAATCATCCTCATCGAGGGCCTCAACATCACAGTCCTCGTCCCGTATGCGACAAGGTCGGCCGAATGCCGCAGAAGTATGTCGGTCACGCGTCTAGCTGGATTAGCATGACGAAACAAAATGTTGGAACTAGGAGTGGGATACATATATGGCCCACCAAATTCGCTTCCTCAAGGACCTCATGGGTTGACTCATTGCGGACTGCGACGCGCTAATGTAATGTCAGCCGAAATTGCAGCCGATGGAGATGACTTCACATGCCGGTGCATTCCTAATGATTGAGCAAGAGTTGTCGCACATCCAATCCAGAAGCAAGTGTCCTTTTGATCCTCGGGGCCAGCCCACCAAAATCCAAAAAGCAAAAGGACAGCCACAAGATTCATTCGATCATTCTCGTAGTCAGCATCATACAATGCCTTTGCACGCAGGTAGTGTGTTTTCCTTGCAGTAGCACGGTCACTATAACCAGCTGCATGTACTAGTTCGTCACTTCCAACCGTAAATCCCAGGAAGAAGATAGTCTGCAGAACAAGTGGAGAGGCTTGGCCCTGGCGGTACTGGTGTGTGAACTTTTGCCGATCAAGCACTGGATAAGCCGGGTGGAGCTTATGGAAAAAGGCTTGAACCAGCTGGTCAGCTACGTCACAGGATGGCATCCTGAAAGCCTCCTGTAAGGAGACTGGCTCTTCGACACGTGGTGCATGGTTTGCATCTGGTCGGTCTGCAATAGAAGCCGGGATCGGGTAATGCACTTTCAAAGGCTCTGTTGAACCACCTTCGGGGCTATAGACAACCTCGACGACGTATGATAAACCCACGGCCTCTCCCAACTGCTGTATACGAGGATGTGACTGTTCTTGACTGTGCTTTGGGCGCTCTACAGCATTAATGTCGGCTATTCCCGCGCGAGGTATCTCAATACCACTGTCCCGATCATTTCCTCCTAGTGTGGTTGGTCTGTGGATGCTATCAGTCTGGCCCGACTGAATAGTTCTGTGGGTAGCATCAGGGGCCACTACTGCCGGGGCCATCTGGGTCAACCCACCGGCAGATGGATCCCTGGGTTCCTGTGACCGTCCGGAGCCACGTACATCTCGAGCTCGGGCGTGCCGCTTCCGAGCGTACCTAGCAGTGTTGGTAACCTCACGGGGAAGTAGCTACGTACAGCTCCAGACCCACATACTTGCCTCGTTTTGATTCAATCAACTCGCAAGGCGTCTGCCGAGTGCGACAATGCCAGCAGGGCTGCCCATCAGCCGCGTCACATTTCACTCGCCTGGCGTTACAAGCCTTACAAGCGACTCGGGCACGGCGCATAACCGGCGTAGAGGGATTGGATGATGATAGATTTCCCTTCGGGCTCTCGCCTGGCTCAACCATCCTTCTCAAGGTATCGTCTTCTGGTAGAGAATGAGTAAACGATAACACACACCGTTTGTAAGTAGGCGAGGTTGTCCGGAGTACTCCGTCAAGCCCAAGACCCCGAGGCAACTCGAATTTGAACGATAAGATAAGAAAAAGATGCCTCGGGCTCTTCGTGCCTTGCTCCTCATGACTAAGCCTGCGATTGTCCCGTTTAGGACGGGCGATTACTGGAAATGGTATAGCGTGTCTCTCGTGGTGCAGCCGACTTCTGAATGCTTCATATGTTATATCCAAACGAGGACGGGGCTCAGGCAGTTGGTGAACAGGTAATCATAAACAAGGTGTTGAAAGCCCAGAGCTTATCCGATATATTGACTAGGAGCAGCGAGATTCCTGGGCTGAGGCACGTCCCTCTTGGAGATGTATGCTACGCGAGCTCTAAAGCCCTTCCGAGTACCGAACACTTGCCATGGTGAAGACAGCCCTTGGTAATGTGAATAGTAGCCACTACTATATGGTACTTTGCGTTTGCTGGTGGAGGAGGTTAGGCTAGCCTACAGCCTGGCACATGGGCGAAGCAAGGATGCTATGCTTAGTGTAGCATCCTTGTCTGATTCAACAAAGGTCAAAGCACATAGTTGTACGAGAAGCTTGCTCAAAAGACTGAAAATTATGCCCATCACCGATGATGGCTGTTTGCCAAAGGCGCGTGATACTCATTTTAGTTGTTCAGCCTTGCGCTTGGACTTTCCGCGTAACCAGTTTGGGTGCATTCTTGCTTTTCTTTCCTCCTCTCGCAGCTCCTAGTCACATTCGCTATTTGCTGTTCAAAGCTGTTCAAATGCACAGCAAACCGAATCTAGCAAGGAAATATCGATCTAGAGCATCCATGACGGATTTGCCCGGCAAGGTGTAGATTCACATCCAGGTCCATCGAGGGCTCTTCTCCACCTTCCCCTCACTTGCCAGACACAGCCTCTTGCACAGCCTTGTGCTCTAGCCTATAATAACTGACTACCTTGCAGGTGCTTTTCTGCGTTTATTGGACAGCAAATCTGACTGCAGCATAGTCACTGTAGGTGCATGATCAAAACACGAATGGATTTCGGTATAATGACAAATGCCATGGTATACAAGTGCCTTCCACTCTAATGCTACGAACACGTTCCTATTATTCGTCTCTAGTGTCAGAGAGTGAAAGCAAATTGTCTTACAGGGTGGGATTTATACGTGGGTGATTACCTATATTAACCTGCTAGTAAAGCCTCAGGTGCCCCCAAATTCCTCTCTGACTTCAAGCTTGCGTTAACAGATACATTTATGCGCAGTCACCATGGGCAAGAGGCATTTTAGGGACTGGTTAAATACCTTCACAATTACCCCAGCCCATTTCCCTGACCATGAATGGACTTTACACAACGATACAAATGAGCACATTCGTCTGGATTATCAAGGAGTAAGTTCGCCACCCCAGTTAGGTGGGCATTTCAACCGGATGAGTGGTGTGGGGAGCATGTCACTAACGTTGAAATCAGCGTAACACTGCTGAGGGCAAGTTCGTCCATCGCCTAGCGGTCCAGAAGACCGGGGGCCAGAGGAGCAGCATTACGACTTCGAAGACAAGTAACGCGATTATTGCCCGAGTGGATGCGAACGACGCTGCATCGTGGGATGATATTAAGACGGGGCTGATTGAGAGCTATAAAATCAATGGCAAACGGCTTCAGGGCGTTGTGGGTGGCGGGTGGAATCTGAGATAAAGAGCGTACTTCGTAAAGATGTACCGAGTACATTCTACTACCACCATATAATACGATCCTTCCTTTAGCTAACTATGGGCTCTATATGTAATTAGTGCTCATGATATCTTATGACTAGAATACTAGTATATGTTATAGGGCAGAGCGCGCATCGCTACTAATTGTCCGACGACTAGTTTTAACTACTAGTTCGTACTGGGACTAGTTCTTGGAATCCAGATGACTAAGACCTGACTTATTCGACATGTTCAAACTCCCGCCGCATGCAACACCACTCCTGTACCTCGCCCTTTCATAGACGTGGGCGTTTCAGTGTATCGGTCCTAAAAACAGAGGCAAATGGCGGGTTCACGTCCGACTAAGACCCCTCTGCAATGGCACACAACCTTCGCCGGATCCTCGCCAGTCTGGCCCTCGGAACCAGCCATCTCAGCTATTGTCTCCATTGCCTCGGCAGCATTGTCCGCCCAGCACACCCAAGTGGGGGATGTGCCATCCATTACTGTTAATTTCTTTGCCCAAGGGGCATTCAACAAGAATTATGAGATTGTTATCCCAAACCAAGAGCACAAATTCCTCTTCCGTGTCACCCTTCCGGTTGACCCATTCTTCAAAACGGAGAGTGAAGTTGCCACACTAGCTTTCCTACGCCAGAAAACTAGTATTCCCGTTCCAGAAGTGGTGGCATGGAGCTCTACATCGGATAATGCCCTCGGTTATGAATGGATTCTTTTGAAAAAGGTTGAAGGTGTTCCACTCGAGCAAAAGTGGCGTGCCATCTCTTTGGAAACAAAAATCCAAATCTCCGAGCGATTAGCAGCATACGCCGCTGAACTACGGAGCTTACCCTTTGATAAAATTGGGAGTCTTTACTTCGAGGGCACGAATACTAGCGCGGAAACAAACAGCAGTGCTCAAGACGCTCAACAGATCAAGTTCATGTCCAGTTACCTCGGGAAAGGTGTAGAGGTCGGGCAGATGGTTTTGCCATTTTTCTTTTCCAAACGGCGACTTTACATTCCTTCCAACCGTGGCCCATTCGACAATTCTCTCCAGTATCTAACGGCAAAGGTACAAATGCAGACCGCGTGGATCAAGAGCGGGGTGGAGATTGCAAAAGCGGAGAATGCCAGCGACGTGGACTCGGATTGCGATGAGGATCTCCTGGAAGAAGCGCCTGAGATGCTAGAAGTCTGCCAGGCAGCTCAGGAATTGATTGTGCGCCTCTTTCTACCGACAGATCCCGACACATGTCATACACTCTATCATCACGACCTCAATCAGAACAATGTAATCCTGGATCCAATCAGTCATGACATCGTTGCTGTCATTGACTGGGAGATGATTTGTGTACTTCCCCAATGGGCATCATTCTACTATCCCAAGATGTTTCTCGACGTGGACCCAGTCACTGAAGAGGAACCGCCCATTCCGGTAGACTACAATGATGAAAATGATTACACTATCATCCGCCGGGACAGGTGGGATGCACGGATCCTTAGGAGAGCTTTTGATACCTACATTCAAACGGTGAGTAGAGATACAAACAACGTCAACTTTTCGGATGGCTTTGAAGAGAGGAGAACACTTGAGGATGCCATAGAAGACCTGACTGATAACTGGGAGGGTGCGCGAGAAGCCCTGAGAGACTTACAAGCTCAAGCTGGAACAGTAAGTAGTTGAGTCGTCGTATTAGTTCTAGGTGTAAAAGGAATCCTTCTTCCAAGGTCAAGGGGGATGGTAAGGGGAATTATACTGGAAAGGGCAGAAGAAGGTTCTTCACGCTTAACATACAGTCGGACTCTACTGTGGCAATGGCATGTGACTGATAAACCATCTTCACATTAATAAACTGCAAGGTGTAATCATGATATAATGCATGCCCTCAAAAGGACATCCGTCTGACAGCGCTCGGGAACATTCAGAAACATGCAGTAGCCTGCAGATTATGGTGAATATAACGTAGGTTGCGTGCCATGCTCAGGCCCCAGATTAAAGACTTTGGACATAAGTATAATGGGTAGCTTAATTGCTTCCTCCCTATTATCATTAGTTAAACTAAATCCTTAGAGCATTCATATCCCCTCTCCGCCGCTAAAATTGATAGAGACTGTGTACATGAATGTGTTACAAGGTTAAAAGAAAGACAATTTGACCTTCCTCCAAACCAGAAGTCAGGCAATATGAAGCTGTAATGCGGTCAGCTCTGCTCCATCTGTTTATAATCCGGCAAGACCCAGGTTGTATCCTCACGGATGAACCATTGGCTGAGGATATCCAATCGCAGGAAAGCAGCTACCCATAAGAGAATGTGCACAACGGTAATCCCCCACGATGACGATGGGGTGTAGTCCCAGAATGTCGAGCCCTTTTCGATTCCCTTCTGAACTTGTGACATAAAAGGTCGATATGTGTCGTCATACGCCTTGAGAGCGAGGAGGAGGCGATCCTTTGGCGCGAGATTTGCTTGATGAAACTTGCTGATCTCTCCCGCGAGGATATACGCCCCCACCAAGCCCGAGGTCGTTCCCATACCGGTGGTCGCCGATGGACAATATGCCGCATCTCCGACCAGTGCGACTCGGCCGGCAGACCAGGAGTCCATTCTGACCACCCCCAGGCGCTCGCAGTAGAAATCATCCGCGCTCTGGAGTTCTTTGAGAATCCGGTCCGTCTGCCATCCTGCCCCACGAAAGACCTCCACCAAGCCATCCTTTTCCTCCTTGATGTTTCCGCGTGCCTTATTCAGTCGATCCGAGTCTGTTTTGCACGCAAGGTAAACCTGCATGGCATGCGGGCTATGCCTCCGGGTGAAGATAAAGCGCCGCCCAGGAGCAATGTATATTGCCGCGTTGTACTCCTCCCCAGGTTGAATCTCCCGTGGAACGGTGAAATATCCCATGTGAACCCCCAATGGGTGAAATGGATCTGGCTCGGATCCAAGGATCATTCTGCGTGTGCGAGAGCCTTGTCCATCGGCACCTACCAATAGATCAAACTGGTCGTGGCGGCCATCGGAAAACTCTACCTCGACGTGGTTTTCCCGCTGCGTGAAGCTCTCGACCGTCGTTCCGAAGACGAATGTTGCGCGGTCCTTGGTGGCGTCATATAATAGTCGACAGAGGTCGCCTCGCATGATCTCATAATCTGTGGTGAAGCTCTGCATTCCCATGCCGGATCGATTGGCGGCGAAGTATGCCTTGCGTTTGCCGGCATCATCGACGATTTCCATGCCCTGTTCGTGAATGGACTTGGCACGAAATTGTTGCTCGAGGCCCATTCGCCGCAAGACTGTGATACCCGGTTCTCTGAGGTCGACTTGCAGCCCGGTGGCACGCAAGCTCGAATACCTTTCAATGACCGTGACGTGGTGGCCCATCTTTGATAGCCAAAAGGCCAGGGCATTACCGGTAATGCCAGCACCGCAGATAAGGACGTTCAGTCCGGTCATGGTTTATGCTTCTGTTGTTTTTTCTTACTTCGTTTCCTGGAATCTGTTGAATGGGAGTTGGGTTTGCAACCCGGCCTGACTCTGTTTATATGCATTGGACATGCATTCTATAAACATCTCGGAGTTGAACAGGAATGGCAATTGCCGCGAGTATCTCCGAGGTGGTAAATCCGACTGTTCTTTGTTTGTTGGCGCCAACCCGACGATCCACGTCAAGGTAGAGTATCAGACTACGTCAGTACTCAGTAAATCCCTGTGCCAAGAAGGCCACAGTCGATCATCTAAACTTAGAATCCTTTGTCATGATCATGGCGCCATTCAACCTTGGAAGCAATGCAACGCTGCCCGATTTGGGAACCCAAACAAACATGCCAAACATCTTGCAGGTGACTCCGTCTCCAGTCGTTGAACGACGAGTCGGAAGGTTTTCGGTACGGGGTATTTGTCACCTTTTTTATTCCTCCCTTTGTCAGGGTTTTGGTGGGAGAGGCGGGTTTAAATATTAAACTTAGAGATATTAAATTGAGGGTCAGCATAGCAAATGTCGCATCCGCCTCCGGAACGTCAAAACTCCAAAGGTATATATGTATTTACATACCTGTGTGGGTGCTTGATCGAATTTGAAATCACATCTGCCTAACTTTCTTAGCGACTACGCTGGAGCTAGCCCTCAAACCGGAGCTACTACGGGGCATGAGCCGCTGGAATCTAGTGAATGACCTCCCATGCTATCATCGACTAGTACAACCCATTGTCCAAGGTATCTTCTTGACCTATCAGCGCAAGACATGCATATGTTCAGCCTGTTGAGCCCAGCCACACAGGTCACCATGTCCTCGCCCAAGGCCCATTCCCTCTCAAACGGATGTACCTCGTGGTGTCCATCCTCCAACGGATCAATACAGCGCCTTCGTCGGACCTTCCGTCCCAATGCCAAGCTCTGATCGTAAGCCCCACGTTTGAATTGGCATGGACGGTGAATGGCATCGCCCGAACGATGGCGTCGACAATGGCGTCGGTGAATGTCTATTGCTGTCCTAGGGGGTTCCGTGATGCTCACGACAAGATTGTCGAGCTCCAAGGGTCGGAGAGGGGGCGGGTCCCCGATATAGTCGTCGGGACACCTGGTCGGATCTGGGAGTGTATCATTCGTGGATGGTTGAAGACTGATGCAATCACCTTGCTCGTCTTTGAGGGGATGGATGATATTTTAGTTCGCGGATACGATGAATCTGTTCTACAGGGGATCCTGCAGATGGTCGCACACGGCAACACGCAGGTCGTGGTGCAATCCGATAGCTTGCATATGTGGAGAAGGATTTGGAAGCTGGTGGGCGACTTTATGCCTTCCCCGGTGCGGGTATGGGATATTTAGGGCTGTCATGGAAATTACCTTCGACTCTTTCGTACATTTGTTTCTACTATATGTTGCTGTATGTTTCCCTGCATGTGAGGCATACGTTCGATTCATTGCTGGGCTGGATCTCCGGTCGGGGGAAATAATATGGCCCGGCCCGAGGTTACGGTGTTATCCGAGTCGAACTCACTGCATTTAGCCGCACCGGCAATTTCCCAATCAGCGAACTTCAACGCCACATAATGTAATAAGATAATGTAAGATTTTGTGGCGCCGCTGATACACAGTCCAATGCAAGCCAAGCCGAACCTAATGAGCGTGGTTGTGGTGTAGGATGAATGCCTTGCTCGTAGATTGTAGTTTGTCCAATTTAGGCTGTCGAAGTCAAAAGGATGGAATGCATCACTACTCGAGAGGAGTAGTGCACAACATTACAATCATGAAGATTGAAACATTCCAGAATCCACACACAGAACCGGGTCGAGAACCTCATGTAGATCTCTGACAGAATTTTCTTGGATATTTTCCGAAAGTAACCACTAATGAAATCCGGATACCACTCGGTTTCCCGATCCATTATCATTGGCTGATGAATGTCCCTGAGTCACTGAATCTTCAGGGACTAGCCAATTATATTGAACTGAACCCCTGCACACCGCATGCGGAATGTAACCGGATTTCATCTTTACCGAAAGTGGTAATCTATGACAAAATACCCCAGATAGAAAAAAATGATTGAAAAAAAAAAGTGAAGAGATTGGATACATTTCATTCATCATTACTCTCTAGACGTCTAATGTTACGATATACGTGTGGCATCCTACCCCTTTTCTCTCTAAGAACCGGCTCCAAACAGCTCACATCACTATGAGCTGCCCGAGAGAAATAGTTGACGCCAATTCAGGCAATGACGGTGGTGTGGGCAAGATGGACACCCCCAAACCCAATGGTTGGTCTCCAGATAACAAGATGCTGCCCGACGCGCTGGACGACGGAGAGCAGCAGATTATCGAGGCCGGTGAGGCCAAATACCATCGTCTGGGTTGGAAACGCCTCACGATCATGCTCATTATCGAGGCCATCGGTCTGGGATCGCTCTCGATTCCGTCCGCTTTTGCATCCTTGGGAATGGTGGCAGGGGTGATCTGCTGTGTTGGCATTGGACTAATTGCCATCTATACATCCTGGATTATCGGAAAGGTGAAACTCGCCTTTCCTGGCGTCCGACACTATGGCGACGCCGGTGGTTTATTAATGGGCCGTGTGGGCAATGAACTTTTCACATTTATGTTAATCCTGCAGCTTGTCTTTCTCACGGGGTCAAACTGCTTAACAGGTACGATTGCATGGCGCCATATCACCGACAGCAACAATGTCTGCTCGGTGGTCTTCAGCGTTGTCTCTGCGATTATTCTTTTGTTACTCTCCATCCCATCGTCTTTTGCCGATATGGCTTGGTTGGGCTACATTGATTTTGTATCAATCGTGGCGGCAATCGGCATCACCATTATATCAACCGGTATCAAAGGTAACCAGTCGGGACTTTCTCACGTGGATTGGTCGGCCCTACCACAAGGCGACCCGAGCTTTTCGGATGGTTTCATTGCAATTAGCAACATTGTGTTTGCCTACACATTCGCCAGCTGCTTGTTTTCTTTCATGGACGAGATGCACACCCCCAAAGACTTCACCAAATCGATCTGGACCCTTGGGATACTCCAGATAGTAATTTATACAGTTACCGGAGCGACCATCTACGCCTTTGTCGGTAAAGATGTCCAATCGCCTGCGCTGCTCTCAGCTGGTTCACTTGTGAGCAAGGTCGCCTTTGGTATAGCCCTGCCAGTCATCTTCATTTCTGGCGCGATTGGTACGATTGTTGCGGGGCGTTTAATTCACGGTCGTATCTATGAAAACAGTGTGACCCGTTATGTCAATACAACCAAGGGCTGGATTACCTGGTTGGCTCTAATCACGATTCTCACGATCCTGGCTTGGGTGATCGCCGAGGCTGTTCCTTTCTTTGATGATTTGCTTTCGATCACATCGGCGTTGTTCACCTCGGGATTCTCGTTCTATCTCCCCCCCGTCATGTGGTTCTTTCTCCTCCGCAAGGGTAGCTGGTACTCTCGGGAAAACCTTCTTCTCAGTATTGTGAACCTCTTTGTGTTCATCTTTGGTCTCGTCGTGTTGGTTGGAGGCCTTTATTCCAGTATCGAGGATATAGTAAGCTACCTCTCCCTTGTCAATTGGTTGCATGCTCACAAATCTTCTCAGAGAAACAACTATCGCACTGGCAACGTCCACAGCCCGTTCACTTGTGGTGCGGTCTAGTGGCACCTTTCTCTCGAATTTTGTTTTATCCATCCAAGACCCAAGACCCGAGTAGTCCTTTCCTAGATGGACCGCTGAATAGCAAACAATGTGTGCACAGATACACCATTGGACACGTAATGTACATAGACCGCCATGACCAGCATATAATCTTACATTGACACATTATCCCTTGAACAATCTTTCACCAACGACCACTCCGGGCTAATATAGGCTGATTCCCACGTGCTCGATGCAAAATCGTGTCCTCAAAGCGGCACGTCTCCAAACTCAAGACTTGACGCCATTCAGCTCGACATGACAATTCATGAGGCCTTGTTGCAATGTATATTGCCTCCACGTGCTGTTGAACCGTTCCTTTTTCGACAGGCACCCAAGGAGATCGTTCAACACACCTATCTACGTGTTTGACTTCCGGCCGCAGGCGATTCACAATTGCGACAGATGCCTCAGGCGTCCAACGAAGAGAAAATGTCGATAAACCATGACAAACATGCTGCCTGAGGCTCCTTTTTCTCTCTTTGCCCGAGCGAAGAACAAAATCTAAATTGAAAGTCAGAATGACTGCCACAAAAATCAGACCCCACACTCCAAATCATTCATTATTCCATAGCTAGATATGCCTTTGTCAAATATATCCTTCACCTTACATCTTCTGTGAGGTCCCTTGACTCTGCCGAAATACTCGTATGGGGAGATTACTCCGCCCGTTGTCCACAAGACATGGATGCACTTTGGGTAACAGACTCAATCATTCCACCACCCATTGTCCATCAGCGCACATTGGCTGGGTGACCTGACTGACATGGCGGAAGTAGGAGCGTCAGGACGGTGTTCATTCGCACGATCGATGGCCACTTTCGTGGCCACAAATGCTACGATGAAAGATTTGGTTATGGAAAGTATGCCTACCTTGCCGGGCAGAGAAATAGGCATTGACTGGGGATTATTTCCAAGCAACATGGATGTCTTTATATATCCATGAACAACAATACTGGCGGCACCGGGCAAACCCAGAGGCTTCTCCCCGGGGAAATTCGTCTACCACTCGCGAGCCAGTCGCTCCTGAATCCCCTTAACATGCCATACTCCTCCCTTTCCCACAATCCATAGTTCATGCTCCCCAAAGGCCACACTCACGGCCACATTCTCACCCCCGCCGACGCGAATGGTACCGAGCGTATACCCTGTGTCGGGGTCAAGGACATCGACACCATCCCCTGCACCGCAAAATATCAAGCCATGTCGCGACACACGCACGCCATCATAGAAGTACGAAATGGGATTGCTGAGGAATCTCTGATTTGACAATACGGAGCCTGACTTGGAGACATCAAATGCCCAGAGCTGTCGCATTCCATAGGGATCCGTCCGCTTTGGAAAGTACTTCGAGACCCCTGTCTCCGGGATGAACAATGTGTTCCCATCAGGGGATATGGCAACCCCATTGGTATTCCCGGTAGTACTATAAACTACCTTGGTGCGAAAGGTTGACCGTTCAACGAAATAGATCGAGGGATTTGTGGGGGGTGCAAACTCAACAATCTCTCGGCCCTATTGCGCGAGTCAACATCCGACGCTCTTGACTGGGGAACACATAGCGTGAACATACCCAGCCTGACTTTGAATCTGTTAGCCAGAAATTACCCTCCCGATCAATTTCCAGATCGTTGAAGCCTGCAAATGGCTGCACCAGGTAGTTATTCAGCAATGTCGTTTTCTCATGGCTGTTCGGGTCGATCTTTGCCAGCTCTCCTGTCTGCAGGTCACTGTAGCCATCTGTTACAACATGGATGGAGTGATTGTAGTAGACACACCCATGTACGTTGTACGTTGGAGGGTTGGTGGTTATATTGTGCAGGGTATTGGTCTCCACATCCAAGAGGTACTGCCATGAGTGAATGCCATCGTCGCCGCCTGGTGGACCCCATTCGACAAAGAAGAGCTGATTGGTGTCCTTGATATAACATGGTGCTTCGTGGACCTGGTAGGCTAGTTTTTGAACATGCTCCACTGTGGCATTGGGGCCAATGATATCGAAAAACTTCGCATCATAGGCGACAAAGTCCGTGGTATTTAGGTGCGACAATCTGTCTCGGTCAGCATATGTATATACATCGTTGGGAAGGGATGACATCCTTACGTTGCACTAAGACCTTCGTCCGATATCTCCGACGTTGCCCATGGAGCTTCAAAGGCCGTTCGGTTGAATTGCCCAGGAAGATTGGCCAATGCGGCGAGCGAAATATACGCCCATTTGGCAATACTGTTGTTCAGGAGAGGTGGAAGCGGCTTCAGGTAGACATCCATGTTGTGGGTATCCCTTCTTTCTTGAAGCTAGCATACACCATACATTTTTCGTAGGGTGGGGAATCTACCTCTAACTTAAATATGCCAATTTCATACCGCAAACTTCGCTTAATGGAAGCTATTCGAGGAGCTTTCCGGGGTACTCCAAACATCCGCCGGATGCCTCCCGGACATGGCTCGCGGAGCAACAGAGCCGACACTAGCAGTGGAATCCTCTCCCCGTGGAGTCGGAGCTACAGACATACCCCGTGGGGTAGATCCGGGCAAGAGACCTCGTTCCCCGCAATTACCATATCCTTGTATGATGCTGGCTGTGCCCGTGTGCGCTCGGTGACTCCCTCCACGATCGAATCACCGCGGAAACTCGCCGGCATGTATGCCGTACCATGCCACGTGGAAGTAGTAGTACGCATAGCATCTACACCTTAAAATGAGAAAAAATGAATGCAGAAAAATAATACTGAAAAAAAGAATAAAACGCCCAGTGCACTGCACGTCGTGACTCGTCTACCAATCATACAGCGCCTTTGGCGTCTCTACCATCAGGGTATGCCATTCGTCCTCTGACAGCCACGACCGTAGACTTTTCAACCATGCATGATCATCCACCTCAAGGAAAGGGGTTTCTTTCATCGCCTCGTCATACGTACGGACCTTCATACGTGGCGTGTGCGGCCTGCATCATCACACAGTTATGTTAGCCGGGGCACCAACTGTCGGTATGAATGTTACTTGCCAGTCACTCCCCCAAAGGACCTGTTTCGGATTCGCATCGATATACGCTCGGACTAATGGCTGCAGGTCGTCGTAGAACGGTGCTTCATTGCTCACGCGGTACGGCGCGCTGAGTTTGACATACAAATGACCCTTGCGCACTAAGTCCATGATGTCTTCAAATCCCACTTGTCGGGTTACATCTCCCTCACACTCGGGTGGAAGCATGCTTGGACCTTTTAGTAAAGCAAAGTGATCGGTAATCAAACGAATCCCTGCCGGCCTGATCTCGTGTTCTATGACTGGTCTCAGCTCCTTCCAGAACTCTGGATGAGTTTGTGTGAACGCCATGGTCCACCCGGGACAGTGCTTCCCAATCATGCGGGCGTGTTCCCGCAGAGCGACCTTCTGTAGCTCGGCATCATGCATAGCCTTGTACTTGTAGACATTGACCCGAATGCCCCGGATGCCTGCATTGTGCATTTCCTGGAGCTCCTCCCGGGTGACTGTCTCAGGATCAATGACTCCAATTCCCTTCGTGGAAGACTGGCCGAGCAGCTTGACGAAGCTTTTCAATGACTCTACATTGGCTCCATACGATAGGCCATGAGTCAACACCGAATGGGTAATACCCAAACTCTTCTTGAAGTGGATGAATTGCTCAATGGTCGCCGGTGGAGGCGTCAAATGACGGTCGGGGGAGTAGGCAAATTGTGCAGCTAAGCCGTGCAACCCTGGTTAGCGAGTCTCCCTCTATTTCACGTTGGGGGAGAGCTCTCACGATCGAAGATATGGTGATGTGCATCCCAGCATCCGTGCGGGAACAGCTCCGCAACAGCATTATTCTGACTTGCTACTTCCATCGTGGAATAACGGTCTCTGCGTTTAGTCCGGTGAGTATCCAACTGCCGACCACATCGTCTACCATTACGCTTAAGTTATTTACTCGGTAGTATCCAGACCGACATGGTGGCGTAGGACTTACTGGGTCTGGAACTGTCCTCATGTCCGGGCTCGCGGGCTACTCCGGGCGACTCCACTATGGCCTCCACACCAACGGACTCTTCCTGTTCCTGCCGGGGCTTGACTACTCCGGTCGAGGAAGATATGAGGGAAAAGAAAAAAAAAAAAAAAAAAAAAAAGGA